TTTAAGATTTTTTTTAACAAAGTATTTTTAAAATGTGCACTTTGGTGAACAGATTTAAATGCTCGAAAGTCAGAGATCGTCTGCTGTTGCGTTTTGATCGTCTGCTCCTAGACCTGCCTGCAGTAGCAGCTGGTGGGCAGGTACATGGCGAAGTTGACGATAGTCCCCCACCACCTGACGTCACATCCTGCTGCAAACTTGGTGTATTTATAGCGCCTCTGGCACTGGCCACTGTACAAACAGTCTGGGCAGAAGATGGCGCATTTCCTGTCAGAGCAAAATGGTGTATTTATTATTTTGTCTTCTTGGTTTGTCTTACTTTTTTTTTTTAAAAGTGGTAAATGTTTTGAGAAAATTCCATAACGGTTTTTGATAGATTATGGGATGGTGTAAATTTGACAGAAAATCTTTAGTGTGGTTTATTGAGGGTGGTATCATTCATCGTCAACATGGCGTGTGTACATGGGAGGTCAAAGGTCAGACGACTTACCCACAGTTACAGTTGCTGATTTTGATCCTCTCCAGGGGGCAGCACCAGGCTCTGATGCCGGGCTTGATGTAGTGGTAAAAACACGGCATCAGCTTCTTGACACTGCGACAGCCGTAGTTCTGGGAGGCGGGGCAGCACCTGAAAGTGGGCGGAGTCAACTCAGTGTCACGTGCCCTGACTGTTTTAGTCTCTCGTTGTCATGGTTACAGGCGTGTCACGTGTTTTTGTTGAACGTGGGGGAAGGAGAGTACAATAGCTTTATCCGAGATCTTTATCCAAGATCTTTATCCAAGATCTTTATCCAAGATCTTTATCCAAGATCTTTATCCAAGATCTTTATCCAAGATCTTTATCCAAGATCTTTATCCAAGATCTTTATCCAAGATCCCACATGATCGTCTGCTGCTATAAGCCATAAGAACTCCCCATTAATTAAATCGACACTCAAACTTTTTTTTTTAAATAAAACACTTTATTCTTTAATCTTTAGCACATCCACCACATTTTCCAACAAGTCAATTTATTGTCCTAAATGGTTGTAATTGCAATCGTCGAGGTTTTCTTATTTCTGATTTTGGTTATCTGAGACTTCTAAAAACGTATAGATCTACAAAAATACTCCAGGTTTGGTGGGTGATGTCGTTTAGCATTGATTTACCTCCCTTTATTACAGTTTAGCTTAAAATAACAATCATTTATAACAATCGATTTTTTTTAAACTTGAAAGTAACAAAAGCGTATGTCATGATGGAGGTAATCTTTATGTAATGGGGGACGTAAAGTTTATGTAATGGTGTAATTCGTGAAATGATGTACCTACTTTTTGTAATCAAGGTACCATTCGGGATACTGTAAGTACTGCACATACAGATTCACTTTGGCGAGCTGGGTGAAGCTTATTCCGGTGCCCGGACTGTTAGCATGACAACCTGTTAAAGGTTCCTCAACGACAACAATCGAGCCATTTCTGTACTGATCGTAGTACAAGCCGGACATCTGGCAAGTTTTAAACAATTTAAATAGATTTCTAATCAAATAAAACATCGCAAGTTTTAAACAATTTAAATAGATTTCTAATCAAATAAAACATCGCAAGTTTTAAACAATTTATATAGATTTCTACTAAAATAAAACATCGCAATTTTTAAACTATTTAAATAGATTTCTACTAAAATAAAACAGGCAAGTTTTAAACAATTTAAATAGATTTCTACTCAAATAAAACATCGCAAGTTTAAAACAATTTAAATAGATTTCTACTCAAATAAAACATCGCAAGTTTAAAACAATTTAAAAAGATTTCTACTCGAATTAATCATCGCAATTTTTAAACAATTTAAATAAATTTCTACTCAAATAAAACCTGACGTTTTAAACAATTAAAATAGATTTCAACTCAAATAAAACATTGCAATTTTTAAACAATGTAAATAGATTTCTAATCAAATAAAACATCGCAAGTTTTAAACAATTTAAATAGATTTCTAATCAAATAAAAGATCGCAAGTTTTAAACAATTTAAATAGATTTCAAATCAAATAAAACATCGCAAGTTTTAAACAATTTAAATAGATTTCTGCTCAAATAAACACCGCAATTTTTAAACAATTTAAATAGATTTCTAATCAAATAAAACATCGAAAGTTTTAAACAATTTAAATAGATTTCTACTAAAATAAAAACCTTGCAATTTTTAAACAATTTAAATAAATTTCTACTAAATTAAAACCTGACAAGTTTTAAACAATTTAAATAGATATCTACTCAAATAAAACATCGAAAGTTTTAAACAATTTAAATAGATTTCTAATCAAATAAAACTTCGCCAGTTTTAAACAATTTAAATAGATTTCTAATCAAATAAAACATAGCAAGTTTTAAACAATTTAAATAGATTTCTACTCAAATAAAACCTGACAAGTTTTAAACAATTTAAATAGATTTCTACTATAATAAAAATCCGCAATTTTAAAAAAAAATAAAAACCTTGAAATTTTTAAACAATTTAAATGATTTCAACCAAACAAAGAACATTTCTGTTTTTTAAGTTATAAATGTTTTCTTGTGTGTATTTCATGTATTTTAAAAACAGCAATCTAGCGAAGAGTGGACTTAGTACCAATAGGCGCCACTTGGCTGATATGTTTGGGCTCCTAGATCGAGTTCTGTACTGGGGCCCCCGTGCAGTTTATTGGGGCCCCTGGAACGAGTAGTGTACTAAGCTCCCAGATTGAGTTCTGTATTGGGGCCCCTAAACCGAGTAGTCCAGCCGTGTAGTGCCCCCCCCCCCCCCCCACCATTTAACGAACAGCGTTATTTCCTGGTTGTTTTCCTTGATGTTATTTATTAAGGAATTTTTTTATTTTTTTTAATTTACATTTTATAATGACTAAAGCACAGTATAATTAGACTGATAAGTTCTTATTTTGTGTATTATCGGAGACACTTAAGCTTTAAGAAAAAAAAATGCGAAAACTGAGATTCCATTGTTCACGCGTAACACAGACGTAAGCAGACTTTAAAAAACCACACTGAAATATACACGCTCACACAGATCAACACACACACACACACATAAACACGCACATACAGACGAACTTTTGCTTGCTCAATAATGGTACAACAATAAGCAAGGGAAATAACCGAGAAAATGTTTTTTTAAGAGTTACCTTTTTTCCAGCTGGCCGTTTTACCGGTCTTGCTACATTCGATAGAATCATCTGATCGAAATCGTTGTCTTTTTTCTCGATCAACTCTACTTCATCATCTGAAATGGGCTCAAGCTGACCGCAATCACCTGAAATTAACGGGAAAAAAATATTTTAAAAAATTGAAACCGATGGACCCCGTAGTTTTAAAAGGTTTTAAAATTTTAAATTATTGACCTCATCTGTTTAGTTTTATTGTGATTCATTTTAAAACTGTAGGCTTTTTTTGTCTCTTGGGTAGCGGACTAATCCTCTACAGATGTACCAACTGGTAGTACTAAACACATTGATGACTATGACCCGGGTTCGAAAATCAATTTTCTTTCCTGTCATTTTCAGACTATTCACACAATTCGTTTATTGGTTTGAAAAAGTTGAAATTGAAATAATTTTTTTAATGAATTCCTTAAGAAAAAGAACTTAAACAAAGTTTTGGCCAAAACTTACTCGTAGAAATCTGGCCAACGGTCAGTTCTAGTAACACTAAAACGGCGATGACAAGTGATCTAAACATCATGGCTTCGTTGATGTTTTAGATTAGTCTTCCCTGCAGACTGTTCTTCGTCTATGTAGGCTCAGCTGATTGGCTTGTTATATACACTTCCATCTTTATGTTTTGGTCTCCTCTAGCCAATCAGAACACGGGTTACATCGGAAACGATTTTTAAGGGCATTCCTTGTACAGCAGTTTGAAATTGGTGATAGGGATTTTTGCTGATTGCAAGACAAATGGGCGTACGTTCAATAATTCCCTCCCCACCCTCCGTCCAATACACATTACTTGACAACCCCCCCCCCCCCCCATAACACACAGTGCGCATAAGCCCACGACATACCCCATCCGACCTCTGTATACCAGGTTAAAAACCTCCTTTTTCCACCCACCCTGCCCCCTCCAGACACTTCTGCCCCACCCCCCTCTTGATTTTATACATCCCCCCAAGTCAAGCAAAAAAAAAATCCACACCCCACCCCCCAACCCCCACCCCCTCTCCACCGAATTATCCTCCATTTATGAGCGGTGGGATTTTCCAACACAAAATCACACAAGTTCTGTTATTGATCTTCGATCCACATCAAAAACAAAATATTTACCTATTTACCCCCCCCCCCCCCCACACACACACACACACTTCCCCAACCCTCCCTCTAATCTGCCAGCTGCTTATGCGAATATTAGAATAATAGATAATTGATGCGTAAAACCACCACCCCAGCCCACCCCCCACCCCCCACCCCCCACCCCCAAGTGGTCTACGTCACACTCCACTGAATGTATTGTTGTGTGGTTTAGATGTTTAGGGTTTTACCTCAGATTTATCGTTCTTTAAAGGCTCTTTTGCTTTGAACTTAAACTTTGAATCATACACCGGAACTTTTACACCCTCATCGATTTGGTGGGATCGAAGCTGTGCTGATCTTATGTGTGTGTTGATATGTGTTAACGTCTTGTGTTTGTTTTTGTTGTCTTTGGTGTGTGGCAATGTGTTGTATTTGTTTATGTGTCTACGGTATATGTGCGTTAATCTTTGTATGTGTCAGTGTCAATGTTGCGAGTGTCGTGGTCACGTGTATGATTATGTCTCTGTTTTATGTGTGTTTTTGTATATGTCAAAGTCTCGTGCATGTTTATGTGTCTGTGTTGTGTGTCTAAGTCTTATGTATAATGTATGTCAATGTTTGTGCACATCTTTGTCGTGACATTCGTTTGACGAATTAGACATGTTCCTGGCAGGTTGGATCAGCCAAAAGTTCGTATATCGAAGCGCGAATTTTCCATCGGACAACACGTTTACAGTCTGTACTAGATGCGAACCATAAACAGAATGCAAAAAATGCTGAGAATGGAAGGAGCTTATTTGAACTCATTTCTTCCTATTTGAGTGTTGTAGACAAGATTTTCAACCCACGACGTAGATCTAGAATTGAGTTGCCATAACATTTTTTTTTAAATTGTAATAGTTGAAGTTTGTCTTCATTACCCTTCCGTCCCCTACCGTCTTCCTAGCTTACCCTACCATGTGCTCACCATACCCTACCTATTGCCTACCGTCCCATTCTTCCTACCTTCCCCACTTTGTCCCCTACCTATTGCCTACCGTCCCCTTCCAATTTCCGACAGTCCCCTACAGTCTACGACGTTAGCCTACGCAGCCTATCACTACTATTCTTTAGGCCATTCCATTGCCATTCCCTTTCTGTGTTTTTATCTCCCTGCTGTTGTTGGTTTGTAAGTTGCCGTAGGTCTTCGTTGGTAAAATGTTGGACTAGCGGTTGTATGACTTTGTTCTGAGGTTGGTGTTGCTGAATGATTGAGGGTGACGGACACAATTGTGACGGACACAGTTGTGAGTGTGACAGACACAGTTGTGTGGGTGACGTACACAGTTGTGTGGGTGCCGGACACAGTTGTGTGGGTGCCGGACACAGTTGTGTGGGTGACAGACACAGTTGTGTGGGTGACGGACACAGACATAGTTGTGAGGGTGACGGATACAGTTGTGTGGGTGACGTACACAGTTGTGTGGGTGACGGACACAGACATAGTTGTGAGGGTGACGGATACAGTTGTGTGGGTGACGGATACAGTTGTGTGGGTGACGTACACAGTTGTGTGGGTGCCGGACACAGTTGTGTGGGTGACGGACACAGTTGTGTGGGTGCCGGACACAGTTGTGTGGGTGACGGACACAGACATAGTTGTGAGGGTGACGGATACAGTTGTGTGGGTGACGTACACAGTTGTGTGGGTGCCGGACACAGTTGTGTGGGTGACGGACACAGACATAGTTGTGAGGGTGACGGATACAGTTGTGTGGGTGACGTACACAGTTGTGTGGGTGCCGGACACAGTTGTGTGGGTGACGGACACAGTTGTGTGGGTGACGGACACAGTTGTGTGGGTGAGTTGCCAAACTTAAAATGATTGTCACCTATCTAGATTCATAATGAAAAAGTATACATTACAATAAAAAGACAAAACGGGTATAATACTAACTTTTATTATTGCTTTATTGATTTGATGTTACATAATATTGGAAGGTCTAAAATTCAAAGATGGGTAGAATTAGGTTTTAGAATTATTTTGACTGAGTTTTTTGAAAACATACTTTTATGTTATATACCGAGATAAAAATGATTGAAGTCAGACAAAGTCAGCTCTTGTGACTTGTGTCAAGGACTTTTCTGATCGTCTGCTCCTAGACCTGTCTACAGTAGCAGCTGGTGGGCAGGTACCTGGCGAAGTGGACGATGGTTGTCCACCACCAATTGATGTAGCAGACGGCGGCAAATTTGGTGTAGGTGAAGCGCCTCAAGCACACACCAGTGTAGAAACAATCCGGGCAAATTATGGCGCATTTCCTGTAAGAAACGAAACAAAATGGTGTAAACATTCTTTAGACTTTTTGTTTAGCTTGAATTATTTATTTATTTTTTTAAAATTTACATCTAAATAATTCGTGAAAATATCTTTTTTTTTTTATTTAAAGATGTAAATTGGATGAAATCAAATCTTTAGTGTGGCTAGTTTTTTTTTTTTTTTCGATTTTTTTTAACCTGGTATGTTTACAGAGAATACAAAGCTTCAGAAAACTTACCCACTGCTGAAATAAGAACTTACCTACAGTTGCAGTATTGGGCGATGTTGATCCACTGTAGAGGGCAGCACCATGCTTTCATGCCGTGGACTTCATAGTAACCACAACCTATCGGTGCATAGACACTGCGGCAGCCAAAGTTCTGGTAGGCCGGGCAGCACTTGAGAATCTTCGCAGCCCAGTCGGCAAATTGAAAGTAGCGCACATACAGATTCACTTCCGCTAGCCGGGTGAATCCACTTCCGTTCCCTTGACAGCCAGCTAAAGGTTCTTCCACTGTAGCAATCGTGCCTCTTTTGTACTGATCGTAATACAAACTGGCAACCTGACAATTTTTAAACCATTAAAAAATAATTTATCGCAAAGAACTAGATATTTGTTTTCAGGTTTAAAGGTTTTCTTTTAAACAACGCAATCTAGACAATAAACTGCTTAACAGCATTATCCGCCCCATGGCCGATAAGCGTACCGGGCCCCTAAGCGAGTTGTGTACCGGGGCTCCTAGACCGAGCAGTGTACTGGAGCCACTGTGTAAAGTACCGGGCTCCCTGTGTCCCTGGTCCCGGGAATATATAAAATGTTCAAGGAAATGTTTACATGCAAATATGGACGCTAAAGAAAATATACATAGGACCACTACAAACGTAAACGTGAGAGTGTGCGTGAGTTTAAACGCAAACGTAAACGTAAACCAACCCCATTCCACAACCCCATAATTATCCTCATAGTTAACCATATCACAATCTATATCGATTTCCCTACCTCTACCCTTGACCCTACCTCTGCCTTTATCTTTTTCTTTTCATTGGGAGAGCCTTCACACCTCCCCCCCCCCTCCTGAAGAAAAAAAGTCTACCCCCTCCCCCAATAATATTAAGTGCCCCCCCCCCCCCCGCAGAAGAAAGTCTTGAAGAAAAACTGATCAACTTTTTCTATTTTAACCAAAAACAAACACACGCGTACACCCCCCCCCCCCCCGCGCAAACACATACACACACAAATACACGCTCACGCAGATAAACATACACACACATACACACGTACATATAAACACACACTAACATTCGCTCACCCAGCCAGACAGGACTGGAGGGATAAGTAGCAGTAGACCAGACCAACCCATCACATCCCAGTCTCACGTCGACACATTACTATACTACACACTTCACACCATTTTACAATGTGTACAATGGTACTATAAGCAAGGGGGACAAATGAGAAACTTTTTGTTTTAAAATAATAAAACGAATTACCTACCTTGCTTTGAACTGGCTGTTGTAATGGGCGGGCCTCACTTGATAGGAGAGTCTGATCAAATTCGTAGTCTTTTTGCTCGAAAAACTCTACTTCACCGTCTGATTTGGGCTCAAGCTGACCGCAATTAGCTGAAATGAACAAAAAATTTAAACATTTAAAAAAGTGACTTTCAATTATTTATTTTTTTCAAAACTCCAATAACAGACATAATTTTAATATCTGCAGGCTGTCTTTATCCTTTGGGTAGTGGACCAATCCCCTATGAATTACCAGCTTTACCAACTGAAGGCACAATTCACACAGCTGATGACGACCCGGGTTCGAAACTCAGCTTGTGTCCTCTTGTTCTAAGGCTACAAACACAGTTCGTTCTCACAAGCTTTTATTACTTCACTAACTATGTGTGGGTTTGGGTGTGTGTGTGTTGTGTGTGTATGTTTGTGGGTGTGGGTGTGGGTTGTGTGGGTGTGTGTGTATGTATGTGTGTGTATGTGGGTGGGTGTGGGTGGGTGTGGGTGGCTTCGCAAATCTTGGAATATTATTTTCACCCATTTGGATTTGTGCGATTTAACTGGGATATTTGACAAAGTGGTAGATCTACGATGACAATGCAAGAATATCTCATTTTTTAACTTTTTGGTAAGACAATTAGTCATTAAAATTTAATTTAAAACTTGCTGTATTCAGTAATAAAAAGAGAGATAACGAGTGAAATAAAATACTAGCGATCGTTCGATCTATGGACGGTCACGGTTGAGCTCTTTTTCAAGGTTTTCGTACCTTATAATAGACCAGGAAGTAAATAGGGGCAGATAACTGAAATTTAAGAGATCATAGGTGACTGGTCGGATTTTGACGCAAATATTTTTACTGGTGGCCTATGTAGTGTCCGCTTAATTTCGAACGAATGAATTATAAAAATTAGAAAATAAAACAAATATAAAAAAAACGTTTATAGCAACAAGCTTTTAAATACACTGAAAATCCTAATATATAAAAGCCCATGTGAGCACTTCTCTCTCTCCCGCTCTCTCTCTCTGTCCGCAACATTTTTGAGGCTATGTCATCGGTATGTTCAGCGATATATGGAGAACTTAAAGATACAGACTTTTGTTGAAAATAATATGTTGGATGTATAAACTAAATTTTATTTAAAGAAGGAAAATAAAAATAAAGAAATATTCGAATGTAGAAACACAGTTTTACCTATGTAGCCGAAAAAGTGTTTATTGTTGTGACAAGAACGCAAAAAACAATGACGTCACATGTTTAAACTACGGAAAGTACACAAAAGTAATGGCGACATCTTCCAATTTTAGAAGATCAAGAAATGAACTAATTCATTCAAATTTGATTTACATCTATAGATCTACTTATCAATATATACGCTATGAAATGTATAAAATTTTCTCGGCCAAAATTAATACAGATTACTTTTTAAAAAAACAGAATGACCATTGAACAGCCGAGTTTTTAACGGAATCATTTTAGTCTCTTAATCAGTGTGTGTATTTAATATGGTGTTGTGTTGACTAATATTGTATATAATTTTGTTTTTCTAATAGGCATTGGTAGTTTATGTTATTTTAAATGTGTCGGATTTTTAGCTATTTAGTTATTTCTTTGCTTTGTCATTAATATCGTGTAGTAAAGCACGTTGCGTTTTGACCAATAACTATTTTATAAAATACTTTTCTCAAACAAGTTTAACATTAAAATATAAAGGCATATGATTCTGATTCACATAACGGGTACCGACGGCTAGTAAGTAAATAAAACTAAAACTAATGTTTTTTTTCTTTGATAAAAGCTTTGGTTGCTAAAATATGTAGATATCTCATGGTGGACCACAGCTTTTATTAAAGAAAGCAGCCATCCGTGATCACAATTAACAGACAACAGCATGCTGATCAAGCGAAGGATAGTTCTTAATTATTGAATCAAATCGTTTAAAAACTGTATTTTCTGCCCCTATTAGCCTTAACTACTTCGACCCGGCTCTACGTTTGTAAATATTCGGCGTGAACAAGAGCTAAGCTGACTAGTCGGGTGATAGCGTCTATGTAGTTATCTCCCCTTTGTATAGTAATCAATCTAGTGAATTGATTTTGTTATCTCCCCTTAGTTTCGAAAAAGTTTAAATAAATGTAATGACTAATTTAACATCTAATTAAATTAAAACGTAGCTGGAAATTTAGGAAGATATCGCTGCGTTAGAAGTGGGTCATTTGTGATTTGTGAATAGAATAAAAGCGATTTTTCCTTATTTTTTTTTTAAGTGAGAAAAACTGAAGCCGAATCAAGTTTTTTACCAAATTTTCTTTAGAATAACTGAACTTAAAACAATTGTCTTATCAATTCCTACATTGTTTTAAATGAAATTGAAACCAATGTATTATCAACTTCTTTTTTTAAAAAAAACGAAAATCTTGAAATTTAAACCAGTTAACAACATATTTAGAAAAGCTGAAATCAAAACCATGTTTAGACCAAAGACTCACCCGTCAAAATCTGGCCAATGGTCAGTTCTGGAAGCACCAGTACCAAGATGACAAGTGATCTAAACATCGTGAAGTCGTTGATCTTTTAGATTAGTATACCTTGTGCGCTGCTTGTTGTCTGTGTAGGCTGAGCTGATTGGCTTATTATATACACGTTCTCCGTGATGCTTTGGTCTAGTGCAGCCAATCAGAACACGCCGTTGCATCTATTACGCCTCCAATGACGTTTATCCTGTAACAGTTTGAAAATACCTCCTCTTGCCACCCCACCGTCTTCAGAATATATAGACAGTTTTGTCCCTTCCCCCTGAGTAAGTGCCCACCCCACTGGATTATACCCCCCATCCCCCCTTCTCCTAGAATGTTGATGTTTATGTGAGTCCCCCCCCCCTCCCTGGGCCGTCATTCCTCTATGGCCGGTGGGATTTCTCTACACAAAAACCATACCTGAAAATACAAGTTATATCATTGATCTTCCGCCTACGGTATTTAGCGATCCCACCCCCCCCCCCCCCCTCCCTTAGATTAGCCAGACGTTTTAGATAGTTTTCAAAGCAAATATTAGAAATACTTAAGAAATAATAGATAAACCCCAACCTTGGCGGGTCACCCCCTAATGACTGCCGGCTGGATTAAATGTTTGGGATAAGATTTATTGTTCTTTAAAAGCTCTCTTTCTTTGAAGTTAATATTAGGAATCATAAACCAAAATTTTTAGTATTAATTTCATCGATTTGATGGGGTCGAAGCAGTGTTGTTCTTGTATGTGTGTATGTATGTGTGTCAAGGTCTTGTGAATGTCGATGTGTCTTCCTTATATGTGTTTTGTGCGTGTTGTCTGGTGTATGCTTATATGTCTATGTTGTGTGTCAAAGTCTCGTGCAAGTTTATGTATCTGTGTTGTGTGTCTAAGTCTAATGTATAATACATGTCTATGTTGTTGTAACAGACTATGCATGTCAAAGTATGTGCACATCTTTGTCGTGACATTCGATTGACGAATTAGACATACTCCTGGCGCGGTTAAAGTTCCCTTTAAAACCTGACGGTCTATAGCGCAAGTGAAGTAGAGTTCAGGGATAGTGTAGTCAGTACTGTGCCAGTTGCCTTTACTTTCCCTAACGTGAGTTAGGTACACATTAGAGCTGGGTGGACTCAGGGACGGTCTACTGACTTGAACCCGGATTCGAACCCGAGACTTACTGGTTAGCAGTCCAGCTCTTTACCGCTAGACCTGGCGCGGTTGGATCAGCCACAAGTTCGTTCATCGAAGCTCGAATGTTCCATCGGACAACACGTTTACAGTCTGTGCTAGATGCGAACCATAAACAGAATGTAAAAGATACTGTGGTTGGAAACAGATGTTACATCACACATCAACAATACATCACTGCCTGACTCTTAAACATCACACATCAACCAGACATCGCTATCTGACTCTGTAACATCACACATCAACAAGACATCACTACCTGAATGTAACTTCACACATCAACAAAACTTCACTCCCTGACTGTAACATCACACATCAACAAAATATCATACATCGACATCCCAGCAAACTGACAAATGACATCATACATCGACATCCCAGCAAACTGACAAATGACATCAGCATATGACATGATGTCAAACCTACCATATGACTCCGAAAACATCTACAAGATGACATCATAAACCAATGTCACATGTCATCTGTATCGTCACACACCAACACAAATGACATCACAAATCAATCACGCATCATCCACAACTAGTAAACAATTACTGAATTTGTTTATTTAACGACCACAAGTCTACAAAATGGAAATGGTATAATTTTTAAATCACTAAATACCAGCTTCAGTAGCTGTCCTTGAGTTACAATTTTAACTAGTAGTTTAAAATTCCAGACATTAAATGTATAAACTGGAAGTTTTAATTACAAAAAAAAATGCATAATTAGTTATAATCGTGTAACATTTCATTGGCATGCTTATATCAATATGACACAAAGTCTTAATCACAGTAGTGCTAAAATAGTTTATTATTCAATATTTATGGGAACATATATATATATATATATATATATATATATATATATATATATATATATATATATATGTTAAAATAATTTTAAAAAGTGAATTCGTTACTCATATATAAACATGTATATTAAACAATTTAAAATGTTTATTTTTAATATTCAAATATGAACACGTATATTAATAATTTAAAGTGTTTTTTTAATATTCAAATATTAATATTAAATAATATTAAATAATTTTAAAAGTTTTTCAATATTCATATTCATGTATATTCATATTCATTTATATTAAATAATTTAAGATGGTTTATTTAATACGAACATGTATATTAAATAATTTAAAATAGTTTATTCAATATTTATATGTCAGCATGTAAAAAAGATGATTTAAAATATTTTATTCAATCTTCATATGTGAACATGTATATAAAATAACATAATGAAAGATGTCATAAATACTGTCTATGGTTTATTTTAATAGTCTTCCATGTGCCAGATAAATAAAACTGATGCTAAGCTTAAAAAAATGAAAACTGAGATAGGATGTTAAAAATAGTTTTTAAAAGTTAAAACAATAAAACAATAAGTTGAAATGGTGTCATTATGTTATGGAGAAATACACAGGTTAAGAGAAAAAAATTATAATTCAAATAAATGATGTAACTATTGTTATGGAGAGAAACAAAGGTTAGGGGGTGGCGGGGGGGGGGGGGGGGGCAAAAAAATTATAAGTCAATTAAATGATTTAGTTATTATTATGGAGAGAGGTACAAACTTTAAGGGAAAAAAATACTTTTTTGTTTTCACAAGCATAAAGATCTTAGTGTGGTTTAAAATATACAGTAATTGACAAAAACAACAGAACTTGATATCTAAAGATAACCAGTTATATTTTAAAATTATACTATAAAATAATGCAGCATAGGTGTAAAAATATAAATGTTCAAAACATATTTTCTTAATAAACAAAAATGTCTTTATACAGTGAATAATTTAATTTAACTTACTTTTGTGACGATTTGTTTTCTAATTGAAATATAATTTATCGTGGGGGGGGAGGGGGGGGGGGATTTTTCATACCAGTGTCTGATAATAGCATCTTCTTTAAAAAAGATTTTAGTTTACTGGTAGTTAACTAAAATACAGACATGGCTTGCTAATGTCATGGCTAACCCTATAGATTACCTTAACCCTAGTCCTACCATATACCTAATCCTTATTTCTAACCATAAAACTAGTTGAGATTACCATACTACTAGCTACCCAACACACCTATTTTGGAAGAGTCTATTATCGGAGATCAATATGTTCAATCATCCAATGTATATAATGCCCTTCTAGCTCATGTTACAAAAAGATTAAAGACCATAATTAAAGACCATAATTAAAGACCATAATTAAAGACCATAATTAAAGACCATAATTAAAGACCATAATTAAAGACCATAATTAAAGACCATAATTAAAGACCATACTTAACGTAATAATAATTCTTTTGAACTTTTTCAAAATATAACCATGAAACATTCATCACAAATACACAAGACAAAAACAGTTTCAATAATAAGCTAGTGGTAGTTCGCTGAGGTAGTTTTATCTTTGGTGATGGATTCTGTGTCCCAGTGGATAATTAACACGAATTTTAATTATTATAAGCAAATAAATAATAAATTATCCTACATTAATACAATGGTACCTGGAATAGATGATTTTTAAAATAAATAATTGACAACTGCGGAATATCTTACGATGAAAATTTTAAAATTGTGACAATTATTGTCTTTGATTAGCTGGCAACAATTTCAGGTTTAAATAAATATTGGACAAAATACAAATTTTTACAATACAATTTTAAAATACAATTTTTTTAACATTGTGACAATTTTTTTTAAACGTCTTAGAAAAAGGGTCAAAGATTAGATAGTTGAATAAAATTTGACAAAAGCACGGCAAAATAAAAAATGTAAATGTTTTTGATTTTACAACATGAGAACAAGATACAGTTTAAACATTGTGGTTAAAAAATGCTTTCCTAGTTATAAGTAGTTGTTGAATGAAATTCACAAATTCGCCGTTTATAGTTGTGTAAAAATGCAACTTCAACAGCGATAAAAAAAAAAAACATTGCTTCATTTTTTTTCTTTATATCTTTAAAAATATTTTTAGGAAACTATTTAAACTTCCAATTCTGTTTTCTGTAGCGGTTCTGTTTCCTCCTTGTCTCCCTTTAGCCCTCCCTCTTTGGTCAGACTATTGTTTTCTTTCATGAACTTTTTGTCGTTTAGTTTTTTAAAAAGTGGCTCCATCAAGATAACAATGGTACTCAACATTACCATCACGCCCACATAATGGAGGGGGATAACAAAACTACCTGTGGCATCCAGCATTGCTCCTGAAATGGTAATTTTATGTCAGTCATATGTTTCAACTATATGGTAATCTTATATCAAAGTTACATATCTAACCTATATGGTGATCTTATGTCAAAGTTACATATCTAACCTATATGGTGATCTTATGTCAAAGTTACATATATCTAAATGGTGAACTTATGTCAAAGTTACATATATAATCTATACGGTGCTTGTATGGCAAAGTTATATTTGTAAAATAAATTGGTTTTACTTTCATCCTTTTAAATTACAAACTGTGAGGTTACATATATAGAAAATTATGTTGAGTGATTTTTAAACTGTTGGTTCTAAGTTTTTAAAACAGTCCAACAATATTGTTTTATGCCAGTATTTACAAACTAGTCTATAATTTGTAAAGCTATGTCAGACAGCCATGTTGTATGGTTCCATACATTAATCTGCTTTGTTATATTTTAAATAACAAATGGGACCAAAGCCCAGTTATTATTTCTTTTATGTTATTCTTAAATTAGCTGTAAATATAACATTAAATATTAAATACGATTTAAACCTAAAACTAGTTATAAAACTATAAAAATGAAAAGATTTATTCATTACGAGTTAAACATAATTGATATGAATATCTCTAATTAATACATATCGAGCAAGATTAATTCATTTTGTAGATAGAGAATGAAATATAATAAGATTCCAATACAAGTTATCCTAGCACACTTACCTAACACAGGATGGTTAAGGGAAATAACTAACGTTGCGATCATCATAGCAAGACCATTGGCCTTGGCGATATTTTCCGCCCCAAAGTAGTCAAGCAGCATGACGTTGTAGAAGTTCTGACGGAACCCGCCGAAAATGCCGACTAAAACGGCGAAGGCCACGAACAGCTTGTAGGTGTTGAACAGCCTGGAGCACTGACATATGACAGTGATGACAGCTAGGCTGAATGCCACTAACTGACAGAAGACAGAAGCAAACAAATAAACTCTCATGAACATTTTCTAGATTTAATGGCATCTTGTGCATCATCTGTAGAAAGATTAACCTACTAATGTTAGGTAAGATTAAACGTTATGAATCTAAAACGTACGAGCAAGTACTAAAATTTATGTATTCTATAAAGTACAATGTAAAGAGACCCTTTCTGGCCTAATGGTCAATAGGGTAGGTGAAGTAGAGTTTTTCTGATTCGCAGCCTTAGCATACAAAGGGATTGTGTGGTCAGTTTACTCCCCAGTCAGTTAATCTGTACCCATCAGTTAATTAGGCTCATATCCTAAGGGCTCAACAACCCAAGATTTGAACACAAGACTTCTGGGTTAGCAATACCACACTCCGCCACTTAGCCATGCCTCAAGCCTCACCCCATAGTGTGTTACATAGGTAACGTTAAAAACGTAACTCAGGCACTTTTCTTTAGCAATTCAACGTATCAATATAATTACCAACTTTAGTAAAGATAATACTGTAGTACAGAGGCGTCATCCAGTCAGGGATCACCCGATGTGACGAGTGAGGGTGTCACCCCACCCCTTTCAACAACTTTTGGTGTCACAACTCTAACTTAACAATTTGTTATATTCACATCGCGTTAACAGTAAATTTTTCATTTTTTTTATTTGGTGTCACCCTTAAATTGTGCCCCCCCCCCGGTGCCACCCCCTCCTCCCCGCCGTGTGACGCCACTGCTCTAACCAGTGGCGTAGCGAGGTCGGGTGTCACCCGGTGCGGCACTTAATGGTGTCACCCCCCCCCCCCAGAGGCGTTGCGACCCTTCCCGGGGACAAACTTTCAAGTTTTCGATTTGCACCCCCCCCTCAAACTTTCGATTTGCACCCCCCTCAAGTTTTTGATTTGCACCCTTCCCCCCCCCCCCCTCAAACTTTCGATTTGCACCCCCCCCCCCTCAAGTTTTTCTCTATATATTTTGCTATTTTTGCCTTGGTGTCACCCCCCCCCTAAATGGTGTCACCCGGTGCGGTCCGCACCCCCCGCCCCCCCTCCCCTCGCTACGCCCCTGGCTCTAACCATACCTTAGGCTTGGAGACAAACTTGAAGTCCGCGATGAAGCCCATGACGATCCTTGTGACGAGGTCAGTGACCCCACTTACAGTCATCAACATGGCCGCATCAGACTTCCCTATCCCTGACGTCACGGCTATTGTTGGCATGTAGATGGTCAGGTAGTTGCTGAACACAGCCAGGGCCGTGAACAACATCATCATACGGAACAACCAGTTCTGTGGGGGAAAGTTAACATCATCATACGAAACAACCAGTTCTGTGGGGGAAAGTTAACACCATCATACGAAACAACCAGTTCTGTGGTGGGGGGGGGAAGTTAACATCATCATACGGAACAACCAGTTCTGTGGGGGAAAGTTAACATCATCATACGGAACAACCAGTTCTGTGGGGGAAAGTTAACATTATCATGCCAAAGTTAACATCATCATACGGAACAACCAGTTCTGTGGGGGAGAAAGTTAACATCACCATACGGAACAACCAGTTCTGTGGGGAGAAAGTTAACATCATCATTTGAAAAGTTAACATCATCATAAGGAACAACCAGTTCTGTGGGGAAAGTTAACATCATCATACGAAACAACCAGTTCTGTGGGGGAAAGTTAACATCATCATACGAAACAACCAGTTCTGTGGAGGAAAGTTAACATCATCATACGGAACAACCAGTTCTGTGGGGAGAAAGTTGACATCATCATTCCAAAAGTTAACATCTTCATTTGAAAACTTAATATCATTTCAAAAGTTAACATCATCATTCCAACAGTTAACATCATCATTCCAACAGTTAACATCATCATTCCAACAGTTAACATCATCATTCCAACAGTTAACATCATCATTCCAAAAGTTAACATCATCATTCCAAAAGTTAACATCATCATTCCAACAGTTAACTTCATCATTCCAACAGTTAACATCATCATTCCAACAGTTAACATCATCATTCCAACAGTTAACATCATCATTCCAACAGTTAACATCATCATTCCAACAGTTAACATCATCATTCCAAAAGTTAACATCATCACTTCAAAAGTTAACATTAACATTCGCCACAACCAGTTCTATAGGGGAAGATGCTCAGGATATTGTGTTAGTGGAAAATGTTTACCTAAGCCTAAAATGAATCAAATGATTCAATGTTTTTCACCTTTTTACCTTTTTACTGGCATCAAAAACAGTTTAATTAAAACGTTGATGTAAAACTATAGTGCGAGCCAAAATTGTTTACCTGAAACTATAGTGTGAGCCAAAAATGTTTACCTTGAAAAGCGACAAATCAATGAATGTGCTCAGCTGACAGCCACGCCCACTTTTCTCGCTCTCCTCCGCTAAAGACGGCAGGATACAAGGGAGATCAGCGTGACTGACCACACTCAGCTGACTCGTGTAGCGCTCCAGGCTGATCTGTTTTCTACTGCTGGCGACTGTACTGCTATCACACGATATTTGCCGGGAAGGAACAAGCACGTTTCTTTGACTAGAGAACAGTGTAGGGGAGAGTCCCCCGGATGTGAAGCCATTTTTAATCTGCTCGGCGTCTGAACAAGATCGCTGCCGTGAAGTTTTTATTTGCGTGTTTTCAGCGTCTTCGTGTATGAGAACCTCCTTGAAGCTAGGATCGTCGTCCTTTGATCCAATGCCATCATACTTGTCCTCGTTTGCCTCATCAGGACAAGGGTCCTCTACAAGACTGACGTCCTCGTCTTGACCTTCACCTTTGGTGTTGTACACGTCACCGGAAGTGATCAAGAATGGGTTGGGGTCAGAGTTCACATCGTGGTTTGGGCCCTTGTAAATCGGCGTTCTGTTTTGTTTCGCTGCTTTTTCCTGTTGCCTCAGTTTAAAGTGATAACGTTTTCTGTTCAAGAAAAATAAGTGTTAGATTTATAGTCAGGTTAAATTTCATTTTAAAATTACAAACAATAATTCCCAAACCTTAATACAAACATGTAAGCCAATACGAATTCTTGGCCAAGAATTTTTTTAAATTGTTTCTTGATCACTGCTGGGTGGCATGTTCGAGTATTAGAACACACGAATGTTAACCCAGAAGTCTCGAGTTCGAATCCTGGCCTCAAGGCTGCTGGACGTCCCTAAAGCTCTGATGGGTACCTGATAGGGAAACTAGGGCGGCTGGGCATAGTGCTGACCACATAATCATCTCGTATGCTGAGGTCATTGAATTAGATAAACTCTACTTCATCTACCCCATGTGTAAAGGGCACGAAAGGGAAAAGATGATGATTGACAACCTAACTAGAGCGTACAAGACATACTGGACGGCCACTACATAAAACACTGGACGGCCACTACATAAAACACTGGATGGCCACTACATAAAACACTGGACGGCCACTAAATAAAACACGGGGCGGTCAATACATAAAACACTGGACAGCCATTACATAAAACACTGGACGGCCACTAAATAAAATACTGGACGGCCACTACATAAAATACTGGACGGCCACTACATAAAATACTGGACGGCCACTACATAAAACACTGGACGGCTGCAACATAAAAACACTGGACGGCCACTACATAAAATACTGGACGGCCACTACATAAAACACTGGACGGCCACTACATAAAACACTGGACGGCCATTACATAAAACACTGGACGGCCATTACATAAAATACTGGACGGCCATTACATAAAACACTGGACGGCCATTACATAAAAACCTGGACGGCCACAATTCATAAAATACTGGACGGCCACTACATAAAACACTGGACGGCCATTACATAAAACACTGGATAGCCACATTTCACAAAGCACTGGACGGCCACTTACTTGTAGCTTTCAACAGGACGTAGCAGCATATTTACGGCCACCAGGTGAAGTTCCACCCCAGACAGAATCAACAAAGTCCCTCTAAAGCCAATCTCCAGCCTACAAGAAAATAAATGCTTGTATGTGTGACAGACAGAATCAACAAAGTTCCTCTAAAGCCAATCTCCAGCCTACAAGAAAATAAATGCTTGTATGTGTGACAGACAGAATCAACAAAGTTCCTCTAAAGCCAATCTCCAGCCTACAAGAAAATAAATGCTTGTATGTGTGACAGACAAAATCAACAAAGTTCCTCTAAAGCCAATCTCCAGCCTACAAGAAAATAAATGCTTGTATGTGTGACAGACAGAATCAACAAAGTTCCTCTAAAGCCAATCTCCAGCCTACAAGAAAATAAATGCTTGTATGTGTGACAGACAGAATCAACAAAGTTCCTCTAAAGCCAATCTCCAGCCTACAAGAAAATAAATGCTTGTATGTGTGACAGACAGAATCAACAAAGTCCCTCTAAAGCCAATCTCCAGCCTAGGAGAAAATAAATGCTTGTATGTGTGACAGACAGAATCAACAAAGTTCCTCTAAAGCCAATCTCCAGCCTACAAGAAAATAAATGCTTGTATGTGTGACAGACAGAATCAACAAAGTTCCTCTAAAGCCAATCTCCAGCCTAGGAGTAAATAAATGCTTGTACGTGTGAAATGTGTAGTCAGTGGTGGATAAAGGTGGGGGCTGATAGGGTCGCAGCCAGGGACCTTCTATTATTGGGCAACCAAATCATCTCAGCCAGACCCCCACTCACAGCCATACGCACACATAACTGGATGATTTTCAGTTAGCCCTCACTATTCCACCTCAGACTCGGGATCATTTTAGCAGTAGCCCCTCCCCCCCCCCCCCCTCCTCCTTGATCATTTAAACAAGTGCGCTAAGGAGCAAGTCTATTGATTCTTTAAATTTAGAACACAAGAAAATTGAATGTTGAGACACAACACAGATTCGAATTAATATTCTAATTAATATTCTAATTAATATTCTAATTAATATTCTAATTAAGATCTCAGTGTGTGGAGCTCTTGCTATAATTTAATTAAACCCATCTTGTAAAAATGGTTTCTAACCACCGGGTTCTCCCAAACTTTACCTGAGAATCTCTGTTAGAGGTGGGGGTTCACCCAAACTTTACCTGAGAATCTCCGTGAGGGGTGGGAATGCGATGTAAGCAACACAGAATCCGGCGCTCCCTAGAGACGACGCCATGGCCCTCCTCTTGTTGAAGTAGAAACCGATCATAGACAAGGGGCAGAGGATGAGCCCGCCGAACGCGACGCCTGGGTGGGAGAGATCAATTATTAGGGTACCTTTTATCGGCACGAATGTTATTTTGGCAAATTGGCAGCGTTAATTATAATGCTATTTGACAATTTCGAGATTATTTTTACTGGTGTTCTTCTTCTTCTTCGTTCTTAATTATTAGTGATGAAGTGGATCGAGATTTATCTGTCAGTGGGTTTTGAACTCGAGACTTTGTTCGAATTTATCAACCTTGAGCTTTTTGCCGACTCGACCACGCGTTCGACACAATTAAGCGTTACGTGTCAACTGGTTATGCGCCATTGAGGCCATTGACTCCGATTTCAGCCTACTTTTCTTTTTGGATTTGCTTCCATAGCCTTTGTCCAACCAAGAACAAACTACAAGGCAGCAGGTGTTTAATTTTGGAGTTGTCTCTCCTAGAAGAATGGCTGTCCCCAGCTAACGAGCCTCATCTGCCCGAGGGCTCGAACTCGAGAATTTTCGGTTTAGCAACCATGAGCTTTACCGACTCAACCACGCCGAACCCATAAGGGCATCCATTTATGACACCCAAGCTGGAATAGGGTTTTTTTCTGCCGACACACAATGCTTTGGTGTTCAATTCGACAGAGAAAAAAAAATGATTTTTATAAAATGTTATTGTTATATATATATATATATATATATATATATATATATATATATATATATATATATATATATATATATATAATATATATATACAATATTTATATATTAAAAAGTAGAACAGAATGAGTTTTGAAAAACTTTAATTGGGCGTCTTAAGTGACGTCACACTAGGGGGTGGGGACAAACTTTTAACAAGATGTAATTTCCTTACCTTTGACGATGAAGAGCAGCAGGAAGATGACGATGTTTGGGGCAAACGACACGAGAATCGAAGCAACACCGTTGATCATAGCACAGAAGACGGTGATGGTCCGCACGTCAAACCTCTTCATGACAATATTCGAGATCATCACAGCTGTCGACGGTGGTTGAAAGTTAAACCACGTGATAACAGAAGAAATGTAGCCATAACTACAGTGTTTATTAAAACAGTTAAAATACTCAACTCACAGACACAAATGCCTAGCCGGAAATAATTTTATAGCGAAAGTGCTGAGTTTGTTTTTTTTAAAATAACAGGATTGTTTTCGTTTTCATTTTTTTTTATCATTGCGTATTCACCCTCAGCCTCAGTTAAACATTTTTTTTTATGTTTTTGTTGTTGTTTTTGTTGTTGTTTTTGTTGTTGTTTTTGTTGTTGTTTTTGTTGCTGTTTTTGTTGTTTTTGTTGTTGTTTTTGTTGTTGTTTTTTGTTGCTGTTTTTGTTGTTTTTGTTGTTGTTTTTGTTGTTGTTTTTTGTTGCTGTTTTTGTTGTTGTTTTTGTTGTTGTTTTTTGTTGCTGTTTTTGTTGTTTTTTGTTGCTGTTTTTGTTGTTTTTGTTGTTGTTTTTGTTGTTGTTTTTTGTTGTTGTTTTTTGTTGTTTTTGTTGTTGTTTTTGTTGTTTATTTTTGTTGCTGTTTTTGTTGTTTTTGTTGTTGTTTTTGTTGTTGTTTTTTGTTGCTGTAGTAAGGAGGGATGATGTCTAATGTTGCACCAACACATCCACACACACCGTCTATGTGTTTTAGTTGAGAATTATATCATGGGAACACAAGACCACCCTCGTGGATCACCCCCCCCCCCAACCCACACACATGATACATCTCTCCTTATACACTCATATATCATTGTAGATGTCAATCAAACAACACTTCACTCCTTCCATGACTCGAAATCCTTAAATGGGAGTTGGGGGGGGGGGGAAATGTAGACTCCGTTTGTACATGACATTAAACATTGGGGTTACTGAACGTCCAAACTAGAGTTTACATTAGCCACTGGACGGCCAGTCGTTAAACATAAACACCGGACTGCCACATGCCTACATGCAACTGGACGGCCATACGAGAGCTTACATGAAATACTTCCGGCCAGCGAGTGGACGGTGAACATGAGAGAGATGACCGTGTTGGTCTCCTGGAAGGCCTGCACGATGTCCACGAAGAGCACAGACAGTGACCGCGTGTAGCCCACCACGACGAACATGTCCAGGAAGGAGACTGAGAAAACACAAACATTGAAACGTGAGAAACAATGGTACGTCTAGCTTCAATATGCTGCCCTTCTAGCTTCAATATGCTGCCCTTCTAGCTCCCATATACTGCCCTTCTAGCTTCAATATGCTGCCCTTCTAGCTTCAATATGCTACCCCTCTAGCTCCCATATACTGCCCTTCTAGCCTCAATATGCTGCCCTTCTAGCTCCCATATGCTACCCTTCTGCCTCCTGTATGCTGCCCTTCTAGCTCCCATATACTGCCTTTCTAACTCCCATATTCAGCCCTTCTAATTCCCATATTCTGCCTTTGTAACACCTGTATGATGTCATTCTGATGCCTGAAAAACAGACGTTTAACCAACGCTCCTTAATATTTTAAATATGATACCTAATTTGTCAGAAAATGACACCTAATTTGTCAGAAAATTATACCTTATTTGTCAGAAAATCTTACCTAACCAAACCAATCTCCTTTCTTTGCTCTACACCAAACCCCAGACATTTGCCCTAAACTTATTCCAATTTTCTGCTTCTTCTAAACTTAACCATTTGTAGTCTCTCGTTCTAAATTTAACCATTAGTCCCTCAACCTAAGGATTAATTAAACCACAACCTTTATGCCTCTCTGTTGTTTTTTTTCTAGAATCGCCAGCAATCTCGATCAGAATCTAATACCGGCGTGAAACTTAACCCTAACCCTTAACCGCACACTACACCCTAACCCAGCCCTAACCCGAGCCGTAACCGCGAACCCAAAACGATTCTGATAGCAGAAATCAGATCAAATCTATACTACACTGAAGTGTTCTGTCCGTGTTTGTTGGGGTCTGTTTCACCATCAATGGGTTAATGTGGGTAATCGGGGTGTATATGTGCGGGGGGGGGGGGGGGAGGTGACCTACTTATAGCGATGACCCACGACCATCCTCTCTCCATCGGGACCCCTTCGTTCTCTCTGTCCATCTCTTCCTGTGACGTCACCACCTCCGTCTTGTGGTTGTTCGCCTTAGGTTGTTTAACCTTCATGTTGCTATGGTGACCAGGTCAGCACGAGATTCAACAGTGGCTGGCACCAGTCACGTGTCATCTGGGGAGAGAGTAAACAATACAATGGTAGAAACTTAGCTTCCTTAGTAACCAATGACTCCCTTAGTAACCAATGACTTCCTTAGTAACCAATGACTTCCTTAGTAACCAATGACTTCCTTAGTAACCAATGACTAAGTAATAAACGGCTTCTTTAGTAATCAACGGCTTACTTAGTGACCAAAAGCTTCCTTAAAGACCAATGGCTTCCTCAGTAGCCAACGGTTTCCTTAGAGCTAAATGGCTTCCTTAGTGACCAACAGTTTTCTTAGGGACCAGAAGCTTCCTTCGTTACCAACGGCTTCCTTAATAACCAACGGCTTCCTTAGTAACCAACGGCTTCCTTAGTAACCACCAGCTTCCTTAGAGACCAATAGCTTCATCAGTTACCAGAAGCTTCCTTTGTAATCAACAATTTTCTTGGTGACAAATAACTATCTTATTGACTAACGGCTATTTTAAAAACATCCAACAGTTTTATAATTAACCATCCCCTTCTAAGATAACGCTAATTTCCCGTAGACTCGAACCCAGCAATGAAAGAATTCTTGTACCAGTTTACCTACCAGACCACGCTGGCTCAGTTTACGAGTGTTCTAGAAATGCCCCACAATGTCCTAGAAATGTCCCACAATGTCCTAGAAATGTCCCACAATGTCCTAGAAATGTCCCACAATGTCCTAGAAAGGTCCTACAATGTCCTACAAACAACTATGTCCACACATTCCATCACGAGACCTGACCGTAAACAAAACCTGACCTTAAAATTGGACAACCCTTATCAACAAGAGTGTGTATCCTTATCAAAAAGGGTGTGTATGATACTACCGAGATGATAATGTGAAGATGAAGAAACTAGCCCTTGGTGAATTAAAAAATAACCAGACTTGGAATTCCCGTTCATTGATGTTTTGATGTATTTTAAGTAGAGTTGTGTTGTATGAACAACAACAGTACAACAATGTCAGCTATACCAGCGATTTTAAAATACTGCTTGTCCAACGGGAGGGGGGGGGGGGATTGGGTGGTAGAGTGGTGTCTCATAAATTTCATAATAACAGAGGACAAAATAACTGTCCTCTCTACATCAAAAAAACTGTGATTGAATATGGCTAGGCGCATATTAGAATTTTTACTGACATCAATTTAGGTTATCGCTAGTTTTAATCGAATAAAAAAGCACACATACACACACACACACACATATATATATATATATATATATATATATATATATATATATATATATATATATATATATATATATATATATATATATATATGTATATATTGATTTTAATTTAAATAAAAATTGTACTTGAAACAAATATCAGACTTGGCTACTGATGTATTTGAAGTACGTATTATAATTGAAATAAGTATAGTACTTGAACCAAGTATAGTACTTGAAAAAGTATCGTATTTGAAATAACTATCGTACTTAAATAGGTATCATACTTGAAATAAGTATTGGATAAAACAAGTACTTTACATAAGCCCATCATTGTAGCCTATCAAGTTTTGCATAAACATCCGTTTCCCGTTATTATGTTATAATTGACCACAAAATACCCCCCCCCCCCCCATATATGATAACGAACGCTAATTAACCTATTAAATCAACTTACCTTTTACATAACACCCATATCCAATAATGAATAGTACAATTAACGAGACGATAACAAAATATGGTAATTTTAAATTTTAGTGTCCAACTGATCTAATATTATTGTGACTGAAGATGGTGTAATAAAGCTGTAACTATTGGACTAAGTACGGTAGCCCACGTTCAACCTACTGTTTCTCTACATTACATCAGGCGACTTCCAACTTACTCCTGTATGTTGCATCATGCGGGTTCACCAGGAGAATTACAGCTACCGCATTTACACAAATAAATTACCCAAGCAGGGCATTGAAGAAAATTACAACTACCGTATTTCGACAAATAACTGACCCAAGCGAGTTGACCAGGACTTTGAACCATCATATTTACACACAACATCAAGGAGCATTAAGACTACCGTATTTACACAAATAACTGACCCGAACCTGAACAAACTGTCATACGGAAAGATAGCTCCGTGCTGCACACGGTAAAGGGCAAGGAAATGTCGTCTGTTAGACGTCTGCTGTGTTTAGACAAACTCAGGCAGGTGTGGATGGGTACATGTGACCATGTGACACCAGGTACATTTTGTCACGTGACATCACGTAAAGATAACCACGTGACATCTAGTACAAATGACCACGTTATGTCACCACGTGACGGCCAAGTACATATCACCACGTGACAGGAAGTACAGACGACCACGTGTCTAGAGTGGCGTTATTTTGACGTAAATAATAATAAAGTATTTTTGTGACCCGTGTTTCTTCCAGGCTTTTTTCTCCGGGGGGGGGGGGGGGGCTTGAAAATTTTATGGGGAGGAGGCGGACACTTTTTAAAGTATATATTTTCTATATAAATTCCATTTCATACGGGGGGGCAGAGTTACTTCCAGGCATCTCTTCGGGCCGCCCCCCCCCCCCCGAAAACAATTTACCGCCCCCCCCCCCCCCCCCCCGAACGAAATGAAATTTATATAGTTTATATAGAAAATATATACTTTTAACAGTGTCCGCCCCCCCCCCCCGAAGAAAGTCTACCGCCCCCCCCCCCCCCCCCCGAAAATTTCAAGTGCCCCCCCCCCACCCCGGAGAGAAAAGTCTGGAAGAAACACTGGGGGGGGCGGTAGAATTTCTTCGACGAGTTGCCAGCAAGAAACTCTGTTTGTAACAAGTTTTTTTGTGACCAGTTTTTTTTTTGTGTGTTAATTTGTGGTAGTTGCCCGGTTTTTTTGTGCTAATTGATTGGCCAGCTGTCAGCCTAATTAACCTCTGACTGGTAACAAGCGGGTGGTGGTATGAAGCTGTGGGACAAAACCCCGTACCGCCGACAATATTTCGGCAAGTCATTCCGCTCAAAAGATTTATGCGGGTGTGATCTATGAGGGCGTATGGCCGAGACAGCTGGTTGAAATAGACATTTGGTTTAGAGAGTAGAAAATATAGAATAGTGAGCAGTGGCTGATGTTATTTGGTACAGTTAGACTCTATATCTCTGTCAGCACATTAATTATTGTTACCACCCTCCTTTACATACATACACACATACAAACGAACACATCCATTGACATTTTTATTTGTTTTTAATGACAAACGTAAAATAGACGATTTTTAAAATATTAAGTTTATATATTTATATTTTTTTTTCTTTCTGACGAAGGCTTCATGCCGAAACACTTACAACTTAATATGTTAAAATAAGGGCTGGCTCTACATATGCCTAGGCTAACTTAGATTGTATGAACCGTGCTATCTTAGTTCCATTGAGCAATGTATGTCATTGCCCCATTCATGTGGATGACCGATATTAATGAGAGAATGGTCTGCGCATGACCCAATAAGGCAGTGCCAACAGCGCATGTCAAAGAGCTCGCGGCAGCTAAAAATACAACAAACTAGCAACGTCATCGCTCCGTCACTTCAAAAGATAGCACGTCGCTATCTTAAGCTGCAACTAGGCCTATGCCAGTTTTCTTAAGACCAAATTGAAGTTATCTGCAAAAAGTTACTGAAAAGTTATCTACAAAATGTTGCTGTACTTTAACCCGTATACTAAGTCAGACACCTTTAGGGAGATTTCGGTATTTTAATAAATGATACATTGCAATAGTCGTTATATATGGGTTAAAGGTCAGGGATCATGATGTATTTTTAGAAGCTTCAGCTAAACTTAGGCCGTAACAACTAGTGTGCAGTTTGTTCTAAAATCATGTTTTGTTTATTACATAATCATAAAATTACACCCATCATAACTTGTTTGCTTAAACTAAAAATACCGAGATAACAAAATACTGTAAACATAGCCTCGAGGTAACCGCAAACAGTAATGACTTAATCGTAAGTTCAAATCTAGCCGCATGTCTAACCCTTAAGTTAACTCTAAACATGCACCTATTTTGAACCGGATAAGTAAAATAAGGATCTCAAACAGTTAACCCATCCGCTTTAAATGTTACGTATTTTTACACTGACTCCAGTTTGTCAACTTAAACCACAATCCCCCCCCCCCTCCCCCCACAAACCCAAAAACACCTTGGCTCGGTGTTTACATCCTTCTCTCCCCTTAACCCAGTCCCAGTTTTTGCCCTTTGTTTTCAAGACACGGCAAACAGCGAAGGGGACGCAACTCGTAACAACTGTGTTTAAGTGACGTCCCTTGAAGAGATGTATCGTCTTTGGTTGACTTATCTTCTATCAGATGGGTGTGTTGGATGGTATCTTTCAAGTGGCATTTGATGGTATGCTACACATGTTAGCAACCATCATGGCTTCTAAGAGTACCATCTGATGGTAAACCACATTTAAAATCTGATGGTAACCCACGCCTACCATCTGATGGTAATCTACAACTACCATCTAATGGTAACCTACACCTACCATATAATGGTAACCCACGCCTACCATCTGATGGTAATCTACAACTACCATCTAATGGTAACCTACACCTACCATATAATGGTAACCTACACCTACCATCTGATGGTAACCCACAACTATGCTACAACACCAGCCACTGAAATACATCACTCAATGAGGCTTAAAGACACATCCTTTCTTCTTTTGTTCATTTACCTGACCGTGTATACTCGCAGCTCACAATATAGCAGATATGTTAGTTAAGACAAGAAGAATTCCTGAGCAAATTATTTAAAGAACTATCTATGCCTAATACTTTAACTATGTATGTCTTACGTGTGTATACATACATACATATATATATATATATATATATATATATATATAATTTATTTATTACATGCATATATACATATATGAATATACATATAAATGCATACATATATATGTATAGGCCTATATGTATATATATATATATATATATATATATATATATATATATATATATATATATATATATATATATATATATATATATATAGCCTATGGAGTTCAAGACTTGGAATCATAATGCCAAACGGATCTAGACCACGTGTATCTACACGGAGAAGCAACGTGTGTGACCAAAAGCTGTGCTGTTGGTCTAAACTACAATCAGCTGATCGTGTCAACAACGCCACGGGTCAGTAAACAGGAAGCCACGCCCACTTGATCTAAATTTAAACGTCAAGTAAAGGACTACTCACATCGTGAAGGATGAACGGTGTCCACGTGAAATTATCCCACCCCTTAAGTCCAAAAACTTCAATAAGAAAAGTCAGTAACAGTCCGCTTGAACTGTCGGGTTCTTTTTTTAGCCCATAGAACCTGACCCACTTTCGGCACGTCATTCAGTGCACTACGCATGCGCGGATTATGTTTTGACTAGTTGTGATTGGCAAATACATGTATAATATTGATTGCGTATAAAACAATGTACGTTTCGAACAGGAATGTACAAAAAAGGAAATATCCTGTATAAGTAATTAGAAATCTCACCACAAAGGCCTAATTTAATCTATAAGGTCTGGTAGTTTTTGGGCCCCATTTAGTTGTGCAATAGGACAGTCCAAATTTGGGTATTGGAACTATCAGTTATACGAAAACGCGTCCACTCCACACTAATTATGGTTAATTAAATTCAAATTAAGAATACGTCAGTTCTGGTTCTTCAGATGTAATTGTTTCTGTTAGCAGAAATTCTGCAATGTCTGCCCTTATAAGTAGCCCCTCCTCCCCCCCACCCTCTCAGACAAACACACATCCTCTTAAAATTTAGATTATATAAGGATGCATCTAGATCATTCGTTTTTCAACGAGCACCCGACATAGCTGTTGATGTGATTATTTGTATGTACATTATATCTGCAAATTTGTTTTTTTTTTTTTTTTTTTAAATTATTGTAAGTAAATATTGCAATAAAATCGCTTTAAGAAACCAAGTTCTTAAAAAAACGATTGCGCTTAATTAATTCAATAGTTTTTATCCATTGATAGAAGATATTTTATAGGGCTTTTTTGTGTTTGTTGTGAACGGAACTTTAGGGGCTTTATGTTTAATTTTAGTTTTACGGCGTAACCGTTTCTGAGTTTGGAAAATAATCTTCTCCTAATTTAAACCTCGCATTTCATCTTTTGTTATTGTCAAGTTATCAGACACCCAGGGTAGACTGTGAAATCATTGTCTACAACTTTGGACAGCAGCGTCATAGGAACAGCACCATATCCACAGCAACAACACAGGAACGTCATCATAAGAACACAAGATTCTGCAGCTCGAACTTTAAAATGACGTCATACCTCGACTCTGAGTGTACCCCCGTCGTCATCGACAACGGCTCGGGGATGTGTAAAGCTGGTTTTGCCGGGGACGACGCCCCCCGGTGCGTGTTCCCTGCCGTGGTGGGGCGCCCCAAGTACCAGACAGTCATGGCGGGCATGGGGTTCAAGGACGCCTACATCGGTGACGAGGCTCAGGCCAAGCGGGGAGTTCTAACCCTCAAGTCAGTCGCCATTTTGTGTTTTGTCACGTGCTTTAGAGCCACGTGTTGTCTTTTGCTTGGTTACCATGGTTTCCATCCATACCAAGGTCACTATTTAAGTTGTACTTGGTTTGTAATATTGTGTTGTTGTTTTTTTTGTTTTTGTTGTTTTTTTTTTTGTTGTTTTTTTTTTGTTGTTTTTTTTTTGTTGTTGCTTTTTTGTGGATTTATTTTCTCCTTTTTAGTGCAATGTTACATAAAAGCTTGTTATTAAAACGTTTTTTATGCTTTTTTTTCAGTACTTTTAGAAATTTTAAATACAAAAGAGTTGCATGACTAAAAAACTATTTCTACTTTTTTCATGCAACTCTACTGTATTAAAAATATTTAAGTACTAAAAAAAACGATTCAGACAGACGGGATTAAGACTGGAATAGCATTGTCAAGTTCACTTGGTGAACAATAGTTTTTAGCAATGCAATTCTATCCAATTAAGTCAAATTTTAATGTCATATTGCATTGTCATCAAGTCTTGACCTACTTTCCGAATTTTAAAGAAATTGGTCGGTTAGAAGTGCCCGAAATTTAGCTCTCCCGTTTCAGTCTAGAAAGACAGATGGGAGGGATTAAGACAGGGTAATCAAGTTACATAAAAGCTTGTGATAAAAGCTCCAGTTTAATTTAATTTCTTCAATGACTGTAACTACATTAGGCACGCAGGCATTTTTTCCCATTGGGTTGTAAAAATGTGTTTGAGTTTACATTTAACTCGTAATTCTTCTGGGTATTTAGATCTGAATAACGGTATGTCTCGATGTTTAGACTCAACTAACGGTGTGGCTCGGTATTTAGACCTGTCTCACGGTGTGTCTCGTTATTTAGACTCAACTAACGGTGTGTCTGGGTATTTAGACTCAACTAACGGTTTGTCTGGGCATTTAGACTCAACTAACGGTGTGGCTCGGTGTTTAGGTACCCCGTGGAACATGGCATCGTCACCAACTGGGACGACATGGAGAAGATCTGGCACCACACCTTCTACAACGAGCTGCGGGTGGCGCCCGAGGAGCACCCCGCCCTCCTGACAGAGGCGCCCCTGAACCCCAAGGCCAACAGAGAGAAGATGCTTCAAATCATGTTCGAGACGTTCAACGTGCCGGCCTTCTACGTTAGTGTCCAGGTAACAACAGGTGTTCTCTGTGGGTCTGCAGGCAATAGAGTACCTGGGGGTGGGGCGGGAGTGTATAATATGTTGACTGAAGGTGACAAATGTCAGTGTTTATGACATGTCAAATGTCACTGACTCGTGACATCACTAGGCCCCACGTGATTCACTAGTTGAGTCAAAAATTGGCATTTGAGTGATCTGGGTCAATTGTTGTGTTGATTTATTGTTACAGTTTTCGGCCTCTTTTATCTTGATTACTAATAAAGGCTTAAGTGGTCTTAATAGCCACTTAACAAGCTGTGTGGTGGTGCGTTGGAAATACGGGTCAACCTGTGACAGGTGTCACCATCTGTAGGTAAAACATATCACCTGTGTTTTGATGTATAGGTAAAACATATCACCTGAATATTGATGTATAGGTACAACATATCACCTGTGTTTTGATGTATAGGTAAAACATATCACCTGTGTTTTGATGTATAGGTAAAACATATCACCTGTGTTTTGATGTATAGGTAAAACATATCACCTGTGTTTTGATGTATAGGTAAAACATATCACCTGTGTTTTGATGTATAGGTAAAACATATCACCTGTGTTTTGATATATAGGTAAAACATATCACCTGTGTTTTGATGTATTGGTAAAACATATCACCTGTGTTTTGATGTATTGGTAAAACATATCACCTGTGTTTTGATGTATTGGTAAAACATATCACCTGTGTTTTGATGTATAGGTAAAACATATCACCTGTGTTTTGGTGTATTGGTAAAACATATCACCTGTGTTTTGATGTATAGGTAAAACATATCACCTGTGTTTTGATGTATAGGTAAAACATATCACCTGTGTTTTGATGTGTAGGTAAAACATATCACCTGTGTTTTAGTGTATTGGTAAAACATATCACCTGTGTTTTGATGTATAGGTACAACATATCACCTGTGTTTTGATGTATTGGTAAAACATATCACCTGTGTTTTGATGTATAGGTAAAACATATCACCTGTGTTTTGATGTATAGGTAAAACATATCACCTGTGTTTTGATGTATTGGTAAAACATATCACCTGTGTTTTGATGTATAGGTAAAACATATCACCTGTGTTTTGATGTATAGGTAAAACATATCACCTGTGTTTTGATGTATTGGTAAAACATATCACCTGTGTTTTGATGTATTGGTAAAACATATCACCTGTGTTTTGATGTATAGGTAAAACATATCACCTGTGTTTTGATGTATTGGTAAAACACCTGAATATTAATGTATAGGTACAACATAACACCTGAATATTGATGTATAGGTACAACACATCACCTGATTATTGATGTATAGGTACAACACATCACCTGAATATTGATGTATAGGTACAACACATCACCTGAATATTGATGTATAGTTACATCACCTGTGTTTTGGCCTATAGATACTATTGGGCCAGTAAATATTGGCCATGGGAAAATTAATCTAATATATTTCATATTTCGATAAAATTGATCATCTTTACATTGAGCTATAGTTAAAAATTGATTACTTGTGTCTGAGGGTACAGTTCATCACTTGCTTATTGATCTGTTGGTACAACATTTCACCTTTTTATTGATATTTAGCTAAGATTGATTTCCTGTGTATAGATCTTTAAGTACAATCGATCACGTATTTCGATCTATTGGTGCAATCGATCAATTGAGTATTGATTTGTTAATGCATTCGATCACGAGTGTATTAGTATAGATCGATTGGTACAATCGATCACCTGTATATCGATTGGTTCATGCAATCAATCATCTGTATATCGATATATTGGTACAATCGATCACCTGTATATCGATTGGTTCATGCAATCAATCATCTGTATATCGATATATTGGTGCAATCGATCACCAGTGTATTGATTTGTCAATTCAATCGATCACCTGTGTTTTGATTTGTCAATTCAATCGATCACCTGTATATCGATCTATTGGTGCAATCTATCACCTGTATATTGATTTGTCAATTCAATCGATCACCTGTATATCGATCTATTGGTGCAATCTATCACCCGTGTATCGATCTATTGATACAATCTATCACCTGTATATCGATCTATTGGTGCAATCTATCACCTGTGTATCGATCTATTGATACAATCTATCACCTGTATATCGATCTATTGGTGCAATCTATCACCTGTATATTGATTTGTCAATTCAATCGATCACCTGTATATCGATCTATTGGTGCAATCTATCACCTGTATATTGATTTGTCAATTCAATCGATCACCTGTATATCGATCTATTGGTGCAATCTATCACCAGTGTATTGATTTGTCGATTCAATCGATCACCTGTGTATTGATTTGTCAATTCAATCGATCACCTGTGTATCGATCTATTGATACAATCGATCTTTTGTTCCAGGCTGTACTGAGCCTATACGCCTCAGGTAGAACGACAGGGGTGGTGACAGACTCAGGGGACGGGGTGACCCACGTGGTGCCCATCTATGAGGGCTACTCCCTCCCCCACGCCATCAGCAGGGTCAACTTGGCCGGCCGGGATCTGACCAGCTACCTGCAGAGAATTTTGAGTGAGAGGGGACACAGGTAACTTGTTCGTGGTAATCATAGGAGTAGGTAGCACTACTTACCTGGTTTTATTATCAAAGGTATAGGTTACTGTTTTTCCTTTTGTTTCCCTGTTTCTTGGCAACAGTTTCCCATTTACTGATAGGTACCCAAAAATGCTGGATAAGCTCAATAAGGTCAAAAAATATTTTTTCAAGTCATATGACATCAAGAAAAAAAATTGTGCATGTAGTTTATAAAAACAAATTACTGTCCTTAACAATAACTGATTTAAGGCTACGGGAACACGATTAACCAGCTTTACAAGATCTTTACAAAGGGCAGATGAAGTAGAGTTCATCTGTTTTTATTACCTCGCATACATACAAGGGTAGTGTGGTCAGCACTATGCCCAGCCGCCTTTACTTTCCCTAACGTGAGTCAGGTACCCATCAGAGCTGGGTGGACTCAGAGACGTCCTACAGTCACAACTCGAGACCGTCGGGCTAGCATCCAAACGCTCTCCCGTTTGACCACGCCCCTCCACCCCCTTCCCCAGCATTATAAAATGCAGGACCGTTAGCTCACATAAGTCTACATTGTATAGATTGTTACGAAACAAAAATAGGTTTCTTGTTGATTAGCCGTACTGAAATAATCTGATATCTAGTATTGCTGATGATACAACCCGTATGTGGGTACGTCTAATCTACAAGAATAAAACCCGATACTGACATCAATTTAAAGTTAATTTATTTGACAGTGCGGCTAAATATTGTTCAATAAACTTCAAAGTCCGTTTTCTTGTTAAATTAAAATGTTGTTACATAAGTTTAAATATACGAAACTTTTTTTCCCCGTAGGTTTAACACGTCATCAGAGTTGGAGATAGTGCGAGACATCAAGGAAAAACTCTGCTACGTCGCGTTGGACTTTGACAAAGAACTGGAAACCAGCGCGAAATCTTCCTCTATCGAAAAGTCCTACGAACTTCCTGATGGTACGATTATTGCTATTGGCAACGAGAGATTCCGCTGCCCGGAAGTACTGTTTCAGCCATCTTTTATTGGGCTAGAGTCGGAGGGTGTGCACGAAATTCTGTATAAAGCGATTCAAGCGTCGGATGTTGATATTCGCAGCGACCTCTATAGCAACACTGTGCTGTCAGGGGGGACAACTTTATACCCGGGCATCGCGGACAGGATGAAGAAAGAGTTATCCGCCATGGTCGCGTCCTCTATGAAAGTGAAGATTATCGCCGCCCCTGAGAGGAAGTATTCGGTGTGGATTGGAGGATCAATACTGGGATCGTTGTCGTCCTTCCGACAGATGTGGATAACGAAGGAAGAGTTCGACGAAAGCGGGCCGTCCATCGTCCACAGGAAATGTTTCTAGAAGGTTCTGTCTGGTGTCTACGCCAATTGTTGGACTGTCTAAAGGCGTTTGTTTACCTTCATTTTTTATCTATTTCTTACTCTCTGTAGAAAAGAAAATTAATCAGCCTCTTCCCATCCAATTGATCGCTTCACATCATCAAAGTTCATTTAATGTATTTGATTGTTGGAAGCTCCATTAATCACATCAGTCAGTGTTTAATGATGTTGGAGGCCCCTTTGATCATGTCACATCAGTCAGTATTAAATGTTATTGGAAGCTCCATTGATCTCGTCACATCATCACTCAGTATTTATTGCAGTTGGAAGCCCATAGACCTCACGAATAACTCTCTTAGATAAACTCCAACGGGGAGATTAAATTTTGTTTTAAACTAATGTGCCGTAGTATTAGAATATAAAATGTGATTTTGAAAATGTGATTGTGAAAATGTGATTGTGAAAATATGATTGTGAAAATATGATTGTATGGTTTTTACATGAATTGTTTACTGTTAACAATATTTTCGTCAAATAAAACTTAAAAAAAAACTTTTTTGCTTTTCTTCCTCATAAATGTAAACAAGCAGGTCAGGCTGATTCTCGGCAGAACAAAATTGTAGGAAGTTGTCAAACATGCTTGTCAAGTGTTGGTTTTAATTAATTAATTTTTTTATTGCTAAACTAAACTATTTTAATGTCATGGAACAAATTTTAAGGTCATGGTATAGAATACATATTTTTTATAGGTGGTTTGTCCACAGCGGGGCTTTAACCATTGATGTTTGGGCCACAACAAGACTTTGACATATCTAGTGTGTTGTTGTTTTTTAAATAATAGCATATGTTATTTAGTTTAAAAGGTCGAAGAGATACTTTCGGGCGTTAACTTTTAAATTTCTTATTAAAAGTTGCCTCTTTAAATTTCAGTTATAGAAAATGCAAAGTAATTTTTTTATGGACAAAGGGGAACAAACATGGAAATTATTTCACATCGTAGTTTATTCATGGTTATCTCGCTTACTTGTTTTAGGACAACTTGGGGAAAAACGTTAAATTTTAAAACCTATGCCTAAGCGCAATACTTTGTGATAAGCATATAATTTGAGTTAGTAATCTCATATTTTTCTTAACATCCTTAAAAATTGAAAAAAGAAATATGAACAAGAATTAAATAGATTTAAAGATAATACTGAAAATAGTTAAGCGAGACAACCCCGGCTTAACTAAGAAGTGAAATAATTTCATGTTTGTTCCCCTTTGATCAGGAATTAGTAGCTGCAATTTTTTTTTCAAAAAAAAAATCTAAGAGGAGTAACCGATGCAAAAACTAGCGAAGAAATAGTAAAAACACGATAACCTCCCTTAGACTTATTTTATAAAAAATGATGACAAATATGAGAGATAAGATTTCTAATATAATCGAAAAATTCAAGTAATCGTTTTAATTAATCTGTATAATAATAACTGTTTACAATTGTAACCCTCACTCAGTGGGGATGCTTTTACCCACTGAGGTGTTGTGGTTTAAGACGGGCTGACCCTGAGATTAAGTACACACCGACGCCGACAGTTGTTGTCAAGTACTCGTTTATTTATAGCATCGAGCCATGACGGCGATGCAACACAGTAGTACAAAACGAACTAGCCAAGATAAACCAAAAGATCCAAACAATCCAAAAGACCAAAAGATCAAAAGATCAAAAGATCAAAAGATCAAAATAGAAAAAGAAAAACTGTAGCCCTAAAACAAATGTAAAATAAAAAAGTTACATTCAGGACAACACCACGTGTAAGCTACAATATACACGGGTACAATAAATTATGTTTTCGGCCAGTACACAGTACTGCCAACAAGTACCAATAAGTAGTACTACAAAATAAATACTTAATTTAATACATCACCCTAACTAGTGTGCACATGCAGCACTAGCAGGAATACATAAGTAAGTATTTTAACAAACATAATTTAAATAACTACCTTCATTAGGTCTACATCTTGGTCCACAGACAGCAGCCTTGCGTGTGCGACACGGCTAGGCACATGTCACATGACATGAAACACAGGTAATTTCGCTCACAAAAGCATAAAAAAACGTCAACAGTTCAGTTGCAGTCCCACAGGGGCCGCAACCCAATGAATAAAAACTTCATAGTTTTATCCCCCTTTGGCTGGTAACCATATGTGTTACACAGCCCCCCTCACAAATAAATGTACAATGGAATTCACATTTACATTTACATTTACAACTCATACTTAAAAAAAAAGTTCAGTACACAAGTACACAGACATTAAGTCCTTTCAACTCAAATAGATTATTCCCGGCAAACCGGTAGAGGCTCCAGTGCAGGTACTGGTCACCACTTGATGCGCCAGGTTGAGTCGCTCGACGGGTCGTCGTTGACGGGTTGACCTCCGCAGCTCCGCTGGTGGTTCTGGGTTGATCAAAGAGTCATCCTCGTCCGATGCCTCGTCCCTCGCATTCACCTCATCCAGATGTGGGGCTGGCCTGACCATCACCTTGTCTTGTCCGTCCCGGGCGACAACCTCTGGCACGAAAGGCGTTGCCTCCGGCCGAAGTCTAGTTGGGACCACTACCTTGATTGTCAGTTCCTCACCTTCATCTGCCTCACTGGTTGGTATGACCTCTCTCCGTCGCTCCCCCTCCGCCACAGTGGGTTCAGCACTCGACATTGTATAGTCGGGTCGCTGCCAACCACGGCGGCGTCCACCACGTCGTCGGCCTCTCCTCCGGCGGCGTCTCCGACCTCTGCTTGTGTCATGTCTGTCTCCCAAGCGACGATCTTGCTCGCGCTGAGACTGACATTCATAGTGTGGCTGTCTACCCTTCTCACGCGCACCCTCCGGCTGCAACCCTCCTCCACGGCGGAACACCCGACAGCCGTACCTCCAGCCGCTAGGCGAGGTAACCTGAACTGTGGTTGCTCGACACTGTGATGATCTCGGTGGCGTAAACTTGGGCTGGGAGCTTGGCAGAACACGCATCAGCATCCGCTCCCCGACGCTGATGGATTGGCGTTTCCCTGCTGCTGACCCCGTTGCCTAGCTGCTTTTCTCGGACAGTCGCGGACGAAGTGCTTCGTGGACCCGCACCCGTAACAAGCTCCTCTGGAGGGCTGTTGTTTCCGGGCTAGGATATCTGCCACCTTCTCCGCCAGACGGTCGAGTTGTTCCTCCGTGAGCATCAGCGGCGTCGTCTCCTGGCGACCAGCTACCGTTACTGCGTCGACCTTCTGCGCCAGACGGTCGAGTTGCTCCTCCGTGAGCATCAGCGGCGGCGTCGTCTCTTGGTGAACAGCTGCCGTTACTGCGTCGACCTGGATAGTCCTGTTAGCTGCTGCCGTGGCTACGACTGGGGACTCAGTTGTCCCGTCCAGCCTTTTAACAGCTTTCAGGACGTCCTCCACCTTCGGACTGGCTTCCCCTGCGAAACCAAATGTACCGCGAAGTTCGAGCGCCAGAAGAGGTGAAACCCCCTTGCAGAAAGTGTGATACACCTTCTTCTGGGCATCGGCCTCAGTAAAGATACGCTGCTGGTTTAGCTTCGTCATCTCTGACCACAGTCGGCAGAGAAATTCCGACGCTGACTCCCTTGGATGTGGAGTGAGTCGGCTGAACTGCAGATACCTGTCTTCGGCACATCTGGTGTCGCCAAAAGTGCTTTGTAGGAGGCATAGCACTTCCTCTGGACTCGCAGCTTGCTTCACCCGCTCATAGGCAATCCCTCTCAGGCTGCCTAAGACGCGTGGCAACGGGTTCGGAACGCTGGTGTTCCGCAGCAAGCATTGAACTTGGGTTTCCCATTCCGGGAAACTCACCTCCCCTCCTCCAGTGGGTGGAAGGCCGGTGAATACGCTCAGCTTGCTGTGTGCTGGAGCACACACCTCCACCGTCACGGGCCGCTGCGCACTTGTCTGCATCGCCGCCATCTTAGCCGTCAGTTCGGCCAACTCCTGCGACAACTTCTCCAACGTCGGGTGGCTGTTCTCCATCCTACCTCTCAAGGTCAAGCCCCACGTTTGGCGCCAAATGTAACCCTCACTCAGTGGGGATGCTTTTACCCACTGAGGTGTTGTGGTTTAAGACGGGCTGACCCTGAGATTAAGTACACACCGACGCCGACAGTTGTTGTCAAGTACTCGTTTATTTATAGCATCGAGCCATGACGGCGATGCAACACAGTAGTACAAAACGAACTAGCCAAGATAAACCAAAAGATCCAAACAATCCAAAAGACCAAAAGATCAAAAGATCAAAAGATCAAAAGATCAAAATAGAAAAAGAAAAACTGTAGCCCTAAAACAAATGTAAAATAAAAAAGTTACATTCAGGACAACACCACGTGTAAGCTACAATATACACGGGTACAATAAATTATGTTTTCGGCCAGTACACAGTACTGCCAACAAGTACCAATAAGTAGTACTACAAAATAAATACTTAATTTAATACATCACCCTAACTAGTGTGCACATGCAGCACTAGCAGGAATACATAAGTAAGTATTTTAACAAACATAATTTAAATAACTACCTTCATTAGGTCTACATCTTGGTCCACAGACAGCAGCCTTGCGTTTGCGACACGGCTAGGCACATGTCACATGACATGAAACACAGGTAATTTCGCTCACAAAAGCATAAAAAAACGTCAACAGTTCAGTTGCAGTCCCACAGGGGCCGCAACCCAATGAATAAAAACTTCATAGTTTTATCCCCCTTTGGCTGGTAACCATATGTGTTACACAATAATTGTAATCAAAATTATACACTTACTAATAAATGTGTAGATCACTATAAAATTTTATGGAAAACTGTTTTAATAAATTATAAAAGGATTTGATTAAAATTCTCTGTTGGCAGAGTTCAGACATTTTGGAAGAATATCGATGTTTTAAGAAAATGTCAACTGCAATTTTGAGGGGGGGGAGGGGGGTGGGCTGAGGTGTGACGTCATTTTAGGTGGGTCTGACTTTTTGCGACTATGTTTGACGGAGGCAAGGGGGGGGGGGTAAATTACTAAAATGCCTCAAAAAAGCGTGACGTCATTTATGCATTTACGGTTAGCGGGTGTGGTGGCTGGGCGTTGTTTAGACTCATTTTCACTTTGATCTGTAATAACAGTAATAATGCCCCCACCAACATTACGCAAATATTAAAACACAGGAGACATTAAAATTATACAAAAGCCAAAAATAAACACATAATTTACTATTTCTCTTATGTAAAACGTTTGCATTTTGGCCGAAAAAATAAAAGTTAATGTGTGCTACTCGGTGACAAGTGACAGCCCTAAAATAGACTTTAACTTAATTCGTGATTGTTTGGAACCTTTCGGCTTCTTGCCTACCCGTCAACCCCCTTTCTAACCAATCAATACTCAAACAAGTTGCCCTGCATTAGAATGTTGTTTACAAATGGCGGTCTACGTAGATTTTAGTCTAAAAGGAAGTTTGTTTTATTAGAGTTCGAGAAGTGATCTAAAAATTAATTTTTACTATCGAAATCGCGTAACAGAATCATTTCAAAGTAACTGATTGTTTTAAAATATTTATTCTGTACATTTTAAATTATTACATTAAGCCTACAGCTCTTTAGTCTTTAGATTTTACTTAGAGAATTAGAATTAGATTAGTTTTTTAGATTAGATGATCTAGATTTTATTTTAGATCATTCTGATTCTGTACAGTAGTACAGTACTTTAATGTGCCTAAAGTCTAAACTAAAACAGTTTTAGATTTTAGGCTTTATTTTTTTCTTTTTTAACTGTAAACTGATCTAGCCCTAAGTAATTAATATTTAATATACCAAATACTGCCTAATATATCTAGATGTAGATCTGATTCAATGAAAATTGAAAATGAATAGGCCTAATGAGTAAAAATAGTTTATAACTTTATAGGCATATATTATTATTATATTGTACACACTTTAGCATTTTATAGGATATGATAGAAACTGAATTTTAGCCATCTTTTTGGTCTTTTTGTAAATTACTATAGAAATGTATTAATATCCTCAGTGCTGACAGCACTCAGAAAATATTTTAGAAAGAACTTTATATTTAAAAAAACAAAAGCTGTAATTTGGTAGGGTTGTAGGCTGAGGTGTGACATCATTTTAGGGGTGGGGGGGGGGGCTTGTCTGGCTTTTTGTGACAATATATGATAATTGGGAGGTGAGGGGTCGGTATAATCATAAAAATAAATATGATGTCATTTATGGATGACCCCCTACTAAATTGTTTAAAGTTGTCCCAAAACTCTAAAGGGTTAATTAATTTCAATATTAATTAATGTAGAATAGACTGATTAAAGACAGATGAAATATTCATCAGACATTTTTATCACAAAATGTATTTCATAAAACAGGATGGCTGTATAACGGGAAATTAGAATTTTAAAAACTGCAATGGCTTCTTTAGCCAAACCAATAGATCGTAAACGTGTGCAAGCTAGGCAGGTGGAGAAGCTCCAGCAGCATATGATGATCTTAGAGCAACAGATGGTTGAACAAGCCGCACTAAGACGTCAGCTAGAACAGATCAGCCGACTGGACACGACCAGAACACAGAAAGCTTTGGTAAGTTTGTTTTCTTAACTTACATAACTACAAAATATGCTTTAGCCAAACATTTGGGATTTAGATGAAACTATTTATTTGTATAGTCTCACAGTTATTCATCAAGCAGAAACGTGTCCACTGTTTTGTTCAAACTGTTTGTTACAGGAGGGTTTAGACAATGGTTAAAATATATATTTTCCATTTTCAATATTTGTTCAATTTTATCTGGGGGGAGGGGGACAACATACTGCCTCTTTCCACCCCCACCTCCCTTGAGAGATGCTTGAAAGAGCAAAGAACCACTGAATATATCCATTCCTTATCTCTAATTCTAACCATAAGGATAATATTTTTTTAAGCGTAAGCTACTCCTGCTGTGTAAATATATAGGTACTGCTATAATATTTGAAATCCAAATTAATTTAAAACCATACTTTCTTTTTTGAGAAAGCCAAAAGATCAATCTTAGAAAACAAAACTATTTTACCGTAACATATTTGTAATCGTTGTATTTCCCTATTGCAGGAGAGAGCATCAAGCAGTAACAAAACTTTACAAAATGAAATCGACAGAATATATGGACCAAGTCATGAGTGTAAGTCTTAGAACACTCAACCACAATGTTAGGTTACTTTAGAAAGTCAAGTTACCTTGTCATATAGTTTGTTAACTAAAGTAAGATTACGATTTTATTTTTGTGTGAATATTTCAGATCCCAAATCCCCTGCCCTGAATGCTGTGGAAGAAATTATTGCACAAAGAACCAAAGATTTCCACCGCTCACAGCAAGAAAAAAATGCCAAACTTCAGTAAGTTCAAAACATATTTTAAAAATTTGTTTTTCAAATGTATTTACCAAACTGTGGTCAACTTTGTATATTTTTTGTGTTATTATTTTTTAGTAAATCTAGCTATGCTTATCATAACAGAGTTTACTGCTGAACTCAGGATCAAAATCTATATACTTATTGTAATAAGTTTTTACCAAAAAAAAAATGAAATTCAAGAAATGAGATGGAGCAAACAATTTAATTTGATGTATTATTAGCTGATCATTTCACTATCTTTGAACATGTATTCCTGTCTCTATTATTAATATTCACCCTAATTCTAGAAATTTAATTTTTCTAGACAGCTTGCGCAGGAAAGGCTGCGCATCCTTGAGGCTAGAAACAGATTAAAGGAGAAACAAGACATGCTGCGCTCTCTCCCCTCCCCCAATGGTAAGGCAACTCAGCGTATGTGGGGCCATAAATATTCACTCTACTCACCACTGCTTTACGATGACAGCACACACACCTACTCCCCTGTGTTTCAAGACGGGTATTACACACACTATCCACGCCCCCGGGGTAAACGCAGGTGGTTTAATAGCAGTATGTATTTTGTGCCTACCCCACTGTTTCAGTCTCTATGGCGATAGTTTATCTAACAGTACTGTTTTATCATATACTAAAAATATTGCATTTTATAAGGAGCAGATTTTTTACTAGGCTACATGTTTCCCTGCTTCACTGTATACCTCCCTTTTAGACCACTCACCTTGCTTCTTGACCACACTTCCTGCTTGACCACATATCTCCCTACTTGACCAAATACCTCCCTACTTGACCACATACCTCCCTACTTGACCACATACCTCCCTACTTGACCACATACCTCCCTACTTGACCACATACCTCCCTACTTGACCACATATCTCCCTACTTGACCACATACCTCCCTACTTGACCACATACCTCCCTACTTGACCACACTTCCTACTTGACCACATACCTCCCTACTTGACCACATACCTCCCTACTTGACCACATACCTCCCTACTTGACCACATACCTCCCTACTTGACCACACTTCCTGCTTGACCACATACCTCCCTACTTGACCACATACCTCCCTACTTGACCACACTTCCTGCTTGACCACATAACTTCCTACTTTGCCACACTTCCTGCTTGACCACACACCTCCCTACTTGACCACATACCTCCCTACTTGACCACATACCTCCCTACTTGACCACATACCTCCCTACTTGACCACATACCTCCCTACTTGACCACATACCTCCCTACTTGACCACATACCTCCCTACTTGACCACATACCTCCCTACTTGACCACATACCTCCCTACTTGACCACATACCTCCCTACTTGACCACATACCTCCCTACTTGACCACATACCACCCTACTTGACCACATACCACCCTACTTGACCACATACCTCCCTACTTGACCACATACCACCCTACTTGACCACATACCTCCCTACTTGACCACATACCTCCCTACTTGACCACATACCTCCCTACTTGACCACATACCACCCTAATGTCTCCATCATTTTGTTGGTTTATTTTAGTGCTAGAAAATTGCTGTATACTTGGTCTGACTTTTTATACTATGTCAATATGAAGACCTTGGGATTTTATATGGTAAAAATAGAGAAAAATATAGACCCTAACATGGTAAAAATTTTTAGATAAAAATAATTGTTTTAGATAATATTCCACCACTGTATCAGAAATTGCTTTAGTATAATTATTTAACTAACTCAATTTTAGCCATTAGCTTGAAATGTAATTTTTTGTTCTAATTAAAAAAAATTCCTGGGCTGCTAATTCTGAAATACTTAACAAAATATTTGACAAATTGTAACCCCGTGATTTTAAACATTGCTTTTTTTTTGCATCTATGCTATTTAAAGTGTCTTTCACTTTTTAAACACTGTCTCAACGTGTGGTTGATTAACAATGTTTTGATTTGTTGCCTGAAATAATTTATTACATTTTTAAATATTTGCTCGGAGCCAAAGATTTACTGAGGCCAGTATGAAGAGTATGGAGAGTTGATGTAAATGGTTTTTTAATGTATTTTATTATTTGCTTTTTAGTTTTGCTTAGCAGATCTCTAAAAGATGATGTGATAAATAAAAATGTATTTATATTTTTTAAAGCTTTATTTGTACCTCAAATATTTATAAATACTGATTCAAAGCATTTTTGTAATTAATAGATTTGTGATGAAAGTAGATTTTTTAATTAGTTATTTAATTGTTAGTTTTGTTCTGTGTAGTTACTTCATTAATAGTCATTGACCTATTCTTATAATTTATTGGTAACTATATTAAAGGTATGTAAAGGTCTAAGATAAATTCTAATATTAAAAATATTGTGAGCTTGATTAATATTGAAACATGTTATAATTGTTTTGTTTCATTTTTTAGTTCTAAAAACGCCTCAAGTTGTGTCATTTTTTTTTAGTTTATTTATGAGCTTTTAAATGTTTTTTGTTGTTTTTTTTAGAAACTATTGATAGGAACTTAACTTCTTTCCTTTATTTTCATGATGCTTTCTGTTGAAGGGATCAGATATTTTGAAAATAAATGTTTCCAAACACAACTTGACATTTTGATTTTGTTTGTTTGGTAGAATTAGTGTAGCCTATATATTTTTTAATTGTTCCTATTAATGCATACACCAAGAATTAATTAACATGTCACAGATCTAGCTGGCTTTTTTAAAAAACTATTAATGTGATAATTTCTAAAGTTAGAAATTTCAAAAACCTGCTTCAGTTTTACCAGCACAATATATCAAGCCCTTCAAAACAATCTTAAAATTAAGTTGTGTTTCGGAATTATTCATTCAAGTTTATGATAAATATGAAATGAAATATTTTTTTAATATGTTTGTATTTAAATCTGTTTGACAATAACAAGAAAAGTTCATTTTAGCCAAACCTACGAAGTACAGATTTTTTTAAAAAAACAACATTGTATTGATTCAGTATATATATAATTGTGTTTCAGTTATTAGTTTCAGAAAATGTGTTCAATACACTATTTGTTTTCCTCTAATGTATCCGCTTATTTTTTTTTCAAAAGAAATTTTCCTATTATTTTTCTTATGTATTGGAAAAGACTTAATGGCTTAATTTGCTGACTGTCTAGATGCCATATTTTGTGGTAAATTTCCTGATTCAGTATTTTCTGTCCTGTCTCACTTTTTAATAAACTAGAGATATTATGTTTAAGGCATTTCTCTGAACTCTCAGTGGAAATGTTAGCCTTATCATTGGCTCAGATTTACAACAACAAATCTTCTCTGATGTTTTTATTGCTTCATGTCCAGCATACGTCACATCAACACTTTCTTCCCCCAATCTGATTCACAATTTCTTTCTTTGATTGAGCTGAGTTGATTTATTGGCAGGGTTAGCTTTCAAGTATTTCGCTTAACATTCCAGTTGTAGTTTTTAAATTTACTCAACAGAATTTTAAAAACATAACTAAAGTGACAGAAACTTGGTCACAGAGAGTCTAAATAAAACCCTCTTTTAGCAAACCAATAGATTTTCATTGGTTTAGTACTAAATAACTTGAATTCTATTAAAAAAGAAATTTGTATAATAAAATCATGTTGGCTACATATTTTATTAAGCTTAATTATAATTGGTTAATGAATTTTGTTTCTTTTACAAAAAATAATTGAAATTTTACATTTATTGAATAGTAATTTTTTTTTTGTTAGAATCACAAGTGAAACTAAATCAGACGTGAAATGAATAAGGACCAATTGTTACAATTTTATTTCCCTCCTATTGATCCGCAGTAAAACACATTCCAAATACAAAAGAGCTATTCTTAAGGCTTTGTAAATGAGGGTAGGGCATCAGCCCAAAATAACTTTATGACATGCTGGTGAATAGGGCTTGAGCTAACAACACTGGGGACTGGGAACTCTTCAATATGTGATCAGATTAAAGCTTTTGAATAGACTGGGTGGATTTGTTTGAGTGTATATACAGAGATAAGCCTGAAGAGAAAGGTTGAAGAGGGTGAAAGGGCCAGATTTTTTAGTTCACTAAGCCAAATCTAAAAGACAGATAATCAATATTTGTGAGCTTTTGGTTTGGCTTCAACAGTTTGATTACTTTCACAGTTTTGTTGCCTTTTATTATCAGTACATGTCATGTTTACACAACAATACTTCTTTACAAATCTTTTAAGCCAAAAGCCACACAAAAATTATCCAGTTTTGATATTTTATTAATTCATTTTAAAGTACTGTTGATGTTTTTACTATTTATAGCACAGGCTCTATATTTATAGTATTATATTTTATCTTAGATTTTTTTTATAGAAACATTTTATTTACATAAACTACTATTCATATCAAAATGTATAAACTTATTTATTTTTCACTTAATTTTTTCTCTCAATGAAACATCTTTTCTCGTCCTAATAAAAATGTAATTATTAATTGTTCAGATTAAAAAAATTTAGAAAAAAAATGTTATGCTAAGATATTTTTCTTAATGAAATAATGCATATTATAAAACAATTACACTGGATTTTTAGTTGGAAAAAAAAGCCTTCACAATTCATCTGGTTTTGTAACAATTTGTTGCTATGTGACTAATAACAAACACAAGAGTGTAAAAAACAAAGGTAAAAAATGGAAAGTAATACCAATTTGCCCAATTGAATTTATTCTTAAGGCCTAAGGATCAAAGATGGATTAACTTTTGTATCTATTGCCTTAACTAGCATTAAAATTCATCATTAGGCTTGGAAAAAACATTTTGGCTAATTTGGTTTTCTTCACCCGCCCATGCCCTTTGTTTTCTAAAAAAAAAATTGATTCCATGTTTTTCTTTTCCTGCAGGCCATGATGTTAGGAAGTTTAAGCTTTGTTTCCCAAAAGAAATATTTATTCCATGTTTTTATTTGCCCGCAGGCAGTGATGTGAGTGAGATAGAAATGAAACCCCCTGGTGTTCACACCCCCAGCTACAGGAGTGTCCACTCCTCCGACTCCATGGTCAGAAGAGTTGTTAACAATTTACCTGTTACTGTTGACAAAATTTGGCATTTGAGGTAAATAAGATGTCTTCAGTGCATTGTTAAACTATTTTAATGTAATCAATTCTGATATTTTTACTTTCTATCTTAAATCAATCAATTCTTTACTGGCACCATTGATTTTCTTATGAAAACATTTCAAGGTGTACTGGACATAGATGTACATCTGCAATAGTGAAGGAGTTATCTACCTTATTTAAAGTTCATGTTGATTAACCGTTGCCGCTGTTTGTATGTTTAGATGTTTGCAGAGGCGTCGCGAGGCGGGGGCGGGGGGTGCAGACCGCACCGGGTGACACCATTTAGAGGGGTGACACCATGGCGAAAAGTTGCAAAATATATTGAAAAAATATGCTTTTTGCCAGTTCAATTAACTGACGAACAATGGAATTTTTACTATTAACTGTGCACACTTTAAATCTATCACCAGAGGGAGGGGTGGGGGTGGGGAAGAATGTAACACCAACTATGAATATTACAGAGGACCGTGAACCGGCGGGGAGGGGGTGAGACCAAAATCTAAAATTTAGGATGAAAACGATGCTTTTTCCAGATGAGCTAATTGGGGTTTTAATATACTGTGCAAAATAATTGGCGCATTAGGGGGAGACACCGATTTCAACTATATATAGGTCTATGTAGACCTTAAATTATATATATATATATATATATATATATATATATATATATATGTATATATATATATATAATATATATATACAAATTTTCGGGGGGGGGGGGTGACACCATGAGGTGCCGCACCCAACCTAATGACGCCACTGGATTTTTGTATGTTTAGATGTTTGTATGTTTAGATGTTTGTATGTTTAGATGTTTGTATGTTATGACATTTGTATGCCAAACTTTTTTGTAGTTTACATTTACAAGTTCATGTTTGTATTTTCTCTTTGTATGTTTACTGTTTGAATGTTTATTGTTTTATTTGTGTAAAGGGACAGTTTACAGAGGGATTATGTGAAGACCAAACGACCGTACGCTGGGGAACTGGGTATCACATCATACGAGCCATGGCAATACAAAGACTTCTTTATGGTACAGTTTTTGCTGAAAAGAAATTACATAACACAGCATATTATTTAATGGTTTAGTTTTCAATCCATGTCATGTTTGTAGGCTACCGACAATTCTTGTATGTAGCCTGGTTACCAGCATTTATTTGAATTAATTTATAAACATTTCATACTAAAATGTTAAGTACACTCAAATATTGAGTTAACCCATTAATCAGTGACAGTGTGTTTAATCAACTAAGATATTGTGAGAAATAGGGCTGGTAAGTAGGTCACCAACCAGTTCTATGGCTCATGCAGGTTTTATTAAGCTGTAGAACTTGTTGGTGACCTACTTACCAGCCCTATTATTATCTAATTGTGAGCTGTGTTACAGGTACGTGACCTACTGGAAGAGTTTATTAACGACTTTTTATTTAACCACATTCCGTCTGACCTGAAAGTCCTCAAACAAGGGAGAAAACTGTGAGTTAAATTTTTTTTTTAAATCCGTCGTCATTGTTACTTGATTTGTTTTATTTCTTACTTATGAATGTACATTCTTTTTGTGAATGTGTTTTCCCTTTATGTTAGTCACTATTTTCATATTTACTTGCTTTCTATATTTTATTTTTTTAAAGGCAAATGCTTGAAGAAAATGACAAAGACTGGAAAAAAACTTCCAAAGTCTTGTCTGAAAGAGCCGTGGTCAAGCTGCTAGCTGAGGAGCTTCTGCTTGAGGTATTTTTTACAGTATTTCACATGTATTGTCATCATCTGCCTTAGTTCATCATCTTTTCCCGTTTGTGTCTAAGACACATTAGGCAGAAGAAGTAGAGTTCATCTATTTGAGAGACCTTGACATATGATGGGAAAGTGTGGTCAGCACTATGCCCAGACACCTATGTTTTCCCAAACGTGAGATAGGTACCTTTCAGAGCTGGGTGGACTCAGGGACATCCTACTGCCTTGAACACGGATTTAAACTCAAGACTTTCAAGTTAACGGTCTAGCTTTCTACCGCTAGGCCACGCCGTTCCATCTGCTATAGTTAGTCCTACTGGAACGTCAGAAAGTTTCTAAAAATAAATTTAATAAACACAACTTTTTTTTAAAAAAAACATAGTTTTGCTTCAGAATAATATTCAATATTTTGAATTGGAAAGAGCAAGGTACAGAATTTACAACAGCTTGTCCATATAAAAAAAATAAATAAAGAAAATGTAAAGTTGGATTAAGCATTTAATGGATTATGTGCTTATTTCAATGCTAAAATTGTTTTTGTTATATCTAGGTAACAAGTAAATTGACTGAAGAGATTGCTGGTGAATGTCTCTTTGATGATTTCATTTACAAGAGAATTTCTTCCAACATGTTTATCAAAGAAGCTGAGGTTTCAAATTTACTGATTTTATGTCTGTTTTGGTTTGTTACAACTTGTTTAATGGTCCAAATTTTAATGGTCCATATTTCTTAAAAAAATGGTTTCTTATCTGCCATTTTATAACTAAATACATAAGCTGCCAGTTAATGAAATGTCTGAAATTCAAAGTATGGAAATATATTAATATTGTTTTAGATTTAGATGTAATTTTTTATTAACAAATTTTCATAAATAAATTAGAACTTGCTTACAATTAAGTGCTCCAGCTACTGTCTCTTTACAATCAACCTTTAAATATTTTCCTATGGTCAACCTTTCAAAGATATTTTCCTATGGTCAACCTTTCAAAGATATTTTCCTATGGTCAACCTTTCAAAGATATTTTCCTATGGTCAACGTTTCAATGATATTTTTTCTCTATGGTCACCTTTTAATGATATTTTCCTGTGGTCAACTTTTCAATGATATTTTCCTGTGGTCAACTTTTCAATGATATTTTCCTGTGGTCAACTTTTCAGTGATATTTTCCTGTGGTCAACTTTTCAGTGATATTTTCCTGTGGTCAACTTTTCAGTGATATTTTCCTGTGGTCAACTTTTCAGTGATATTTTCCTGTGGTCAACTTTTCAGTGATATTTTCCTGTGGTCAACGTTTCAGTGATATTTTCCTGTGGTCAACTTTTCAGTGATATTTTCCAAGGGTCAAACTTTCAGTGATATTTTCATGTGGTCAACTTTTCAGTGATATTTTCCTGTGGTCAACTTCTCAGTGATATTTTCCTGTGGTCAACTTTTCAGTGATATTTTCCAAGGGTCAACTTTTCTGTGATATTTTCCTGTGGTCAACTTTTCAGTGATATTTTCCAAGGGTCAAACTTTCAATATTTTTTTGCCACTGTAGGTTCAAGCAACTGGCAACCCTGATGGCAGAGACCCCAATGACCCTGCCTATGACATCATCACACGTACCTTCCAGTCTATGCAGAAAAACAGAGATCAAATAAAGTAAGGAACTCTTGTGTTTTTGTTCAATAAATAAATGTTTTGATAAATGTTTTAGTTTGTTTCAATTGTGTTTTAGTTTTTGTTTTAATTGTGTTTTTTAGTTTGTGTTTTAATTGTGTTTTATATGTGTTTTAATTGTGTTTTTGTTTTTGTTTGTGTTTGTAATTGTATTTTAGTTTGTGTTTTAATTGTAGTTTAGTTTGTGCTTTTAACCAATGTACAGTAGCTCTATGTTGCAGCCAATTATAGGACTTTGTATCCTTAGTACATGTGTTACCATGAATCAAAAGATAGCTACTGTGTGTCACCAGTACTGGTGATAAGGATACTGTATCACCACTACTGGTAGGACCATTTCAATGTGGTACACTTGTTAAAATGATTGATACACAGATTTAAATATTAATTGAAATTTCTGAGGCTATAGTAAACAATGTTGTTGTTTAAATTTTCTTAAGCCAAGGCTACTCTTTACCTGGCCACTCTATACTTGGCCACCTGACCACTCTTTACTTTAAACCTGAAGCCTTGTAGTGTTTTACATTGGCCATTCTATACTTGACCACTCTTTAGTTTAAACCTGATGCCTTATAGTGTTTTACATTGGCCACTCTATATTTGACCACTCTTTAGTTTAAACCTGATGCCTTGTAGTGTTTTACACTGGCCACTCTATATTTGACCACTCTTTAGTTTAAACCTGATGCCTTATAGTGTTTTACATTGGCCACTCTATATTTGACATCTCTTTACTTTTAACCTGAAGCCTTACAGTGTTTTACATTGGCCCCCACTGTTCCACTATATCTATATTATTTCAACTTTCTACTAATTTTGTGATTTCCCTATATAGTACTATATTATATTAGTTCTATTTAAAATGAACACTGTGTAACTCTCCCACAACAGAAAACATATTTGGTCACACTCTCAGCTGCTGAATCAGCAAACATCTCCTCCACCTCAACTACTTCGCCCCGTGTCACCTCCGCCCCCCATGCCACCCAAAAAAAAGAAGTCACCACCAAAAGTGAACAAAACACCTTCACAAGTGCCCATTTCAGAGCCACAACTATCAACTGTTGTTGAGTAAGTAGCATCAACTTTATTAAAATAACTACGCTATCTGCTAATATGCTAGTTTTGAATGAAAAATGATATTTTCTTTTTTATTTAAATTTCAATTTAATTACAAGCTAAATTTTAGCTTGTTAACTTTAATTTTTTTTATATTGGAAAACAGCCAAAGTACAAAATTTATTTTTAAAAATAAGTTGAAAATGAACATTTCTTTTGAAGCAAAATTCAAAAAAATTAATTCCTTTAAAAATGGAAATGTAAAAACTTTTGGTTTTGGTTTAATACAATAAAGAGCTGACTTGGCAATATTAAAACACTTCTAATGGTTTGTAGTGAAACAAAATCAATAACTATGTCAGTAATGTGTGTTTTGAGAAAGCTAATTTTGTAGCCTTATACATCCAGCACAATGGGAATAACTGCAGTGTGTTTTATGGCTAGTCTATTTATCATATGCCTGATTGACATTGTTTGGCTAGACTGAATTATTTATAAAGATATATATTTTTTCTGTTGTTTTTTTTTTTTTTTTTGCTTCATTCTAATTTGATCTCCCCAGGAATGTTGACTTTTAATGGGCTCTTCACTGTAATAAGGATAAGTGATTTATTTCAGATTTGTTTCATCTATGTCGATCACTGTTTTATACTTTCTTCTTTGTTGTATTAGTTACTTGTAAATTTCATTTAAAGTAATTGTAAAGTATGTAGTTGTAGCCTAACAGATTTAAATAAATAGTTTAAAAAAACTAAAGTCACAATAAATTTAATTTTAATAATTTCAATTTTGGTCAAAATTTTTGTCTTCTTTATTTTAATTATTTTAAATTTCAAGTTATTGCAAATTATGGATTATTTCTCTAAGAATCTATTTCTATTTTACAATGTTAACTGACTTGTCTCGGTTGTTAGCTGGTTCACCTCCTAACCTAATGCACAACTAACAAAACTTAATGACATAGCTGCATTTCTCATAAGCTTAACACACACAAAATAGGATTTTACAACAATTTAGAAAAATATAATTTAAATGATATTACAAAGCTTTAATAACTCATCATTTCTTTGTCATCGCTTTTTAAATATTGTTTTGAATAATTAAGGAAATTAGATTTATATTCTGTCAAAAAAAAACATCATATAATTCTATTACGTAAATGATAATGAAAAAGCGGTTTCAATTATGCTAGTTTTGATTAAAGCAATTATTTTGTAAATATACAGCATATTTTTTACCCAATTGTCAGTATTTATTTTAATTTTTTTTAAAGTAAATATTTTAAAACTGTTTTATTTTTTCTTGCAAGCAGAAAATTTGATATCAATAAGTTAGGTTATCAAGCAGTTTATGTGATATAAATAAGTATGGTGTCTCTGTGTCTAGATTTAATAAATTCATTTAAAAGTGCCTCTTTATATTACAGTATTACAATATTAATTATCTGGGGTATTTCAGCTATTTATCTGTCTGCATTGTTAAATAATTTGTTTTATATCATTCCTTTTCAAATCCTCTTTAATGTAGGACTTTGGTTATTTTGTTTAAAATAAAGTTAGTTTAATTATATATAAGCTTGACTAACTTAATTGTTCTGAAAACATTGTTCAGGCTAAGTTTTTAATAATTTTTGTAAAAATTAGAACCCTGCAAATCTTGATAAAAATATAAAAAAAAAATATTAGCACCATTTTATGGAACAAAAACTGTGTGTTTATATTTGATATTTAATGCTAAGATCTTCTGTATTGTTATTACAGCATTTACTTATGATATTAAATTTAAAAATACTGTGATATGTTACTTCAAAAATAAATATATTAAAGAGAAATATTTTAAAATACAAAATGTTGACATTTATTTATTTACTTATTTGACTGGTGGAAAAAAATGAATGCTGCTAAAATCATGTGAACAGAATGAAAATGTAAGTACAATTTAATCTTTTAACAATTTAGACTTGGAGATGGTAAAAAACCTGGCAACATTGGTTTCAGTGAGCCAGTTGATGCAGATGTAACCATCATCAGCTTTGATCATCTCCATCCAGTTGATCTCATACAGACAGATTACATGAAAGAAAAAGATCCAAAAGAAAGAAATAAAAAACTCTGGAACTGCATTTACCAAAAAAGAGAAGCAAAATATTGGAAGGTATTGTAATTTCATTAAGATTTACATGAATGTTACATTTAGATTGTTTATAATTTGTTTACAAATTACATGAACCTAAATATTTTTCTTTTATTAGATTTCTCTTATTTTACTTACTATTCTCACTGATGGCTGATATGTGACATTGTTTTACATTGTCTTTGTCTGGCAACTTTCTTTACTTTCTCACTTTACTAGTCTAAGTAAAAAAGAAAAGTTTCTCTTATTGTCATAAAATAATTATATTCTACACAAAAATTTTAGGCACTTAAAAACTACATTAAAAATTACAAAAATATTTTAGAACTTGAGGCCCTATGTATTTAATCTACATTAAGAAGTACAATAATATTTCAGAACTTGAGGCCCTATGTATCTAATCTACATTATGAAGTACAATAATATTTCAGAACTTGAGGCCCTATGTATTTAATCTACATTAAGAAGTACAATAATATTTCAGAACTTGAGGCCCTATGTATTTAATCTACATTAAGAAGTACAATAATATTTCAGAACTTGAGGCCCTATGTATTTAATCTACATAAAGAAGTACAATAATATTTCAGAACTTGAGGCCCTATGTATCTAATCTACATTATGAAGTACAATAATATTTCAGAACTTGAGGCCCTATGTATCTAATCTACATTATGAAGTACAATAATATTTCAGAACTTGAGGCCCTATGTATTTAATCTAACTGTGGCCAAGAGATGTCAAGGTATTTCAGTGGTCAAACCTTCACCGGATCATATGCAGGTGGCTATTGGGACTTTAAGTGGTAAATACTTTTTTGTTTTTAAACTGTAGCTTAGTTTGATTGTTTTCAACAAACCATGAGCTGTGTTTATTCATCTGAGCATATGTTAGCCCCTAAAGCTTCTCAGAGCTATTTTTTAGGCTATCAACAACCCACTAGCAAGGTCAAAGATCAGAACATTTGTTAGCCCTCAACAACCCACTAGCAGGGTTAAAAGTCCTCAGTTTAAATATTCCCAGAAACATCTTTTGACAGCAATCTGTTTTTCCCACTAAGTGATTCAGCTAGATGTCTTTGACCAGGTTTATTTGAAGTGTTCACTCATTTACTCATTTTAAAAGAAAAAAAACAGATAACTAAGCACATTATCAAATACAACATCTATTATTCTAAGTAATTAGTGATTTTGTTTTAAATGTTATCTATAATTAATGAACTATATCCAATAATCATTTATTGATGGGGGATGTTATGATAAATATAGTGTCTAGTAAACATTTTTTGATAGTGGATGTTATGATAAATATAGTATCCAGTCATGATATTTTGATAGGTGATGTCATAATAAATATAGTATCTAGTCATGATATTGATAAATATAGTATCTAAACATCATTTTTTGATAGGTGATGTCATGATAAATATAGTATTTAGTCATGATATTTTGATAAGTGATGTCATAATAAATATAGTATCTAGTCATGATATTTTGATAAGTAATGTCATGATAAATATAGTATCTAGTCATAATTTTTTGATAGGTGATGTCATCATTTTCAACACACAAGTGGAACCCTGGATGGCTGTAAAATTAGATGTTGGGCAGACGGTTGATGGGGGTGTAGTGCATTTAGCTTGGTCACTTGACTCTTCTAGGCTGTTGGCAGTTAAAAAATCTGTAGGTAGTGTAATCTTTTAGGCTGTTGGCAGTTAAAAAATCTGTACGTAATGTAATCTTCTAGGCTGTTGGCAGTTAAAAAATCTGTACATAATGTTATCTTCTAGGCTGTTAGCAGTTAAAAAATCTGTAGGTAGTGTAATCTAGGCTGTTAGCAGTTAAAAAATCTGTATGTAATGTAATCTTTTAGGCTGTTAGCAGTTAAAAAATCTGTACGTATTGTAATCTTTTAGGCTGTTAGCAGTTAAAAAATCTGTACGTAATGTAATCTTTTAGGCTGTTAGCAGTTAAAAAATCTGTACGTAATGTAATCTTTTAGGCTGTTAGCAGTTAAAAAATCTGTACGTAATGTAATCTTCTAGGCTGTTAGCAGTTAAAAAATCAGTACGTATGGTTATCCTCTAGGCCAGGGGTCAGAGGCGTAGCGACCATTCCCGGCGCCCAGGGACAAACTTTTCGATTTGCACCCCCCCCCCCCTCAAAATTTTGATTTGCACCCCCCCTTCAAACTTTCGATTTCCACCCCCCTCAACCTTTCAATTTATTTCTCCAACCCATTTTGGCGCCCCCTAAGGTCGGCGCCCTTGGACATATGCCTGTCCCCACCCCCCTCGCTACGCTACTGCCAGGGGTCGGCAACCTGCGGCTTTTTTATATCAAGATGCTGCTCTCCAGCTTCTTGAACAAATACTAATAATCTTAATAAAAAATAAAATATTTGAAATAAAAAAAATGTTAGTGGCTCTTTAAAACCAGGGAAATTTTGAAAATTGTAACTTTTGGCTCTTCCGCTTCAAAAGGTTGCCGACCCCTGCTCTAGGCTGTTAGCAGTTAAAAAATCTGTAGGTAATGTAATCTTCTAGGCTGGTAGCAGTTAAAAAATCTGTACGTAATGTAATCTTCTAGGCTGTTAGCAGTTAAAAAATCTGTACGTAATGTAATCTTCTAGGCTGTTAGCAGTTAAAAAATCTGTACGTAATGTAATCTTCTAGGCTGTTAGCAGTTAAAAAATCTGTACGTAATGTAATCTTCTAGGCTGTTGGCAGTTAAAAAATCTGTACGTAATGTAATCTTCTAGGCTGTTAGCTGTTAAAAAATCTGTTCGTAATGTAATCTTCTAGGCTGTTGGCAGTTAAAAAATCTGTATGTAATGTAATCTTCTAGGCTGTTAGCAGTTAAAAAATCTGTACGTAATGTAATCTTCTAGGCTGTTAGCTGTTAAAAAATCTGTTCGTAATGTAATCTTCTAGGCTGTTGGCAGTTAAAAAATCTGTACGTAATGTAATCTTCTAGGCTGTTGGCAGTTAAAAAATCTGTACATACTGTAATCTTCTAGGCTGTTAGCTGTTAAAAAATCTGTTCGTAATGTAATCTTCTAGGCTGTTGGCAGTTAAAAAATCTGTACATAATGTAATCTTCTAGGCTGTTAGCTGTTAAAAAATCTGTTCGTAATGTAATCTTCTAGGCTGTTGGCAGTTAAAAAATCTGTACGTAATGTAATCTTCTAGGCTGTTAGCAGTTAAAAAATCTGTATGTAATGTAATCTTCCAGGCTGTTAGCAGTTAAAAAATCTGTATGTAATGTAATCTTCTAGGCTGTTAGCAGTTAAAAAATCTGTACGTAATGTAATCTAGGCTGTTAGCAGTTAAAAAATCTGTATGTAATGTAATCTTCTAGGCTGTAGGCAGTTAAAAAATCTGTATGTAATGTAATCTTCTAGGCTATTGGCAGTTAAAAAATCTGTATGTAATGTAATCTTCTAGGCTGTTGGCAGTTTAAAAATCAGTACGTAGTGTAATCTTCTAGGCTGTTAGCAGTTAAAAAATCTGTACGTAATGTAATTCTCTAGGCTGTTGGCAGTTAAAAAATCTGTATGTAATGTAATCTTCTAGGCTATTGGCAGTTAAAAAATCTGTATGTAATGTAATCTTCTAGGCTGTTGGCAGTTTAAAAATCAGTACGTAGTGTAATCTTCTAGGCTGTTAGCAGTTAAAAAATCTGTACGTAATGTAATCCTCTAGGCTGTTGGCAGTTAAAAAATCTGTATGTAATGTTATCTTCTAGGCTGTTAGCAGTTAAAAAGTCTGTACGTAATGTAATCCTCTAGGCTGTTAGCAGTTAAAAAATCTGTACGTAATGTAATCAGAATCTTCTAGGCTGTTAGCAGTTAAAAAATCTCTACGTAATGTAATCAGAATCTTCTAGGCTGTTAGCAGTTAAAAAATCTGTATGTAATGTAATCTTCTAGGCTGTTAGCAGTTAAAAAGTCTGTATGTAATGTAATCCTCTAGGCTGTTAGCAGTTAAAAAATGTAAATGGTATGATTTGTTTAAAACAAAAATAAGTTTATGTTAAGTACTGAATTTTATTTATAAAAAAATAATGTGCCTAGTGATATGGCTGAGTACATTTTTGTTTTTGTAAAGTAATTTTAACACTGTAATTTAGTCATTTCATTGGGAACAGAAAAACTGGCTTTGCCATCGTAATTCAGCATTGATTGGGATTAGATTAGGTGAATAGCTCTCATTGGATTAGTTGAGCTGGATTAGTTAAGAAGGATTAGTTGATGTGTGTGTTGTATTTGCAGGGTTCTGTTTTTGTTTGGCTCACAAAGGGAAAGCCAGCATTAAAAGAGCACTTGAAAGTCATGGAGTTCCAAACAAACGAAACAAAACCTCAGCCATTTGCCCTCATTCCTATCAATGCTTTTGATGCCAACAAAGGGGACTTAACTCTCACACAAGGTCATTATATTTTTCTACATCATTTATTAAAAAAATGTAGTTTTAAAAATGTAATTGTATCACATATCAAAAGCTATATGACAAGGGAAATAACTCTAAAATTTCATGTTGCAGGATCTCTTGTTGAACAAGGCACATCTAGAGGTCCAGAGAAGGCAGTTCTGGCAGATTTCTTCCCCTCCCTTACCGTGCTGACCACTCAGGTATGAATTGGACACTTTGTGTGCTCATGTCTGAGATAAGATTTATCTGTGTTGGACTATGTTTGTTGTTTAACTATTTCATTGTGGAGGCTTATTTACCTTTGTTGAAATTTTTTTTTTCAAGTAGCCCATATACATATTTTACATATAAAATCATTTGATAAGGGAGGCAATGTATTGCATATGCGTAGCGACGGGGGGGGGGGGGGGTACATATGTCCCCGGGCGCCGACCTTAGGGGGTGCCAAAATGGGTTGGAAAAAAAAATAAAAATCTTATTTTAGCTGCAGTTTTACATTATAAATATAATGGGTGGGAGGCGCAAATTGAAAGTTTGAGGGGAGGGGGTGCAAACTAAAAATAAAAATTGAAAGATTGCTCCCGAGGGGGGACAAATTGAAAGTTTGTCCCTGGGCGCCGGGAAGGGTCGCTAAGCCTCTGATGTATTGTAGGAGCTTTGATAGTGAAAATAGTAGCCTACGTTTTTGATAGAGGATACAGTTTTTTGTCTTTGTGATTGGGAAAAAAAGATAATCTTGTAGAGCCAAAAAAAATAAAAACCTTGAGCATCAGAAGGTTAACTTGTTATATTTTTGTCCTTTTAGTACTCCATCTGTGCGGCACTACAGATGGGAGATATACTAAAACTTGACTTGGAAACACTCAACAAAAATGAAAATGTTTTGAAGGCACCAATGCTTCTCAAACCAAAAATTCAGGTAGTTTTGAGAATTAATTTTTATATTTTCCAAATTTTAAATAATTGCTGAAAGTATTGAAATCTACTTTTTAATTTCATCATATCTTTATTAAAATGTAAGCCACAGCTTTCAAAAGGTATGGTCTATTTAGGTGGTAGTTTGGTTGAGAGGTTGGTTGAGTGAGTGGTGAGTTATTTTTATTTTTGTTTAAAGAACTCAAATACCTTGGTTCTTGAGTCTGAGCAGATCCCATGGCTACCTAGTATCTGTAACACTTAAACACCAAAGATAAATATCTGTAACACTTAAACACCAAAGATAAATATCTGTAACACTTAAACACCAAAGATAAATATCTGTGACACTTAAACACCAAAGATAAATATCTGTAACACTTAAACGCCAAAGATAAATATCTGTAACACTTAAATGCCAAAGATAAATATCTGTAACACTTAAACACCAAAGATAAATATCTGTAACACTTAAACACCAAAGATAAATATCTGTAACACTTAAACACCAAAGATAAATATCTGTAACACTTAAACACCAAAGATAAATATCTGTAACACTTAAACGCCAAAGATAAATATCTGTAACACTTAAATGCCAAAGATAAATATCTGTAACACTTAAACACCAAAGATAAATATCTGTAACACTTAAACACCAAAGATAAATATCTGTAACACTTAAACACCAAAGATAAATATCTGTAACACTTAAACACCAAAGATAAATATCTGTAACACTTAAACACCAAAGATAAATATCTGTAACACTTAAACACCAAAGATAAATATCTGTAACACTTAAACACCAAAGATAAATATCTGTAACACTTAAACACCAAAGATAAATATCTGTAACACTTAAACACCAAAGATAAATATCTGTAACACTTAAACACCAAAGATAAATATCTGTAACACTTAAACACCAAAGATAAATATCTGTAACACTTAAACGCCAAAGATAAATATCTGTAACACTTAAACACCAAAGATAAATATCTGTAACACTTAAACACCAAAGATAAATATCTGTAACACTTAAACACCAAAGATAAATATCTGTAACACTTAAACACCAAAGATAAATATCTGTAACACTTAAACACCAAAGATAAATATCTGTAACACTTAAACACCAAAGATAAATATCTGTAACACTTAAACGCCAAAGATAAATATCTGTAACACTTAAACACCAAAGATAAATATCTGTAACACTTAAACACCAAAGATAAATATCTGTAACACTTAAACACCAAAGATAAATATCTGTAACACTTAAACACCAAAGATAAATATCTGTAACACTTAAACACCAAAGATAAATATCTGTAACACTTAAACACCAAAGATAAATATCTGTAACACTTAAACACCAAAGATAAATATCTGTAACACTTAAACACCAAAGATAAATATCTGTAACACTTAAACGCCAAAGATAAATATCTGTAACACTTAAATGCCAAAGATAAATATCTGTAACACTTAAACACCAAAGATAAATATCTGTAACACTTAAACACCAAAGATAAATATCTGTAACACTTAAACACCAAAGATAAATATCTGTAACACTTAAACACCAAAGATAAATATCTGTAACACTTAAACACCAAAGATAAATATCTGTAACACTTAAACACCAAAGATAAATATCTGAAACACTTTAACACCAAAGATAAATATCTGAAACACTTTAACACCAATGATAAATATCTGTAACACTTAAACACCAAAGATAAATATCTGTAGCTCTCAACATGAAATGTAACTTTACTCTTTAGACCAGCATTGAGGTTCCAAATTTAACCAGACAAAACATTGGGGCAGAACTTCTGCGCCAACACAAGGATCTGGTCCTGCATGTGAGTTTTGTGGGGAACATAGGCAAGATGGTGACGGTGGACAGTGCTGGCTTCATTCTCCTCTGGAAATACGACAAGTAGGTTTGTGATGTAGGTTTGTGATGTAGGTTTGTGATGTAGGTTTGTGAAACATAAGGGTTTGTGACACATGTAGGTTTAGGACACGTGTAGGTTTGTGAAACTAGTAGGTTTTTGGACATGTAGGTTTGTGATACTGGTAGGTTTGTGACACAGGTAGGTTTCTGGCACATGTAGGTTTGCGAAACTGGTAGGTTTTTGGACAGGTAGGTTTGTGACACATGTAGGTTTCTGGCTCAAGTATGTTTGTGGCAAAAGGTAAATTTCTGCTGTATGTATGTGACCCACGCATTGTTGCAACATTTTGTCTGCAGCAGAAATGTGTTGACAAATAAAATGATTTTTTTACTTAATTTCTGTTGAACTGGTTATGTAATATCCATGAGAGTTTACCTGCAAACATCAGTTGAAGACTGTATTTTAGATAAACTCAGATTATGTTAAAGTATGGGATAGATGGGCAGAAGTGACTTGATCTGTTAAATAACTTGTATACACTACCCTTGTGTATAGAGCCCTTGTGTACACTAACCTTGTATCAACTAATTTTCTTGAAGAAAAAAATGTAAACACAAAATTTGTTTCAGATCTTTTCTAACTGGCTTTGATTGGTTTACACCTGAAAAAAAATTCAAATTAAATCTACACAGGACAATGTTCCAACCCTTCCCCGAAGACAACACAAAAGTGAGTTGCATCTATATATTCCCCCCACCACCACCACTAAAACTGTGTATATATATATATTTTTTTTTTTAATTTATTAATTTATTTATTTAAATATCCATCTTGTAGGTCATAAATCATAACAGATCCTGCCCATCTGCTGCTACTGTTCCAAAAAATAAAATTTACAAATTGTTGGGTTTTTTTTTAACTATTCACACTTTATTAAAGAGAACAATAAAAATATGTGAAAAATTATGACACAAATTTTTTGAAAATCCGAGTTGTATTATCTTTTGTTTATTCCTGGTTGCAGATAATTTTTACAGATCAGCAAAAAAATGTGTCCAGATCTAAAATTAGAAGGGAGCGAAGTGAAGGTGAGTTTCACCGTCACATAGCTAAAAATAAACCATTTTATCATAGCGGGGGGTTATGGTTAGAGAGGGTTAGGATAGCAATAACAGAAATAATAATAACCTTTAATTTAAAAATAGCAATAAGTCGCATAGAAAATCCGAGTAAATTATGCCCGTATGAATCATTGTAGCCACTTACTAGTATTTTTTAACTGTGTCAACCCAGTCCATGCCTGCATTAAATTAAATGGAAAGAAATTCAAATATGAATTTTAAGAAATTACCTAGTTTTTCAGCTCAAAAGGTGAATTTAAGAAATTACAGTGAAAATTGTTTAATGCTTAAGATGAAAAAAAAATCATTTAAAACGAAATATTAATTAGACCTTAATAAAATACTCGGTATTTCATTAAAAATTATTTTAACAAACACAAAACAAAACAAAACATTTATCAGGAAAAGATTTCCCCTCTCTGAATGCAGTTGTTTTACGCATTGTGCTCGGCTTGTTTTAAAGGGAGGTTATAAACAACGTAAACGATCAACTAAGGGAAGCAACTTCTGCTGTCAATTTAATTTTACATAATTGACTGAATGCCGCAGTAATAATTATTTTAAAAGGATTGGCGTTTTAAGTTAATTTTAACAAATTAGTTTATTACATCAATGAAGAAAAATTTAATACATCACTTAAAGCGATGTATAAAAGATTGAACCATTCAGAAAAAAAAACACTTTAGCGATCTTGCGATGACCGCTAAAAGTGGTGAATCGGCTACTTGATCAAGCATACTTACCTGGCACAGGAGGCACCTTGATCAGCAAGGAGGTCCTCCCAGGGCGAGGCCTGCACATTGCACTTCGTGTGGGTTGACCCCTGCGATCACCCCAAATGTGGGTGACTCGGGTGCGTAATTTTTTCGTAGGGGGGACTGCGTTCGCGCTATCCCCTGCACAATATTAAATGTAAAGAATGGTAGCTACTCATTTTTGCCTGTATCCTACTATTATGTCTAGCAATGTGTTAAGAATGCTACAATCATATAATCTCTTACACTACCTAATCATTTCAAGTGTACGCTAGATGTAAGATGGGTAAAATCCAGTTCAATGCCAATGTTGCACAGCTAAATGGGCAGTGGCTACATTAATACCAGTGACAGTCTGTATTTAATACAATTTAAATTCAAATAAAATCATCTTAATGGTGTTACTACCTTAAATTGTACTTTGGTTTCTCATGAAATCTCTTAAAGGTTGTATTTTTCTGTATCTTGTTCACAGCTCAAATATCACTGGACAAATTAAAGCTTGGGAACCCTTGGCACATTATCATAGGAAAAAATGGACTTGATGTTTGTTGTTTAAAGTTTTATTTTGTTACTTCTGATTTGATGTTTGTGGTTTTAAGTTTTATTTTGTTACTTCTTACTTGAAGAAAGTTGAATAAAAGCTTTTAAAAATGTTTTAATAACAAGCTTTTATATAATTATGCACTAAAAAGGAGAAAATAAATTCTTAAAATCTTTAATAATAAATGCACTATTTAAATGACTATAAACAATAAAGAAAAGCATGGGTCACTATATTATCTATTGAATTTGAATACCTTTAATAAAATTAATTTAAGAAGCAAAGAATTTCACTATGTTCCTGTGACTCACTTAAACTTCTTTTAAAAAAAACATCACTACATGTCCTAATGCATGATTTTATTTGCCAGACTTACATGTATGCCCCACAAGCCAATGTGAATGACTCTGGAGCCATGTTTAATGTTGTTGTCAGACACAGAAAGACTCAGCAAGTATCCAGTCACATGACACGGATGTATAAACCTGTCAAAGTAAACATTTGCATTTTTCTAATCTACCCTCTGAAATCATTTGGTTTTTCTGGTCAAATTAACTAAAAATAAAAATAACTTTTTTTATCTACTGAAATTATTTTTTTTTTAATAAAAAGAAACTTCATGTTAAATGCTAAAATCATGTGTTGTAATTGTTATGCTATCAATATTTTACCCTGTTTTCTGGTGTTAGGATTCAATTGAATTTCAAATCATGTTTTAAGCTAAATTTTGATTAACAAATCAGGTTGCTGGAATAAAACAAAAAATATCAAATTACCCATCAACGAAATAAACAAACAAAATCAAACCATAGCAGTTTTATGTTTGACATTTGTGTATTTAACTGCAGTTTTTCTTCCTCAGCTTCAAGCTTCTGCTATTCTGTCTGTGAAACAAACTCCCTCTGGAAATGATTTAGTGATTGTTCTTTTGTTTCCTCCCTATCAACCCAAAGGTGGGCAGCCATCTTTTAATCTTTATCATGGGCAGCATATGCATCTATTTGCCTTCCAATCTGTACATTTTTGTTTTATGAAATATGTTTGGTGGAAAATATACCACCATTAAACATTGGTCATCTAAGTTATGTCTATGATTTTATAACAACTCTTCAATTAAATAATAGATTTCTACCAGCAGATAGAATGATAAATATTAGTTTTTATTAACCAAATAAAAACAAGGATTCAAGTATTCACAAAACAATTTATTTCCCAGGTCCATATTTGATGATACTTGTTCTACACCTACCAACAATGGCTTTACGCAACTTTAGAAAAGAGATTGAGCTAAGCAGTCAAGAACATGATGAGTATAAGGAAACTAAAACCTTGTCTATGGATGTGAGTCTAATTGTGTTGTTTCCTTGTTATTCATGCTAAAGTTAATATTTTTATTTAAATTACTTCAGGTACCCTTTTAATTAATTTTATTATTTTCATAAGGTTACACAAACGTATGGGCCTACTGGCTCAGAATACCTATTCATGACACTGAATGGTCAGCTGAACTGCTTTTCACTCAACTCTGGCTCATCACTGCTTTGTATTGACAGTAAAACACGGCCCAAAGGTTGTATGAAAGCCAATTATTTACAGCTATAAAATGTGTACAAAAAGAATTAATTTAAATTAGAAGCCAAAAATTTATTTTTTTATAGATAATTGTACAACATATAGAAATCTACTATGTTGAGTTTATATATATAAAGAGCGCACGACAAAAGAGCGCAGACAAAAGAGCGCCGACAAAAGAGCGCCGACATAAGAGCGCACTAATTTCCCGACAAAAGAGCGCCGACATAAGAGCGCAAACTAACGATCGAAAATCATAGTTAATGGTTAATAAAAATTAACTCAGATCAGAAGGCATCGTTTGATGTTAACTCTTTATTGTTTCATTAAAAAACTAATTGTTCAGTTTCTTTAACTAAAAAAGTGATAAAATCAACGTGAAGTCCAATTATTCAAAACGCAATCTAATAACACATACAAAGATTTTAAATGTTAGGCCTAAATTTAGAATATAAACTGAAATGAAATGTAACAAAATGAAAATATATTTCAAATGAATAAAACGTTTATTTATAGTTGCATTTATATTGCTTCCACCAGCATTTGCTCTGTCCTTTCCACATCTGTAGCCTTCGACCAATATAATAACCTTCCCTTTCTGTGATTCGATCTTCTACATGTTACTTGGGTTAGAAATATTTTCAAACTGCATTCATAACATATTAAACATAATATATAAATAAACATGTCGTTTTATCGTTCCGCCGATTGTTTAATTAAAACAAGTGTCTGCGCTCTTATGTCGGCGCTCTTTTGTCGTGCGCTCTTTTGACGGGTCACCATACTTTGTTTCTACTATTTTAGCTTGTTATGAATCTGATAATTTACCCCATATCAACTATACTTATTTTTTTTTTTATTTTTACTCACTATGTGTTAACATTATACTTTATAGTATTTATACTTTTAATGTTTTGATATTTCATCCTGTGTTAACTGTATACTTTTCATGTTTCTCTAACCAAAGCACCAAAGTTTCCAGGGTTAAGAATTGATGAGCAATATTTTAAAGTGCCAAAACTGTGCCAGGTGGCAGCACTAGGCAACTTTGGCTCTCTCTATGCTGTGCTCTTTGATCAGGTGTGTGAGTAGTTTCCTTTTACTGATGGCAACTTTTAGATCTAGATAGTAGGAGCCATCCAGAATAGATCAGACATACCTTAGATGGAAGGGGTGTCTTCAGACTTATGCGACAATGTGCTATGTGTGTGGGGGGGGGGGGGGGGCTGTAAACATTGATTCCTCTAAACTCTGAGGGGTCAAATTTGTCAATATCATGGTAGGTGAGGGGGGATGATTCTTGCTTTTGTAGCAATAGCAGGTGAGAGTACAAAAAACTCAAATTGTTTTTTATCATAAATGGAAAACCCATAACTGTCAATACATAAAACTAAATTCTTAGTGTACACCACTGCTGAATTTCTAGTTAAGACCAAGTAACCACTGCTAACTTTGTTTTATTGCTAAATTTCTAGTCCAGTCAAGTTTTTAAAGTTCTACGACTTGATGACAACAACCCTCCTGAGGACACCAGGCTGATGAGCAAAGCTTTCAAAAAATGGTGGGCTGTGTTGATAACATTAATCTTAAGCAGTAGCAAATTTTTAAATTTTACATTTTATTCTACAACAGATGCTGATTTTTTATAAACATCATATTAGTTTTGGTTATAGGTTCACTTTAGAAAACTTTATTACAACTAAACATGGGCTTCCTTATATGATAACGTTAAAGTGTCCTTCTCAGACACCAAAAATAACAGTTAATCATTTAAATAGTTGATTAAAAAACTGATGTTAAAGAATTAATGTAACTGTTACTGTGATGTGATTTTCCAAAAAATTTATAAATCCATTCATCCCCCTTAGGGAGGGTTACAAGAAATGTCCGTCTGAGCTTCGAGTTAATCCAGTGGACTGTCTGCTGCCAGATATGAAACACTTGGAAGCAGAAATGAGGAGTTTACTGCTGTCCTTGCCATTCCACAATGAGGAGATAACCAGGGAGGACCAAGAAAAAGAAAAAATTGGGAATTATCTGGCCTTGAAAACCAAGGTAAAAACAAATTTCAATAACACAACAAAACAAAAAGTGATAAAATAAGGTAAATATGTTCATAAAAGAAATAAGTATTTCAATTTTTTTTAAATATTCAACAAGATAAATAACACAAGTGAACATTTATTCCATTAAGCTCAATCAATGAGGTTTGATATATCAAACATCCACTAGTATCATTGTGATACAGCAAGGTATATTTCTCAAAGCTTTATTTAATATATAAGTTGGCACTTAGCTTACCTCCCCCATATAAAGAAAAAAATGCATCCCTCTCACCATCACTTATTCCAGTACACATTAACAGTTATGCTGTTAATGTCAGTCAAAATACAACCTAGGCTAATGTTTAGGTTTCTTTAATACTTCTGAAAGTAAAACATTAATTGTAAAACAAATTATGGCTTTTCATGTGAGAAATCAAGAACTACACAGTCAATCTTATTTTAATGAGACTTTTTAATAACTTTTTATTTTTAACAGGTGGAAAAGGAGGCTCTGGTGAATAAATTATAAGAAAACTGCAGAAATGTTGTTGTTCCGTTTTTGTTTTTTTTATTCCTCACATAAATAAATAAATGACAATGTTTTTTACACCGTTGTTACTGCTTTTTTTTTTTTATTTGTTAATGAGAGTAATGTTAAATTAAAAACAATGTAGAAAAAACATTCTACACTTGATGATGTACTGCTTTTTTTTACTGCCAGCAACTGTCACTACTATAGCTTGTTATTATTGAAAAAGTTTCTGTGAACATGAAGGAGTATTGGTCTTTGGTTTTCACTTATCAAGTCCTTGGAAAATACTAGTTTAGAGTGTAGACCCCAGACTCACATTTATCATGTCGAATTGTTTTAGAAACATTATTTAATTTAAAAAATGAATAAATTAATAAAATGGGCACAGATTTTTTAAACTTGGTAAAACTCCATTTTAGCATAATTATTCGCTGCTTCACTCTCACCTCCAAAACAAAAATGTTTTTAAAAAAACAATGTCTTTATTTTAATGGGTTTTTATTTTTATAATTTTTGTCAGAATTTGAAAAAAAAAAAAATCAGATTCAATGTAAAATGTGCCTAATGTAACTGTTTGTTTTAACACTTGAAAGTTTTGTGTGAAGATTTTCATGGGTATAAATTATAAATAAAATACGAACCTCGCATTTTGTTTCAAGTATTTCGTATGCGTGGTAATAAAAAAAAATTATCTGAACTCGCAATGACCCCAAAAGTGACATCATCACATTTTCAAAAAAGCTATTGATCAAGCTATGACGTATGGATATCTAAACCTGGTGACACCCCCCCCCCCCGAACCTAAGTGGGCGCCAAAAGGGGTAGAAAAATTAATTGAAAAGCTCATTTTAAACTCATTTTAAGCTGAAGTAATCAATTATATACAGTCAAAGTTACCAAATTAAACGAATTCAAGGCTTTCCACATTGATTTAACTCTTTTTCTGTATCAATTTTGTATCACTGAAATAGAAAATCTAATGGGATAGTAACTGGTAAGAAGCTCCACAAACCTTTCCAATTTATTTATTTACTGTGGGAAAGAGGGGGGTCGCTTTTTCAAAGACAGGAATAACTATAAATAGAATGGGAGGGAGGGGCGCAAAAATGTATATTCCGCCACGGGCGCCGGAATCGAGAAGTTGAAAATAAATTATTTAGAAAATATGTCCATGCCAGATATTTGTAAACAGAAATAACAAAATGATAAATCATAGTTTTTTACATTTTTAAAAATTCGTCTTTACAATTTCATTAATGCTTTTATATAAATATTTATCAAATAAAATTGCATCTTAATCAAAGTTTTAATTAGCCTACTTAAGAATAAATTCAAATATTAAATTAAAATATCTAACCTAAAACAAGCGATCATTTTTTTTTCGAAAGTCCCCAAATTACAAAAATTCGATATATACATTTTAGTAGAATTTTTTTACAGCAGTGTAATTTAATCAATTAAATTATTGATGATTAATAAACAGGCTTGAACGCAAGATAATTACAAAACTGTTGGTATAATTAACACAGCAAACGGAATAAAAGGCCTGCACACAGCACAATGAAAAAGGATTACAGTTTAAACACGACACGCTTATCAACTTATAGATAGGTCTCTAAATAAATATACATGTAGCCTACAAAATATGTGTGCGCACGAATATGTGTAAATTACAATTAAATAATCAGGTAATCAGCTGCTTATAAATTATTCATTTCCGAACTTATATTATACTTGCATTGTTCAGTTTTGTCAATTATTGAGGATAAACATGCATATGCAGCCTATGTAACCATTTCCACGCCGGGGGGTGGGGGGTGGGGGTGGGTAGCCTTGTAAAAAAAAAGTTGCATAGGCCCTACAACCCATTTGTGCCTAAAAATTGATTTAATAACGCAAATGCGAAACATTTGTTTAGAATAGCCAGATTTCACGGTAAGTGATGGCGAACATTTCTCGTTTAGGGTTGATTTATACGACCTTTCATAAGAGAATATAGAGTTATCAAACCTTTTAAGGCACCTACCCATATAATATTTTTAAAATTCTTAGCAGTCATTTGTACAAATTAAAGGAGAAAATGTGCTAATTAAATGTATATAGATTTAATTTTAGGACAAATGGGATTGAGTAGATATGGGCTTTACAGTTTATAATATTACAGCATTTGAGAGTGTTTGAACCGATGAACTCCTGGTTCATAGGTTAGAGGTTACAGCTCATTTTACTGTGTGAAGAAATGTGTTGTCAACAAGTTACATTAAGCTGAAATTCTATTGTTTATGCTTAGAACATTGGTGCGTACGATTAGAACATAGCTTGATTGGTAAAGCAGTTTTAATTATGTGTGCCGTGTTTTTTCTATAGGCCTAAGTAATTTACCTAGATCTAGATTAGGTCTTTAAATCATCTTATTTTCTGTTTTTGTTTTTTTTTTTAGCTAGGTAACCAACAATTGCAAAGAAGACTGAACTTCCCAGATAATGATGGCGGCGACCTGCAGGTTTTGGAATTTGATTTTTCACAATCGACATTCGTTGGTTTTACGCAAATGTTGTTTAAAACAATATAATAGCAAACGCACATACGTTGCTTCTAAATTGAAACTTCAAGAGCTTTATAAACTTAGTAAATCTGCTGCTGAAGGTTAGTGATGAAATTTCTAGATTCTAGAATCTAGTTCAAATTTCAAAATACTAGATCTAAAATCTATGCTTTAGGTACCTAAAACTGCCCACGTCTAGTAATGTGAAAAACAGGTGACTCCTTAAATTTTATTAATTATTTCACATTTTGAGGAGGATTTTGATATTTAAAAAAATGTTTCAAAGTTGCATTTATGAATTATGTACCTGTTTTTAAACAATTGAATTAAAACTGTTCAGTAATAAATGAAGACTAGCGATATTTCCAACAGATGCAACCATGCTCATTTACTATATATAGCAGCTATCTTGTTTAAGTTTTTCTTTGTAATGTAAACTTGCGCGATATTCAGGGGAAGCCACTCTATTTTACAAATGGCTGCTGTTTATATAGCAAATCTTGCTCGCAAACACTGCTGTTTAAAGTTAATTTCTGGCCTATATTGATAAATTTGCCATTTATTAAGGTTTATTATTCATTTATCTATAATATTTGACACAAATATATTACAATGTACTTCTATTAAAGCCTTGACAATTAGGTAACTTTTTCGTACATTTCTAGCCGCGGGCGATTTTACGTACCTAAAACGATAGATTACCAAAATAAATTATTATTAGTATTAATTTATTAGGCCTTAAGCGTAATAATTGGATGATTATAGATACAGATGTCCAATAATAGACTCTTCCATAAAATAGGTGTGTTGGGTTGTTAGTAGTATTGTAATCTCGACTAATTTTATGGCTAGAAATTAGGGTTAGGCGTATGGTCGGACCAGAGTTACGGTTAGGGACAGGGTTAGCTCAGACATTCGCCAGCCATGTGTGTATTTAGTTAACTACCAGTAACCTAACACCCCTTTTATAAAGGTTTAATTATCGGACACAGGTATAAACATTCTCCCTAATAATTAATTTATTTTGACCTACCGTAAAACTCTTTGTTTTTTAATTAAAATCTATACCTAATACTGATTAAGACCTATGTAATGTAATTAATAATTTCTGTCTTTAAGTAGGGCCTAAGTAAGTCTTAAATTTAGTCTAATGACTAATGTGTTATTATTTATTTGGCCTGTGTTACAGAAAATAAATGTAATTATTCATCATCATCTTTTCCTTTTTGTGCACAAGACACGTGTGGCTGCCAAATGTAATCATTTGTATGAAATAATTGCCAGGATTCTATAACAAAAAAATTGAATATAAGACAGTATATCTTGAGATACTAATAATGTAATAAGGATGGCACATTAAATGTTGCCTGATTTTTATGTGTAAAAGATTTGTTGTAATGTTGGTATGAATAAATTCAGTAGGGCACATAATTATGTTCTGTTAGGTTTGGCTATGTAATTTACCTGTTTAGGCTACATCACAAGAAGGAAAACTTATTGGAATGTTGTGTTGTTGTTTTTTTTTGTGACATGATAAGGGTAGTATTTGGCCTACTAAATAAATTAGAACCTCACACTTCTGACTTAAAGTACTGTTGCTGTAATATTGCTATACCAAAATTTCTTATAAATACTATGTTTATTACACATAGGTATTTGTCTTAAAAATGCCATCATTTAGTAAAGCAATGAGGCATACATTGTCCAGTGGATAAATGAGTGCTTCATAAATTCCACCAGACAATTAGATTTGAACAATACCCCTCTTTGAGTTGTTCAGTGAAAGTGTTGATCTTTAGAAAGAACTATTCAGACCCAGCCTGGTCCAAATAGTCTGCAGTGACTATACAGACCCAGGTTGTTTGCACTTTGGGACATAATTTATGGATTTCCACCGCCCCACCCTGCTCTTAGTAAATTGGCTATAATATATACTTTTGTTGAATAATTTTACATTTGGTCTAAATTTATTGTGATCAATGAAAAAAAGGTTATTTGAAGCAAAACACATTTTTTTGCTCTTAATATAACATTTGTTTTTCTTTAAATTTTGTTTAGACTTTAAGGCCAGCTGCATTAATAACAATAAAAATTTCAGTGATGGACCACCTAAATAGATGGTAAATTTTAGTGATGGGTGGCGTGTCTGTTCCTCTGTTAATGTTAACCCTCATTTGGCCTCCTTTCATTTTAACCCTCAGCCTTACTACTTTTAACAGTGTTGTCACGAGTTTAAACCGTCTCTTAACTTTTCAGCATAGTTTTCTTTTCAACTGTAACTTTAAGTCGTTGCTCAACCCAATAACTGATAAAAACATTAACCACGGAAAATGATGAACTGGAGGGAGGGGGAGAAGAGAGATTACTCAGCAATACAACATTTTATGTCCTTATGTTACAATATACCATTCTGTGTGAAGTAATGTTATTTTTCCATAACTATCTCTGACAAATGCTGTTTGAGTTATTTTGCATTTGTTTAACATTCACCAGAACTCATTAAACTTCTTTAAACTCAACCAGATGCTTGTGCATGCAGTCCAAGCAGTTTATTAAATTATTCTTTGTATTTATTATTTTTCTATTTTATTATTAGTATTATTTATAAAGCTCAGTTTAATTTTTTTTAATAACTGTCTCAAAGTTGGGTCATTTTAATGGAAATTAAATTTGCTGTCCATTTTTAAGAGCTGGTTTGGTATTTTCTAGAACAAACTCTTAAGCAATGTTTACCAACAATGAACTCTCCTTAATTTTCCAGAGCAACAGCCTATGCCAGACCAAAACCCTGAAGCAATATTTGCCAACAATGAACTCTCCCTACAGAAGATTGAGGTCTATGGCTTTGACTATGACTACACACTGGCCACATACACACCCAAGCTACATGAGCTTATCTTCACCTTAGGAAAGGAGGCTCTGGTTGATAAATTAAAGGTCATTTCTTGTTTTTTTATCTTTAAAACTGGAAAATTTAGACTTAAAATGTAGGCTTTGTGTTGTGGTTTTTTTTTAAACAAGTAAAAATTAACCTTTCTGACCTGATATAGCAGGTGTAGAGTTCATCTGTTTCTGTGAGCTTATCATATGACCACAGTATAGTGGGATCACATATGTACCCATCCTAACCACCTATCTTGAGTCAGGTATTCATTAGAGCTGAGTGGACTCAGGGGACATCCTGCAGACTCGAGCCCAGCACAGAAAATATAGAAAATAACTTGCACCAACTTCTAGTAGAAATGGCATGCTACATTAATATAAAATGAATATTATATGCAACAAAAATTTATTTTTAAAAATTTTCAAAAATAAAATTGTACATCTTCCAGTACCCTGAAGCAATTTTAGATCTGGAATACGATGCTGATTTTGCCGTGAGAGGATTACATTATGATGTCAAGAAGGTAATGATTTATTTTTTGTTCATGTTTTTATTTTTGAAATAGAAAAGATTTTAATAATTTGCATTGAAATTTTATCCTGTTATTAGTTTTCTTGTGTACTAATGCAATATACAAATACATTCACTGTACTACAGATTGTGTAAGCTTATCATTCCTGTCTAATTTAAATCAATATTAATGAACATCTGTGTATTTTGTAATGTATATCCCTGGCTAAAAAAAACATCTTTATTATCCCACAATTTCTATTGATTCCAGGGTCTTTTCATGAAGATTGATCAATTTCACAACATACAGCTAGGCACAGTTTACAGGTTTTTAAATATATTTTTTTATTTCTGGGGTATTGGCAATCCTCTTCCTTCCTCCCACTTCCCCCCCCCCCTCCCCAGTTTTGTTTAAATGTCAGCATCCCATGGTGTGTTGGAATAAATAGCTTAAACAAGCTTACACCCGACCAACTAGTTCTTATTTTTTTAAGATCAGTCCTGCACCACCAACACCCAGGTGTTCTAATATTATGCTACTACCTTAAGATTATTTATTATTTGTCTGTATTCTCCTTGTCATGTCCTCCCAGTTACCTTATAACACTTAGATACATTCGGCTTTCCTTTCAAGATCTGGTCATTCCCTACCCACTTGGTCATTCCCTACCCACTTGGTCATTCCCTACCCACTTGCTCATTCCCCACCCACTTGCTCATTTCCTACCCACTCAAAATATTCTTGTTGCTACCAACAGTGGAATGGGATGGAGTGGTCTAGCAGTAGAGAGCTCGACTGCTAACCCGTAAGTCTCGAGTTCGAATCCGGGTTCAAGTCAGTAGACCGTCCCTGAGACCAACCAACTCTGATGGGTACCTAACTCATGTAAAGGCGGCTGGGCATAGTGCTGACCACACTATCTCTTCATATGCTGAGGTCACAGAAAAAAGTGAACTCTACTTCACTTGCCCTATAGAAAAGGGAACTTTACTTTTTTTTTACTTTACCAACAGGGGAATGAAACCTGTGCCAGATGAAGAAGTGAAAACATTGTTTGAAGGGACTCACATATCTGTGGAAAACATGAACACATTTTATGGTGCAGTAAGTGAACAGTCTCACTCAAAAATATTCTTACATTGCTCTTTTTATTTGTTTCTACTGTTAAATTTAACATATTTTTTTGTTATGGGTATTAAGCAAAAAATGTGTACGCTCTACAATATTTCAGGGACCAATGCACCAAATGGTTGATTTGTTTGCACTTCCTGAAATCACACTTGTCTCCCTTGTTACTGAGGTTAGTTTCTAATCTTGGTTTGTTTGTTTTTTTGGTACTTTTTCTTTGAGGAATATAAGGACTTCTCATTTGGAATGTCATGATTAATTTCTAATCTCTTCCACATTTTTTCCAGATTGTCATAATTTATTTCATATACATAATTTACAATAACAAAAATCAATATGACATCTGGAAAAAAAAACTATAAAAATCAACATGAAAATTCAGTTTACCTACGTAATTCACTAGTACATATCAAATTGTCTTTCACAGTATTTTATTGCCAACAACATTACCTATGATCCTGAATATGTGTTCTTTGATATACGAGTAAGTTATTACATTGATTTGTGTGTATTTATGTATGTATGCATATTTGTGTGTATAAATTTAAATTTATAGATACACACAGATATAGAAATATATATTAATGTTAGTGTATATTACTAATTAGCCTAAAAACTCATTTCATTACTGTGGTTGGCTAATTTTAGAATACAAACTTGTAAACAATAAATTGAGATTCTTGTCACATTTTTAGAACACTGTCCAAGGTATCCACAACTCAGGTCAACTTCACCAAGCAATAATCAAAGATTTAGGTAAACAATTTAGCTTTTTAAGTAATATATCTGTGATTTGTCTTTTAATGTTGTAGTAGATTAGAAAACAAATCCTGATTTCTAGTTATAAGATAAAAAATGATTTTGATGGTTACAGATCTTTGTAAGAAAAAAAAATATCTGCAGATTTCTACTTATAAGATTAACAAATTTAATCAATTGATACATGCAGATCTCTACTTGTATTCTGAGAAATGTTATGAAACCAAGTTGTTGTTAGAAAATTTGCGTGGGGAAGGGAAGAAACTCTTTTTGATCTCCAACAGTGGCTTCCCTTTCATGTGAGTTTTTATTGACACATTAAATGTTACTTTGTTTATTTAACTTTACCCAGTAACAATTTTTTAAAAGTCTGTCTCAATTAATAGCTGAGGAAAAGATGTGTGTCAGTGCACATCATGAATTATAATTTTTTGTTTATGCAACATCTCAGTGACCATGGAATGAAATACATGGTGGGGAAAGAGTGGCAGGAACTGTTTGATGTGGTCATCGTGAATGCCAGGAAGCCAAAGTTCTTTAAAGAGGGCTACAGGTAACAATTTATTTTTGCATTGTTGGTTTCTTCTAATGCCAGTAATCCTGTTTTATCTGTCCAAGTTATAAGGCTGTTTGTAGGCCAGTATCTACCTTTTCTGAAAACATTACAGGTTAGCAAAAATTGAGATATGGGCTAAATTTAGCTAATGTAAACAAAGGGATTCTTTATATCCGACCATGGACCCAAGGCTTAGCTCCCATGATTTTACTACATTCTAGGGTTATCCCTTCTCTTGATTTAAAATAGTAAATTTTTTTTTTATTTTTACCTACACAGGCCATTCAGGGCTTACAATATGGAACAGATGGCGCCAGAGTGGGGCCGTGTGACAAGTCTGAACAAAGGTGTGGTGTATAATCAGGTGGGTACAGGTGTGGTGTATCAGGTGGGTACAGGTGTGGTGTATCAGGTGGGTACAGGTGTGGTGTATCTATCAGGTGGGTACAGGTGTGGTGTATCAGGTGGGTACAGGTGTGGTGTATCAGGTGGGTACAGGTGTGGTGTATCAGGTGGGTACAGGTGTGGTGTATCAGGTGGGTACAGGTGTGGTGTATCATCAGGTGGGTACAGGTGTGGGGTATCAACAGGTGGGTACAGGTGTAGTGTATCAGGTGGGTACAGGTGTGGTGTATCATCAGGTGGGTACAGGTGTGGTGTATCAGGTGGGTACAAGTGTGGTGTATCATCAGGTGGGTACAGGTGTGGGGTATCAACAGGTGGGTACAGGTGTAGTGTATCAGGTGGGTACAGGTGTAGTGTATCAGGTGGGTACAGGTGTGGTGTATCATCAGGTGGGTACAGGTGGGGTGTATCACCAGGTGGGTACAGGTGTGGTGTATCAACAGGTGGGTACAGGTGTGGGGTATCATCAGGTGGGTACAGGTGTGGTGTATCATCAGGTGGGTACAGGTGTGGTGTATCATCAGGTGGGTACAGGTGTGGTGTATCAGGTGGGTACAGGTGTGGTATAACACCAGGTGTGTACTGGTGGGGTGTATCAGGTGGGTACAGGTGTGGTGTATCACCAGGTGGGTACAGGTGTGGTGTATCAACAGGTGGGTACAGGTGTGGGGTATCATCAGGTGGGTACAGGTGTGGTGTATCATCAGGTGGGTACAGGTGTGGTGTATCAGGTGGGTACAGGTGTGGTGTATCACCAGGTGGGTACAGGTGGGGTGTATCACCAGGTGGGTACAGGTGTGGTGTATCAGGTGGGTACAGGTGTGGTGTATCACCAGGTGGGTACAGGTGTGGTGTATCTGCAGGTGGGGTGTATCACCAGGTGGGGTGTATTAGGTGGGTACAGGTGTGGGGTATCATCAGGTGGGTACAGGTGTGGGGTATCAACAGGTGGGTACAGGTGTAGTGTATCAGGTGGGTACAGGTGTAGTGTATCAGGTGGGTACAGGTGTGGTGTATCATCAGGTGGGGTGTATCAGGTGGGTACAGGTGTGGTGTATCAACAGGTGGGTACAGGTGGGGTGTATCACCAGGTGGGTACAGGTGTGGTGTATCAGGTGGGTACAGGTGTGGTGTATCAGGTGGGTACAGGTGTGGTGTATCAGGTGGGTACATGTGTGGTGTATCAGGTGGGTACAGGTGTGGGGTATCATCAGGTGGGTACAGGTGTGGTGTATCACCAGGTGGGTACAGGTGTGGTGTATCATCAGGTGGGTACAGGTGTGGTGTATCACCAGGTGGGTACAGGTGTGGTGTATCACCAGGTGGGTACAGGTGTGGTGTATCACCAGGTGGGTACAGGTGTGGTGTATCTACAGGTGGGGTGTATTAGGTGGGTACAGGTGTGGTGTATCACCAGGTGGGTACAGGTGTGGTGTATCATCAGGTGGGTACAGGTGTGGTGTATCATCAGGTGGGTACAGGTGTGGTGTATCACCAGGTGGGTACAGGTGTGGTGTATCAGGTGGGTACAGGTGTGGTGTATCACCAGGTGTGTACAGGTGTGGTGTATCATCAGGTGGGTACAGGTGTGGTGTATTATCAGGTGTGTACAGGTGTGGTGTATCACCAGGTGGGTACAGGTGTGGTGTATCACCAGGTGGGTACAGGTGTGGTGTATCAGGTGGGCACAGGTGTGGTGTATCAGGTGGGTACAGGTGGGGTGTATCATCAGGTGGGTACAGGTGTGGTGTATCAAGTGGGTACAGGTGTGGTGTATCAACAGGTGCGTACAGGTGTGGTGTATCAAGTGGGTACAGGTGTGGTGTATCAGGTGGGTACAGGTGTGGTGTATCAACAGGTGCGTACAGGTGTGGTGTATCAACAGGTGGGTACAGGTGTGGTGTATCAGGTGGGTACAGGTGTGGTGTATCAGGTGGGTACAGGTGGGGTGTATCATCAGGTGGGTACAGGTGTGGTGTATCAGGTGGGTACAGGTGTGGTGTATCATCAGGTGGGTACAGGTGTAGTGTATCATCAGGTGGGTACAGGTGTGGTGTATCAGGTGGGTACAAGTGTGGTGTATCATCAGGTGGGTACAGGTGTGGTGTATCAGGTGGGTATAGGTGTGGTGTATCAGGTGGGTACAGGTGTGGTGTATCAGGTGGGTACAGGTGTGGTGTATCAGGTGGGTACAGGTGTGGTGTATCATCAGGTGGGTACATGTGTGGTGTATCAGGTGGGTACAGGTGTGGTGTATCAGGTGGGTACAGGTGTGGTGTATCAGGTGGGTACAGGTGTGGTGTATCAGGTGGGTACAGGTGTGGTGTATCATGTGGGTACAGGTGTGGTGTATCAACAGGTGGGTACAGGTGTGGTGTATCATGTGGGTACAGGTGTGGTGTATCACCTGGTGGGTACAAGTGTGGTGTATCATCAGGTGGGTACAAGTGTGGTGTATCATCAGGTGGGTACAGGTGTGGTGTATCAGGTGGGTACAGGTGTGGTGTATCAGGTGGGTACAGGTGTGGTGTATCATCAGGTGGGTACAGGTGTGGTGTATCATGTGGGTACAGGTGTGGTGTATCACCTGGTGGGTACATGTGTGGTGTATCAGGTGGGTACAGGTGTGGTGTATCAGGTGGGTACAGGTGTAGTGTATCAACAGGTGGGTACAGGTGTGGGGTATCAACAGGTGGGTACAGGTGTGGTGTATCACCTGGTGGGTACAGGTGTGGTGTATCGGGTGGGTACAGGTGTGGTGTATCGGGTGGGTACAGGTGTGGGGTATCAACAGGTGGGTACAGGTGTGGTGTATCATCAGGTGGGTACAGGTGTGGTGTATCGGGTGGGTACAGGTGTGGGGTATCAACAGGTGGGTACAGGTGTGGTGTATCACCAGGTGGGTACAGGTGTGGTGTATCACCAGGTGGGTACAGGTGTGGTGTATCAGGTGGGCACAGGTGTGGTGTATCAGGTGGGTACAGGTGGGGTGTATCATCAGGTGGGTACAGGTGTGGTGTATCAAGTGGGTACAGGTGTGGTGTATCAACAGGTGCGTACAGGTGTGGTGTATCAAGTGGGTACAGGTGTGGTGTATCAGGTGGGTACAGGTGTGGTGTATCAACAGGTGCGTACAGGTGTGGTGTATCAACAGGTGGGTACAGGTGTGGTGTATCAGGTGGGTACAGGTGTGGTGTATCAGGTGGGTACAGGTGGGGTGTATCATCAGGTGGGTACAGGTGTGGTGTATCAGGTGGGTACAGGTGTGGTGTATCATCAGGTGGGTACAGGTGTAGTGTATCATCAGGTGGGTACAGGTGTGGTGTATCAGGTGGGTACAAGTGTGGTGTATCATCAGGTGGGTACAGGTGTGGTGTATCAGGTGGGTATAGGTGTGGTGTATCAGGTGGGTACAGGTGTGGTGTATCAGGTGGGTACAGGTGTGGTGTATCAGGTGGGTACAGGTGTGGTGTATCATCAGGTGGGTACATGTGTGGTGTATCAGGTGGGTACAGGTGTGGTGTATCAGGTGGGTACAGGTGTGGTGTATCAGGTGGGTACAGGTGTGGTGTATCAGGTGGGTACAGGTGTGGTGTATCATGTGGGTACAGGTGTGGTGTATCAACAGGTGGGTACAGGTGTGGTGTATCATGTGGGTACAGGTGTGGTGTATCACCTGGTGGGTACAAGTGTGGTGTATCATCAGGTGGGTACAAGTGTGGTGTATCATCAGGTGGGTACAGGTGTGGTGTATCAGGTGGGTACAGGTGTGGTGTATCAGGTGGGTACAGGTGTGGTGTATCATCAGGTGGGTACAGGTGTGGTGTATCATGTGGGTACAGGTGTGGTGTATCACCTGGTGGGTACATGTGTGGTGTATCAGGTGGGTACAGGTGTGGTGTATCAGGTGGGTACAGGTGTAGTGTATCAACAGGTGGGTACAGGTGTGGGGTATCAACAGGTGGGTACAGGTGTGGTGTATCACCTGGTGGGTACAGGTGTGGTGTATCGGGTGGGTACAGGTGTGGTGTATCGGGTGGGTACAGGTGTGGGGTATCAACAGGTGGGTACAGGTGTGGTGTATCATCAGGTGGGTACAGGTGTGGTGTATCACCAGGTGGGTACAGGTGTGGTGTATCATCAGGTGGGTACAGGTGTGGTGTATCATCAGGTGGGTACAGGTGTGGTGTATCAACAGGTGGGTACAGGTGTGGTGTATCAACAGGTGGGTACAGGTGTGGTGTATCAACAGGTGGGTACAGGTGTGGTGTATCATTAGGTGGGTACAGGTGTGGTGTATCGTCAGGTGGGTACAGGTGTGGTGTATCACCAGGTGGGTACAGGTGTGGTGTATCAGGTGGGTACAGGTGTGGGGTATCATCAGGTGGGTACAGGTGTGGGGTATCATCAGGTTTCCAGTAAGAAAGTTTTTACCATTTATTTCCAATTTTTCATTAGCAGGTCATCATGATGACCAATTAAACTTTGGATTCTGTTGCCTACTATGCCTTTTGAAATGCTGCCTTTGTACCAGATTCCTAGTATCTTCTTACCTTATTACATCTCATTTCATCACATTTATCAGAGCTTGACCTTGCTTGTTCTTCTGTCACACAACCAACAGGGCAATCATCATGAGCTACAGGAACTGACTGGCTGGTACGGGCCCAAGGTGTTGTATTTTGGTGACCACATCTACAGTGATCTAGCTGTAAGTTGATTTATTCATGCAGGTCTCAAATGGTTAAACATTGCTCTAGCTGTAAGTTAAACACTGATCTAACTGTAAATTGATTTATACTTGTTGGTTTGAGAGGGTTAACGTCATTGGTTAAGGTATAATTTGTTTAAAATAATTAATCTATTATGTATTTATGATGGTCAAATTTGTAATTTAATGGGGTAATATGATAATGTGAATTAGAAATTGCTTTACCTAAAAATATTATAATCTATTTGCATGATAAATTTGATAACGGTACAATGTAATTTTTATGATTGTGACCAAAACATTGATGCCGTTGACATTTAATGCTGGGCGTGTTTCAGGATCCTTCATTGAAGTATGGTTGGAGGACTGGTGCCATTATTCCAGAGCTTGAGGTTGGTCTACTTACTGTTCTTACATTTTATTCAGAGGTGTTTAAGTGGCTGATTAAGTTTACATGATACATATTGTTGTTTTATTTATCTTGTGATTACTGTCAGATCAACTGAGGTTCTGTTTATAAATGTCTGTCAGATCAACTGAGGTTCTGTTTATAAATGTCTGTCAGATCGACTGAGGTTCTGTTTATAAATGTCTGTCAGATCAACTGAGGTTCTGTTTATAAATGTCTGTCTGATCAACTGAGGTTCTGTTTATAAATGTCTGTCAGATCAACTGAGGTTCTGTTTATAAATGTCTGTCAGATCAACTGAGGTTCTGTTTATAAATGTCTGTCAGATCAACTGAGGTTCTGTTTATAAATGTCTGTCAGATCAACTGAGGTTCTGTTTATAAATGTCTGTCAGATCAACTGTTTATAAATGTCTGTCAGATCAACTGAGGTTCTGTTTATAAATGTCTGTCAGATCAACTGAGGTTCTGTTTATAAATGTCTGTCTGATCAACTGAGGTTCTGTTTATAAATGTCTGTCAGATCGACTGAGGTTCTGTTTATAAATGTCTGTCAGATCAACTGAGGTTCTGTTTATAAATGTCTGTCTGATCAACTGAGGTTCTGTTTATAAATGTCTGTCAGATCAACTGAGGTTCTGTTTATAAATGTCTGTCAGATCAACTGAGGTTCTGTTTATAAATGTTTACAGGCTGAAATCAACAAACAAAACTCTGAAATTTACAAGTCCTCAGTCAGATGGCTAGTGGCTCTACAGCACTTGATAGATGACATGCAGGTCAGTCCTCCTATGATGCAATTCCTTTAAAAAACATTAAATAAAAGGATCTTTGCTAGTTGATGTTTTTTGGGGGTTTTTTTTTAATGATCATAATTATATTTAATGTTAACTATAGTAACAGACATTGAAATGATTTTGTTTGTTAAGATTTGTTATGTTTTGTAGCATCAGAACTCCCCCGAGTCTAAAGAAGTGATCAATAAATGGATTGAGGAAAGGAATGAATTAAGGTACTTTCAGTCTGTAATCAAAGATTTAGAGATAATCGTTGCAAAGGATTTAGATTCCATTTTGAAGGTTAATGCATTGTGTAGTTAAAACCTTACTGTTGTAATAACATTTTATTGTGTGTATAGTAATAATACAAAAACAACTCTTATCCAGTCAAAAAATACTATTTATTCATCCATTGAGACAGACGTATATCCATTGAGACAGACATATATCCATTGAGACAGACATATATCCATTGAGACAGACATATATCCATTGAGACAGATATATATCCATTAAGACAGACACATCCATTACTACAGACATATCTATTACTACAGACACATATACATTACTGCAGACATGTATCCATTAAGACAAGACTTATCCATGAATACAAGACACTAATCCACTAAAATACATATGGGTTACAAACATCTATTTTCCCACAGGATGTTCACTAAATCGTTGTTCAACCCTCACTTTGGAAGTCTCTTCAGGACGTATCACAACCCAACCTACTTTTTCCGGCGCTTGGCCAGGTTTGCGGACATCTACACCTCCAACCTGACCAACCTGCTGCGCTACTCCACCTCCTACACGTTCTACCCCCACCGCATCCTCCTCCCCCATGAGCCCAGTGTCTATTCATCAAAGTTCAACAGAAAAAATCAGGGGTGCTTCAATGAAGAAAATAGTTCATGAATTATCAAGGGTGTTTGAATAAAGCAATTAGCAGAAAATCAGGGGTGTTTGTATGAGGCAAGTAGTTTCTGAATTATCAGGGGTGTTTTTATGAAGCAAGTAGTTCCTGAATTATCAGGGGTGTTTGTATGAAGCAAGTAGTTCCTGAATTATCAGGGGTGTTTGAATGGAGCAAGTAGTTCCTGATATTATCCTGAAATGGCTTTAGTTTAAGGTTGTGCTAGCAGAGTCTCAGTATTAACTAAAATTAGTGTCAGTATTTATGTTAAACTATGTTAAGTATAATCTTAAATATCATGTGTATTTATTTGCTTGTAAGCAAAACTATGATTTGACAATAATTCAATTCACTTGTTTTGTCACATAATTTTTTAAAATATTGTATTTTTTTTTCATTTCATTGGAGATTATTTCTATAGCTTTTTAGGGAAAGTGGTAGATTTACTTTTAAATCCACAATTTGATTGCAATGAGTTGTGCAATATTTCCTCTAAATTTGACCCCAACCCTTCAATGTTATTGTACTTACTCCAGTATAATTGATGTCATAAAAGTTGAGCCTATTCAAGAAGTCTAGACCTTGCATTTCATCTAATGGCACTGTGTCATATCTTGACACATCAAAAGCTGACTCATCACTGACCTGGAAGTGTCATGGTCCCCACACTAAATGACAATGTCCTGCAGAATTTTGACCCCTACAGCTCGACTACTTTGTATGATTTATGACTCCAGCTGAACTTTTTTTGTGTGATATTTTTTCAACCAACAGGTTATTTGCTCAATATTTTTAGGCCTGTGCACATTTTTTTTTTACTATTTTGAGGAACTGCTGTAGAATTTGTTGTTCATGACTTTAATTTCGTTCCTGTAACTGAATCTCAGTTTTTATTTAACCAGCAAGCAACATAAGGTTGATATTAGATCTGCTGACATTCTGCTGGGGGTGTGTAGTCAGTGATTTCCTCATTTGAAGGCATTTAAATATTAGTTCATGTGAGCTTGTAAAGTTTTGCTATACTTTATTTAAACATTTTGTAACAGTATATTATCAGCATTAAATACTGATGTCATTTTTTATTTACAATCACTGATTAAAAAAACAAAACCAAAAAAATAGCTGTGTTGGTTTTTTTTGCATTTGATTATTATTTATTAAGTCAGATGGTAAGAAGGATCAAAATTTGTCAACCACAATTATACAAGTCAGACACATACAGCAACAGTTACACCTGGCACATTCTGGTGTAGGACTTATGGTCATACAGAGAATATCAACCAATGGCAGTGGTCTGTAGCATGAAGGAGCTCAAGAACAGTTCAGCATTTACACAAACATTTATCCTATTCCACTCACAAACTATAAATACAATTTTTCTACAAAGATCTAAAGGAGATTTGACAGAGGCAGCCTATGAATGAACATGCCTAGATATAAAACCTTGTGTTACAAGTGATGGATTCCTCTAAACATTGTTATGAGAGTTCAAAAATATCTGAAGACTTGTAGTTTTTTATGCTGGATTTTAAAACTAGCTAATTGATTGTCTTGGTTTAAATAGAGTCTGGACACAGTACTACAGAATAGGATGGGGTTTTTTTACTTCCATGCTGGCCCAATACCAGCAGTGCCTTTACCCCCTGCAGCCTTAGTCCCAGCTGGTTTCTTCTCCTTGCTGGGATCTGGGGATGGCTGAGCTTTTTTGTTTAAGCTCACTGGCTTGGCTGCAGTTGGTTTGTCTCTGGACTCCGGGGGTGTGCCAGTTTCTGCAGACTTCAAACAAATACAACAGGTTAGGCTCGTACAGAGTAAGTTACTTATTGTCTTACAATGTCAATCTATTTTAGTAACCTCTACATTTTTATCTCCTATCTATATAAAGCAATTCTCAAATGTTTACATGCCACGCCCACCTCTATGTAACCACACACTGCCCTTATAAGGTCATCACTCACCTGGCTGGCTATCCTGACCTTTTTGACCTTTGCCTCCTTCACTTTGCGAGCTTGGTTTTGGGACTTGGCTTCATCTTGAGCTTTCTTGTCATCTGGTTCAGTCCTGGGGAGAAAAAATACCAAATGTCACCACTGAAAACTGCCAGCACAAACAAAAAATAACCTTAAACAATTGCTTCTTGCAATTGTTTTTTTTTAAAGTTAAGTGACTTTTTATTTGACATGCAGTGCAATATGATATATGGTCCAGAACTAAGGTAGGTAAAATCTTAATAATGTAGTATAAATGTTAGTATAAAAATTAATTTATTAGTGCACTTTAAAGAAACCAACCATTTCACAAAAACATTTTTTATAAGATATTCAACACAGGTTTACTTTGAGACAAATTTTGAAGGAACCAAACAAATAGTTGAGATCTCTAGGATTTCAGCTATTGCGTAGCTATTGTTTAAATCTCAGGAATGCATTGGTATTGAATGAGTTATAAAAAATGAATTATTTAATTAAAAGTTCAGGCCCCTAACTCTCCTGTTTCTAGAGTTGTCAGCTGTCATTGATATTCTGCTTTAAGCACTGAAGATTGATGCATTGTCAAAACGGCCCTGTCAAGACGACCTCGACAAATTGGTCCATAACAAAATCGTCCAGTCAAAATAGCCCCGACATACTGGCTACTGTCAAATGGTCTCCCATTATATTGACACGCTAAGAGAGCCCTTATTTCGGAAGCCTAGATGACTAAAGCTTATTTATCCTATTTGTTAGGAGCCTATTTGTTGGGAGAATACAACAGGGTTTATTTGTCGCTGTCACTTTTGTCTAGGCTGTTTTGATGCCATAAGCAGAAGTATACACTTGATGCTGTCCAAGTATACCTGCTGTTAGATGACATAGTCTTGAGTGCACTAATCAGCTGGGTTGCCACATTGGCTTGCTCTGCCATCTTTGGGTTATCTTCCCATTGTTCTCTGTCAAGTTTAAAATCAATACAGACTTTTAAAAAGTCAGTTGTGTTTAGAGATAGGGACCGGAACAAAAAAAACGTGTAAATGTGTAAGTACAGTAGCAAGGCATTAAGAATCTCCCCACCTGTATGTGGCCAAAAGCTGTGAGATTTCTGAAAGCCGCTGGGAGTTGATGGCCCCGTTGTCTCCCACACCGTCCGACACGTCCAGTAGATGACTGGTGCCGGTCATCTGAGACAGTCCACCTTCTTGTGTGTGGAACATTCTTGTAGACTGGAATACAAGAGTATTAACATTTTCAGTAACAACACTTAATCATGTTTCTTTTATAAAATATTATTCCACTTATTCAACCACATAGTCGGGACACTAAGATCACAGTTGCTTCAGATATCCAGACACATTTTTAAAAATATTTAGTACAATATTGGTCTAAATATCCAGATAAAAATGTTGTGATACAAATTCTAGTGATATAGATGTACAACTAGGTAAACAACCGACCTGGTGCTCTCTCAGGTGATGTAGCCGGTTCAGCTGGGATGTCAGCTCGGCTGCGGTTGCGGTGTCATTCAGGTCAAGGTCAACTACAAGAAATTGTAAACTCTTATGTACATGTGCTACCCAGCTGTTTACATGTGCTACCCAGCTGTTTACATGTGCTACCCAGCTGTTTACATGTGCTACCCAGCTGTTTACATGTGCTACCTAGCTGTTTACATGTGCTACCTAGCTATTAAAATTTAAAATAATTCCAACAATTATTACATGTGCTACCCAGCTATTAAAATTTAAAATAATTTTAAACATTTTAGAAACCAAAAAAAAAATGTAACACTGTTGTCACCTGTAAGATCTCTGGAAGATTCTAGAACATCTAATTCTGAATGGACATCTCTTTCTGGTTCACTGCACACACTGCCTGGAGCTTTCTGCAGCAGCTGTTGTTTACAAAATGTGTTTCAGCACAAACAGTTTCATGAGGAAGTTGTAAAAATTGGCAAAAAAACAAGTTCTCATGAAGGAATTTCTCCTAATGAACTTTTATTTGGCAAAATTAAATGTTTAATAAACTCCCACTTAGGATGTAACAATCAATTCACCATACGCACGTAATGTTGGAGTAGCAAAATTAAATGTTTAATAAACTCCCACTTAGGATGTAACAATCAATTCACCATACGCACGTAATGTTGGAGTAGCAAAATTAAATGTTTAATAAACTCCCACTTAGGATGTAACAATCAATTCACCATACGCACGTAATGTTGGAGTAGCAAAATTAAATGTTTAATAAGCTCCCACTTAGGATGTAACAATCAATTCACCATACGCACGTAATGTTGGAGTAGCAAAATTAAATGTTTAATAAACTCCAACTTAGGATGTAACAATCAACTCACCATGCACACATAATGTTGGAGTAACGAAATTAAATGTTTAATAAGCTCCTACTTAGGATGTAACAATCAACTCACCATGCACACGTAATGTTGGAGTAACAAAATTAAATGTTTAATAAGCTCCCACTTAGGATGTAACAATCAACTAACCATGCACACGTAATGTTGGAGTAACAAAATTAAATGTTTAATAAGCTCCCACTTAGGATGTAACAATCAACTCACCATGCACACATAATGTTGGAGTAGCAAAATTAAATGTTTAATAAGCTCCCACTTAGGATGTAACAATCAACTCACCATGCGAACATAATGTTGGAGTTCACCCTGCCTGCTTTGATGCTCCTCCATACTGTCTAATATCTGACCGTATTTCGTCTGCATTCTGATAAAAATTATATTCTTAAATAATAACAATTATAATAATTAAAATACAATATTTTCAGACATTTAGTTTTGATATAGTTGTCTACAGTTATGATTTCTACAGCCAAATGCCCAGACTACTAATACAAGGTAAACAAATGTGCATGGATGACTAATGAATAGATTAATGAAAGTAAAGGAATAGCTGTTAAGCTTGGAAATATGCAGTGACTGTTGTGTTACTTTCATAAAGTTACAAACTTACCTCTCTGAGTTCACAGTTTCACCAATAGATTGGCTCATGTTTTCTGCTTGCTGTCTGTCGGACGTCTGTTTTACAGGAGGTGACAAGCTTTCATTCAGTTTTTCTGGACAATACAAATTTTTAAGATCTGTCATGTAATGTATTTATTACTTCCGAAGGGAACAAAAAAGTGTTTAGTTCAATAATATAAAATATTGAATATTTTGATTTACCAGCTTTTGAAAGCCCATGTCGACTTTTCCTTTGAGGCGAGCCAAGGACCTGCAAAGATCCCAAAGTGGTTGCTGACCTCAACAAGGTGGTGGCAGCTTTGTTTGTGCCATAGAATGGTCGGGCCTGTGCAGCAGGAGACCACGGCTCCGTACTCAGCTCTGATGGACTGGGGGTCACAGTGGGACTTTCTGGGTCGTAGATGTTTTTGTTGGAACCTGTGGTGAACAACAGGCGGTTACTTGTGGGGGGAGTGGCAAGTCTAGGGGCTGGGGGAGTGGCAAGTCTAGGGGCTGGGGTAGTGGCAAGTCTAGGGGCTGGGGTAGTGGCAAGTCTAGGGGCTGGGGGAGTGGCAAGTCTAGGGGCTGGGGTAGTGGCAAATCTAGGGGCTGGGGTAGTGGCAAGTCTAGGGGCTGGGGTAGTGGCAAGTCTAGGGGCTGGGGTAGTGGCAAGTCTAGGGGCTGGGGGAGTGGCAAGTCTAGGGGCTGGGGGAGTGGCAAGTCTAGGGGCTGGGGTGGTGGCAAGTCTCTGGGCTGGGGTAGTGGCAAGTCTAGGGGCTGGGGTAGTGGCAAGTCTAGGGTCTGGGGTAGTGGCAAGTCTAGGGGCTGGGGTAGTGGCAAGTCTAGGGGCTGGGGTAGTGGCAAGTCTAGGGGCTGGGGTAGTGGCAAGTCTAGGGGCTGGGGTAGTGGTAAGTCTAGGGGCTGGGGGAGTGGCAAGTCTAGGGGCTGGGGTGGTGGCAAGTCTAGGGGCTGGGGTAGTGGCAAGTCTCTGGGCTGGGGTAGTGGCAAGTCTAGGGGCTGGGGTAGTGGCAAGTCTAGGGGCTGGGGTAGTGGCAAGTCTAGGGGCTGGGGTAGTGGTAAGTCTAGGGGCTGGGTTAGTGGCAAGTCTAGGGGCTGGGGTAGTGTAAAGTCTCTGAGCTGGGGTAGTGGCAAGTCTCTGAGCTGGGGTAGTGGCAAGGGGCTGGGGTAGTGGCAAGTCTAGGGGCTGGGGTAGTGGCAAGTCTAGGGGCTGGGGTAGTGTCAAGTCTCTGAGCTGGGGTAGTGGCAAGGGGCTGGGGTAGTGGCAAGTCTCTGAGCTGAGGTAGTGGCAAGTCTAGGGGCTGGGGTAGTGGCAAGTCTAAGGGCTGGGGTAGTGGCAAGTCTCTGGGCTGGGGTAGTGGCAAGTCTAGGGGCTGGGGTTGTGGCAAGTCTAGGGGCTGGGGTAGTGGCAAGGGGCTGGGGTAGTGGCAAGTCTAGGGGCTGGGGTTGTGGCAAATCTAGGGGCTGGGGTAGTGGCAAGTCTAGGGGCTGGGGTAGTGGCAAGTCTAGGGGCTGGGGTAGTGGCAAGTCTAGGGGCTGGGGTAGTGGCAAGTCTAGGGGCTGGGGGAGTGGCAAGTCTAGGGGCTGGGGTGGTGGCAAGTCTAGGGGCTGGGGTAGTGGCAAGTCTCTGGGCTGGGGTAGTGGCAAGTCTAGGGGCTGGGGTAGTGGCAAGTCTAGGGTCTGGGGTAGTGGCAAGTCTAGGGGCTGGGGTAGTGGCAAGTCTAGGGGCTGGGGTAGTGGCAAGTCTAGGGGCTGGGGTAGTGGTAAGTCTAGGGGCTGGGGGAGTGGCAAGTCTAGGGGCTGGGGTGGTGGCAAGTCTAGGGGCTGGGGTAGTGGCAAGTCTCTGGGCTGGGGTAGTGGCAAGTCTAGGGGCTGGGGTAGTGGCAAGTCTAGGGGCTGGGGTAGTGGCAAGTCTAGGGGCTGGGGTAGTGGCAAGTCTAGGGGCTGGGGTAGTGGTAAGTCTAGGGGCTGGGGTAGTGGCAAGTCTAGGGGCTGGGGTAGTGTCAAGTCTCTGAGCTGGGGTAGTGGCAAGTCTCTGAGCTGGGGTAGTGGCAAGGGGCTGGGGTAGTGGCAAGTCTAGGGGCTGGGGTAGTGGCAAGTCTAGGGGCTGGGGTAGTGTCAAGTCTCTGAGCTGGGGTAGTGGCAAGGGGCTGGGGTAGTGGTAAGTCTAGGGGCTGGGGTAGTGGCAAGTCTCTGAGCTGGGATAGTGTCAAGTCTCTGAGCTGGGGTAGTGGCAAGTCTCTGAGCTGAGGTAGTGGCAAGTCTAGGGGCTGGGGTAGTGGCAAGTCTAAGGGCTGGGGTAGTGGCAAGTCTCTGGGCTGGGGTAGTGGCAAGTCTAGGGGCTGGGGTTGTGGCAAGTCTAGGGGCTGGGGTAGTGGCAAGTCTCTGGGCTGGGGTAGTGGCAAGTCTAGGGGCTGGGGTTGTGGCAAGTCTAGGGGCTGGGGTAGTGGCAAGTCTAGGGGCTGGGGTAGTGGCAAGTCTAGGGGCTGGGGTAGTGGCAAGTCTCTGGGTTGGGGTAGTGGCAAGTCTAGGGGCTGGGGTAGTGGCAAGTCCCTGGGCTGAGGTAGTGGCAAGTCCCTGGGCTGAGGTAGTGAGACTAAGAGATAGGGGTAGTGAGACTAAGAGATATGGGAGTGGTTTACTGTATCATTCCAACACAAATATTACACATGAGCTGTTTCTTGACACCCACCCTTCATCCTGTCTACACTTGTAGCACACACAGTCAAATGTTTACATCCATGAACTGACCTCTACTGGCAGCGTTCTTGAGCTGCTTATGATCCCCATAGTCCCCAGTCAGTGGTGAACTCTGGAAGCCTAAAGTGCTGTGCTGTGAGCTGTTGTGTGTCTGGCGTGGGGGGAGGTGGGTGGCGGCCTGCTGTCTGTTCTGACCATACTGGTTCAGGTGGGGTGGTGGGAAACCTGCGCCGTAGCTACTGTTGATGAGGTAAGGGTGGTTGGCAGGAGGGTATTGGTGGTTGGCAGGTGGGTTGTTGTCTGTGCTAGTTTTGAGTGAATGGTGACTTGATTCTGTGAGGGAAAAACGTGTATGTTAATCTTTAAGCAGCCTGTAGGTCAATTGACTGAAATAATTAAACAGAGAAGGGGATCAGGTTTGGTGAGTGCTGTAGCAAAACTATGGTTCCCAGAAAACTGCGCAAACAGAAAAATGTGCAAATACAAACTAATTATACTAATACACTTTAATTGGTCATATTTCTCAGAAACATGTTTTATTTAATTTATTATGCTACGATGCACATGTAGCCACTATTTGTTAATGTCTATAAATGATGGATTTGAGAAAACAAAAATGCCCTTGTACACTTTGTTGTGCGCAGTTTTCTGTCGTGCATCTTTCCTGTCACCCAAAACTATATAAACTATAATGGGGAGTAGTTAAATTATTGAGTTATGTGCAGTAGCGTAGCGAGGGGGGCGGGGGGGGGGGACGGACACGACATATGTCCCCGGGCGCCGACCCAAAATGGGTTGGAAAAATAAATTGAAAGGTTGAGGGGGGTGCAAATGGAAATCTCAAGGGGTGGGGGTGCAAATCGAAAAGTTTGTCCCCGGGCGCCGGGAAGGGTCGCTACGCCTCTGGTTATGTGCCTAGCTTGCCTGAGTGAATAGATGACTTGGGGGACGGTGCAGAGGTGAGTTCTTGCAGTGACTGGGTCCTGTGACCATTGGTCAGGTGTCCAGATGTTGTGATGATTGTGTTACCGCTAGGACCCGTTACGTAACCATGGACACGAGGAAGCTGTGAGTGACTTAAGTTATTGGACGGCTGGAAGAAAACAAGAAAAGTTATTGGACAGCTGGAAGAAACAAGAAAAGTTATTGGACGGCTGGAAGAAAACAAGAAAAGTTATTGGACTGCTGGAAGAAAAGTTATTGGACGGCTGGAAGAAAACAAGAAAAGTTATTGGACGGCTGGAAGAAAACAAGAAAAGTTATTGGACGGCTGGAAGAAAACAAGAAAAGTAATTGGACAGCTGGAAAAAACAAGAAAAGTTATTGGACTGCTGGAAGAAAAGTTATTGGACGGCTGGAAGAAAACAAGAAAAGTAATTGGACAGCTGGAAAAAACAAGAAAAGTTATTGGACGACTGGAAGAAAAGTTATTGGACAGCTGGAAGAAAACAAGAAAAGTTATTGGACAGCTGGAAGAAAACAAGAAAAGTTATTGGACGGCTGGAAAAAAACAAGAAAAAAGTTTAACCCGAGGATAACTTACTTTGTTATCAGAGAAAGGTGAACTTACTTTGTTATCATCAGAGCTGCCTCTGTCTGATGTGGGCTGGTGATGGAACTGGCCATGATAAGGATATGTCATCTTGTCTTCAGACGTTGCCAGAGAAATCCTGCTGCAGGTTCCATAGGAAGAGGACTGGTCACTGCTTTGGGTGACCTGCGGGACTTGAAGCTCATTCCTGGTCATGGGGATGTCCATGTTGCTGGACAGTCTGCCACAATCAAGATCAGACAGTTAGGTACAGTTTATTCATAATTTAATATCAGACAGTAAGGTACAGTTCATTCATAATTTAATATCAGACAGTAAGGTACAGTTCATTCATAATTTAATATTCAGCTTTTCAAACTTTTAACTTTTTGTTATCAAATTGTACAGCTTTAGAATTTAACTGATATTTAGATTTCTTTAGCTAAATTAAAATGAACCACTTCTAACGTCTAAATGATCTAACCAAATAAAAAATTACTTCTGTAAATATTCCTCAACAAAATAAATAAATAACTTCTGCACCATGCCCCTAATAAATAAAAAAAATTACTTCTGTAAATATTCCTCCACCCTGCCCATCTTGTTGATTTCATCCCTCCTATCCTCCCTTCCATTCTCATTGTCGATATTCTGGTGCAACTGTGGTGACGATGTCGCTCGTTCTTGACTCTCATTTCCCTGGTCAGCCAAAGTGGCAGGCCCAGATGTGGCCAGGTTTAAACTGGCAACAGAGGTATTGCCGTCTGCCACAGCCAAAGCAGAGGCCAACTGACCACCATTCTGGCTAGACATGAATGAGCTGTTTAGACCCTAGAGAAAAAATGGACATTCTGATATTTATTTACACTAAACAGAAAACAATATTTCTAGTGTTTTTTTATACTCTTCACAGAAACCAACTTTCAACTATTTCATCCTTTTTTTTAAAATAAATATGGCACATCCATCATCTACACTATATTGCTCTCTGAAAAAGGATAATGCAATAGAATATGTGAAAAGGTCATCTATTACTTACCTTCTTCTGTGGGGTGCTGACTAACAGAGAGACAGCCTCATTCCACTGGGACTGCATCATAAACTGGAGTTTGGTCAAAATCTCCATCCTGTATTTCACAACAACAAAATAAGTTGCTATAGCAACAAGAAATGTTATTCAAGAAATTTTAAAGCTTTAACAGAAAACAAAATAATAAATACTTTGGTGACAAGAAATTTTAAAGCTTTAAAAGAAAACAAAATACTTGCTAATAAATACTTTGGTGACAAGAAATTTTAAAGCTTTAATAGCAAATAAATAGCTTGCTGATAAATACTATAGATACAAGAAATCTTGAAGACCATGTTACACAGATATTACACATCAACCTAAAATCTCACACCTCTGAGACTCCAGTTTAATCTTTGACTGTCTAAGGTGATGGTTTTCTGTCCTCAACTCCTGGAGTCTGAAAAAAAATACATAACAAATTCAGATTGTACCCAAATTTGGGAAATCTAAGTCACATGATTCGAAGATAGAGTCATGACAATAAAGGGAGGTAAAGTATTTAAGGATACAAAAACATCTTGATTCAACACACTATTTTTATATGAACTTAAAAAATAATAATAAAATTACCATTCTTCAATTCTAAATTAAAATATAAAGGAACAAACTTTTCTTCCAGCTCGTTAATATGTTTTCGAAAATCTTCTTCCTTTTTCAGTCGCTCTTCTGTAAGTGCTACTGACTGTCGTTCCATTTCCTTTTGGTGGCGGCTATTGAGCTCACTCAGCTGTTTTTGGTACCGTTCAGCAGCTTCTTCTAGAGCTGTCTCTATCCTCATATGGAACTCTGATGCCTGGTCTGCAATCTGCAACAGTGGCCTGAGATTATTTCCTGTTTCTCTTACACAAACGCAGCTAACACCCATCTAAAACAATAGTGAACTAAATACCTCTTTCTCCATCTGGGCATGGAGGTCAGTCTCCAGCTTGCGTTGTGCACTTTCAAACTTTGCCTCCATTATGGCCATCTCAACTTTCTGGCTTTCCTGAAATAGTTTTTTATCTAACTGAATTTATTGTTATTTTCTATGATAAGTTAAAGTTTTTAAAACATATTTTCCTAAACTCAAACCAACATTTTTTTCTCAAATTCTTATGAAATTTTGGTACCTTTTCTCTGATCAGTTGTTCAAAATCTAAAACAGTTTTTTTCAACTCAGCTTTTAGTTGCTCACACTCTTCATTAGCTGCGTCTAACTTTTTCTTCTGGCTCTCCAGTTTGACCTGTCAAAATAAACGTGTATGTGGTATCAGTAGGGACGGCATGGTTGAGTGGTACAGCACTCAACTGCTAGCCCAAAGGTATAGAGTTCAGAACTCCACTATGACTCATGACATATTATTGAGCATGATGTTTTTTATTCACGCACAAGATGGTGATGAGTTCTTGGCACACCTATGAATTGTAGCCAGTCAACCAGCCATCAGTTGGGTCACCAATGGCGCAGGGGGGAGTAAAGAGATTTAGGATGATCCAATTACACCCCGGCTGATATAAACAGTATTAGAACACAGTACCTCTGGGTTAGTGGTCCTACAGCATAACCACACATTTCTATTTGCATAGAAAACAATTTCTGTAAACCCTATTTACTCACTTTCTCCATGCTGATGACCTTTTGGTTGGCTTCTTTAACTTCATCAATCTTGGCTAACAGTTCCTGCTCTCTCTTTGACCAGTTGTCCTGCTCCTGTTAAGGAAATTAAATGGTGCTTGTCATTACTTTCCCCCATAAATCTAACACTAAAACACAGCACAGGCAACTCACTGAGCCCCCCAGCACACACACTCCCTGAGCCCCCAGCACACACACTCCCTGAGCCCCAGCACACACACTCACTGAGCCCCAGCACACACACTCCCTGAGCCCCCAGCACACACACTCCCTGAGCCCCCAGCACACACACTCCCTGAGCCCCCAGCACACACTCCCTGAGCCCCCAGCACACACTCCCTGAGCCCCCAGCACACACACTCCCTGAGCCCCCAGCACACACACTCCCTGAGCCCCCAGCACACACACTCCCTGAGCCCCCAGCACACACACTCCCTGAGCCCCCAGCACACACTCCCTGAGCCCCCAGCACACACACTCCCTGAGCCCCCAGCACACACACTCCCTGAGCCCCCAGCACACACTCCCTGAGCCCCCAGCACACACTACCTGAGCCCCCAGCACACACTCCCTGAGCCCCCAGCACAAACAACTCACTGAAATCAATCTCTCCTGTGCTTGCTGCGCTTGCCTCTCAGCCAAGTCTCGGGCCTCAGACAGGTCGTTCCACTCTGCAGTCATCTTGTTGAACTTTGACCTCTCAGCCTCAAACTCTTCAGCTGCCTGTTCTTTACTGCGCTGGACCTCATAAAGCTGCCAAGTGTAGCATAATACTTGATTGGTCAACAAATAAACTTAATGTAACCAGATTTTTAAAAACATTAACACTTTGATTCTTTAAGTGAAGGTGTGAAAGCATAAGCAGGAGGAAAGATTCCACCGTTGAGTTAAAGATAAACATACCTCATCCTTTAAACAGTTGATTGCTTGTGATGAAGTTTCTTTCTCTGCCTTTAGTTGATCCACAGTCTGGGCAAGCTCCTTCTCAAAGCTGTTGATCATCTGAAAACAAAAGGATTTTTGCCAGACAACTGTCTCATACATCATATGACATATGTTATCAAAACACCTACATCAACAGACATTTTGGTTTGACAAAAATTTCTGTAGGTTTGTGGTTGAATATTGTAACTCAATTTTGATTAAAATTGAGCCAATATCTTGTTAGATATGAAATTAGTAGTTAAAAATAAAGTAAAGATTACTAAATTAAACAAAAGGGTAGATAAATAGGTAGTATTAGTTATTACACTTAGTGTATTCCACCTATTTCTGCATCTGGTAAACATTAAAAAAACTGAGCTTTGGTTGAAGGCGGAAGAAAACTTACATTTTGCTGTGACTGTAGATTCTCCTCTATCTGTTCCTTCTCATGTGTCAGTACCCTGAGAAAATCATCTTTCTCTGCCTCTCTCTTCTTCCAGCCCTCTACAACCTTGGCCAATTGCTACAGAAAAAAACACAAAGATGAAACATTTTCACAAAACATGAAAAATGTAATTAGTACACACATTATCACACAAAAACCAAATGTTATATATACTTCTAACATTTTCACAAAACAAAAAATGCAATACATACATAACATATCTTCACACCAAAACCAAATGTTATACATACATCTAAAATTTTCAAAGAAGTAACAAGTCATTCATACATCTTACATTTTCACAAAACACAAATGCAATAATGACATTTTCAGAAAATTAAAAAAGAACAGTTGACAACAAATTATAACTAAATTTCAACTTACTATTGTAGTACCAACCCACTATGAACTAAGATGAAGTACCTTATCCAGTTGTTCAATCATGAGATCCTTCCTCTTATCCGTTGATACCGCCACAGCTAGTTGCTGCTGAATTTCCAATATCTGTCCACAACAGCACAAAAAATAAGTTTTCTTACAAACACTTGTTTTGATTTTATACAACATTAAAACTGTAACAAGAATGTCAGGGTTAAGGGTCAATCAAACTGACCACACACTTTCACATAGTAAAGCTGTTTAATTAAACAATAAATTGCCATTTTTACCTTTGTGTTGAGTTTATGAATTTGTTCCTCACAATGCTGAAAATAATGTTAATTCACTGGTGTTATTTACTAATGATGCAAATTTCCTATAAAAATAGTTTCTAATTTTAATGTTAAATTTTAATTTCCAATTAACATAAACAAAGTTTTTTATAATGGGCTTGCCTTTCTTCTGTATTTTTCTTTTTCTAAATTATCCCGCAAATATTGGTTCTCTCCCTGAATGACAGCCTCTGTCCTATTGGACAAGGACGGCAAGTCTAAAAATATCTTAGATGAAAAAGTGGGGAAATTTTCCAAGATGTCCGACATGTCATCTTGATTATTGTTCCTGAGAGAACAAATCAAGAAACAATTATTAAATTTTAGTAAAAATATGAAATCTTAATAATGTTGCAATGCTAAATGATTAGAACTTAGACCTACCCCATAATGGAAGTGATGTCTGGGTCAAAGTGAAGCTGACGTTTGATTGGTTGATCAGAGATTAACAAATCAGATGCAGTGTCAGTGGGATCAAATAATGTATGTTCTGTTAGGAGGAAGTTTGAATACATATGTTTTAAGTCATTTAGTATCAAGATCTGTGCTAGATATTTTTCTTTAAATAAAATTATTGCCAGCTATTTGTCCTCAACTTACCTGCCATATGATTGGATGACAAATCTGCTCCGACACGCAGCATGTTGTGCATGTGGGCTCTTACATCCTCCATGCCATGAATGTCATGCTCTGCATTCTAGAAAGTAGATAATGATTTCATATGCTGTTACGACAAGTGTGTATACTTATTAAACAGCACAAATCTTTGGTCTTATTTTTATTGAAATGTTTTTAAATGATGAAATTATTTTATAAATGATCACTGACCTCAGGAAGTTTGTGACCAAACTTTTTATAACCTTCCACTTGATTGGCTCCCATGTCCCTGATACTGTTTTGGTGATTCCCATCAAAATAGTTGAGTGCATCCCCTTGCGTGTAGGGTGAGATCTGTGAGAAGCTGGAGTGGAGCTGTTGGCTATTGCTGGCCTGGCGCTGTGGCAAGGACACTGAGCTGCTGCTCATATTTCCACGATTGTAGTTTTCATTGAGACGATGTATCGCTGATTGCTGGTCACCACTGTAGTTGCTTTGACTGGACGCTAGAGAGTGATTGGAACTGAAGACCATCAGTGGCTGCTTAATGTAGGACTGGGAAGATCGAACATCCATCTGGTGCTGGTTTGGCTGAGTTCGTATGCGGTCAAAAGATTGTGAGAACTGGGGGTGAGACGGCTGAGGCTTGGGCATGGCTGTGCTTGAAACATTGGCATGAACTGCATTGTGAGGCGGATGTGTGACCTCAGATTGACCCACATCCTCCCGCTGAGGTAGCGGTGAGATATTGTTCTCTGTTCCAACAATCAGTTGACAATTACCCCTGGCTGACTGCATCTGAGAACTGTTGTTTAAGTACGACTCTTTCCCCACCCCACTCACTCGACTGTTGGTACTATTAGCAGTTGAGATCTGTAACATATTGGGCATAGAGCTGTGTGCTTGTGGCGGCCTGACCTGAGCATTGACCACAGCTTTGGCTGGCTCACCTGGTTTGTGGCGCCCAACAGCAGAGCTCCCCCCATGGTTCCCAGGTTTTGTAGCTGGTGAAGACTTCCTGATAGATGTGCTAGGGGCTGAAGAGCGCGTTGCTACAGCTCCGGCTTTTTTTTCTCCAGATGAGGCAGAGCCCTGAACCGCAGGTCTGCGAGTCTGGACTTTGTTGCTCGCTGATTTTTTACCAGCTTTGCCACTGTCCCCAGCTGATTGGTTCTGGTCAGTGACAGCCAAAGAACTTCCAGCGCCTGCTTGTCTTTGGTCAGTTTGAGAATCAACGCCATCTCCTTCATCATGAATGTCCACTGCATCTACTTTGATTGGGGCTTGATTCCTCAACAAATTTTTTGGCTGGGACCTGATGGAATCTATCAGGTCAAAACTGGCATTTTGGTTACTGCTGCCATTAGCCTGAGGCCAGTTACTGTTCCAGTCCTTGGGGAACTGATGTTGACCGCTGTTGCCGGCCATGTTGTTGGACACTGGCTGGGCATACATTTGGGTGCTTTGCAGCAACCCCTCTTCACTCAGCTCCAAGCTTAAAGCATCTGTGTTATCTTCCTCATTGCTGTGGACGTCTCCAAAACCTCCCATGTTTCCCTCCCCTCTGTAGGAGCCATTTTGTCTTGTTGCCTTGAAACTCCCAGGCTGCTCGACCTGGAAATTCCGCGGCGGCCCCTGCTGCTGGGATGGGTCAACTAAATGTTGGAAGTGCTGATGGTGGGAAGATAAATAACTTGTTTGGTCTGTGGGGTCATCTTGGGCCCACATGACATCATTATCAGGACCCTGGGAGTTGGTAGCCATTAATGTCATGTTACCAGCGCTGTAATACTCAGATGAATTATTCTCCATCATATGTTCATCTCCATAGTGGCTGGACCCATCTTCCCTTTCTAAGCTATCATACAGATTCTGGCTGTCCTCATCTGGTCTGGGGTTGCCTGCACCGCCTGCGGAGTTTGCTGGGGACAGCAACGGCTGCTGCCCCATCTGAGAGGGAAGAAAACTGAACCCATAAAGGGAGTTGCCACCATTGTCCAAGATAGAGGAATCATGACCCTCGATAATCCGCACATTCTGACCTTGATCGTGTGCGGACATAGCCCCACCATACAACCCATGCTCAGATACATCTGAGCCATTGACAGCTGGACGGTGATGCATGTACTCATCTACATTAGGATTATCCTTAACAGCAGCCTCAGCTTCTAAATGTTCGTTCTCCTCATTATCTTCTCTATTCCCCACATCTTCAGCACTTTCCTCATCATCATATACATCATCATCAAAATTCAATCTTTGTAGTGGATTAAATAAGCTGTCGTTGTCATCTGAGCTTCCATGATGAACAGGACTAGCATTGTTCCCATCTCTAGCCGGTCCACCTCGTCTACTGAGCCCCTCTTGGGAGTGGGACTCAAAATGTGTCCCACCATCATCATCAAGACTCAGTGAACTTCTCTGACCATCTGGCTGTTCAAAGTCATCATCAAGCATTCTTAGCTGCTCCATGTTTCTGTCAATGGAGGCCATTTCTGAATCTGAATATCTTTGGTCAGCACTTTCATCATCACTTTCTACACTGGAGGCATGTGTCACACCATGAGAACTGGCATGTCCATCCATTATTATTTAATTCATTTTAATCCTGATAAAAAAAAAAATTATAAAAAGAAGTTAATTAGTATCACTAGAACTGCTAATACCTTTGAAGTTAGAAATAAAATAAGGACTAGGGTCAGCGCCATATATATTTATATGAGGTATCATTATCAAACTGCAAAACATTAAAAATTATTTCAGAACAACGTTATTAATTTTTACAGTATTTATTTGGGGCTACAACATGAATGAAGATTAATGAAGACAATTTATATTGAAAATATTCTAACCCAGCATTTACTTTTGTTTAGTCACAACTTTCTGTAAATTGAGTGATGTAAATAGGGGCTACATTTATTTTCCAGTAATTATTTTAATACATATATTCCATACAGCCTAGATTTAGGCCGATAAATAATATAAATATAAAAGGATTGAAACAAAAGGAAAACTAGAACAATAACAAAAAATCTTGACTATTTGTACACCTGCCAGACATGTACATTTTCTGTTTTTACTTTTGTTTTTTATTTTAATCTGCTACTAAATGTTATTAAACTTTTGGTGATAGAGAGGAAACCTTTTTTCTGTCTTTAACCCCTTTCGTAGGCGTTTTGATGAAAATCTCAAAAAAAAAATTTTTGGAAAAAAAGCATCAATAATAGCTAGCACACTAGTAAACTAAGTCAATTTAGCATATATTAACTTTCTGTGCAAAGTCATTATAGCTGAAAAAAAAATTTCAAAGTCAGGTTCAGCCTATTATGAGCTAATGAAGAAAAAAACTACTAGATTTTTCAATAAAACTTTATAGAAACATATTAAAATATTTTAGAAATGAATTTAGATAGCTAAAATTTAACAAAATCAATAAATCATTTAAAAAAAAAATTAGCGTAGATTTTAGTATTGTATAGGCCTAGCTCTAGTTGTGGCGGATAGTGTTAGTAAAAAAATCAAAATTTTATATTTTTGTGTTTTATGACAATATTTGTACATAATTTACATGCCATGCTTTTTATATCCACAGAGAGTAAGTATACCATGTTAAAAAAACTGCACTCTTAACTAATAATTCATATTTTTACTTAAAAAATTATAAAAACGATCATCAATGAGGAAAGCGCAATGCATTATATTTTTAGATATGACGCGACATAACTAATAAATCTAGCCAAATAATTGGATTTCGGCGCAGCTCACAATTTCCCGCACTTTGTTTTCTGCAAATAGATTATAATAAAATGGCGTTATAAGGGGGGTCATAATTCTGGCATAGTGACCACACGTACGGACCTAAGAATTATTTCCAAACATTGTCATTTATATAAAGCTAAGACTCTGAACTGTTTCTTCACCACACGCTGGTTAATATTCATCGCGTTGTTTAGAAGGTATGTGATGTTAAGTTCACGTTAACACAAGAATAAAAAGAGCTACTTTCACTAAAGCGCCGCTTGCAAGATAAATAAAGAAATTAGGTCAAAAGTACACCTTACTATTCTTGATTAACAGACTTAATTAGAAATAGGTAATTCCGATTACTAAAATTATTAAATTGACAATGGCTTCAAAATCATTGGTTTTATCCTTCTACCCCTTAATGAAATTGAAAACGAAACCGCGCCACCATCTTAGTAAATCGCTTCGAGGGCTTGCGCCATGAGTTAATATAAACAAACCTGGAAGCAGTGAACCGAACGGCCTACTCTTCGGAGGGCCGGGCCAATCTAGCAGGCCTAAACTTTTACGAAGTGACTACTCGGAAGATTTTTCTCCCCAACGTCTCCACTTAGTCAGCAAGAGATAGCTCTGCGCATGCGCAGTTACCTATGGCTAGGGTTAGAATGAGGGTTAGGGATAGGATTCGGGAAAGGATTAGGGTTGGTGTTAGCCGTTAGGGTTCTGCGGTTGTAAACACACGCATGCGCAGTACCATCGAAAACATCACCGCGATGGCAAGTCGTAGTTTCTCTCCATTGCGCATGCGTATCTTATTCCGGCTAGCATCGGCCAAACTTTTATTGCCAAAAAAAGAATGAATGGTGGCTAATAATTGAATAAAAACTTAAAAAGGAATCCGAATAGGCCCAACTAAATGGCTAAACATAAAAAAATGTACTGATTGGAATGACCATTATCACGACTGGGAGAGAGAATCATAGAGGTGTGAGGTGATGTGATCATTCAGATCAGCTAGAATGCTAGATCAGTGATCAAACTGATCAGCCTCAGACTCAGTCACTTGAGTCACGGTGGTGTCAGGTCGGGACTGAGACTGATTCTCAAAAATTCTAGGGAAAATTCTATAACAATTAGGCCATATAAAATATATAATGAAATATCATGGACCAATAACATCGTCTAAGCACCTTTCTATTTTGTTTCTATTTCAGGGGTCTACCTGATTCAATGTTTTAGCAGTGCACCAGACACCGCAAATGTAGAGATAACACAAATTTAGTTTACTTTGTTGACAGTTTCTAAAGAATTTACTCTCTTTTAACTCTCTGCGCATGACCAGAAAAAAGGGTTTCCTTGTTGATGATCCACCAAATAGTATTTTGATCATTATTTACCATAACTTTCATGTCCAAAAAAATAAATGCAAATTAATGATTACGTGACTTTACGTCGCTGTGCATTATAAAGAAGTTAGGGAACAAAAAAAAGAAGTCAAAAGTAAAAGGGATAAGGCGAGGGAGAAATCAAGACCTTATTTTGAGTGGCCGTCAGTGTTTCTTTCGGGCATCCAGAGTTTCTTCCAGGCATCTCTTCGGAGGGGCGAAGCCCCCCCCCCCCCCGAAATTTTTTTACCGCCCCCCCCCCCCAACGAAATGAAATTTATATAATTTATATAGAAAATATATACTTTTAACAGTCTCCGCCCCCCCCCCCGAAGAAAGTTTACCGCCCCCCCCCCCCCCCGAAAATTTCAAGTGCCCCCCCCCCCCCCCCCGGAGAAAAAAGTCTGGAAGAAACACTGCGGGCATCTCTTCGGGGTTTTTTAAAAAAAAAAAAAACTCCAATAACTTTAAGGTATACATAATATTAATAATAATACACACCACAACACCTCATATTTTCAACTTGTAGGGCCTAGGCTTCATCCCCACTCTTACACACATGGGTCTACACACAAAAAGACACAGTTGTCGTAGATAAGGCCTGCAAATACTGCAGTAACTATCTTTTTAAAAAATAAATCACTTATTATTTTTCATTATAATGGGCTACACCAATATTACCATCTGTACTCTGTAATCGTTATTTATGTTACAGCTTATCAATAAAAATGCCGTTAAATGCTATAATAGCTTACACATTGAAATTAAAACTATTATGGCTACTGCTATTAAAGCCTGAGTCTTTCCATAAACTCCTACCCTGTCGACCATTGTTGACTCCATGAACGATTGAGAATCGTTAATAACACGGACGCCCCAGGGGGGAAATGGGGGGATTGGACCCGGAGACACCCAGCCTAGTGACGCCACAAACTGTTTATCTTTAATATCACAATACGTGCCACGGAGATTAACTGGAGGACAGATTATTGAGTAATTAGATCACCACTCCGAGCTCTGTTAGCTTTATTAGGAGGTGTTGTCGCCGGTGTTTTGCGGATCGTCTCTGTAGTCATAGTATCTCGATATTAATGCAATTGTCGTTAGTGTTGGTGTCTCGTAAAAATGTCCCCTGCGGGTCAAGTTATTGATTTATCAAGATGAATTTTAATTATCCTATATTAGTGGTTTGGTTGAAATAGCACATCGTTGACACTGTTAAATGTAAATTACTATTGTCTACACTCTTACTCTGATCAGCGTTTCTTCAAACTTTTTTTCTCCGGGGAGGGGGGGGGGCACTTGATATTTTCGGGTGGGGGGTGGGCTCAGACATGAACCTGATTGGGATCAGCGCCCGGCAGATAACTGCGAGCGGAAGAAAAAATACTCACATGTGTCTTTTAACAACACCTAATAAATAATTATTTAGATATAAAAAGAGTATTCTGACGTCTAATTTAAATATATTTTTATTATGAAAAAATTATTTTCCATGTTCCCTCTAGCTAGCATACTGGTAAGCCTACTTAATATTAAGTGCCAAAGTTTTTTTACACACTCATTTTATCCAAAAATAGATTTGTTTGGCCTACTTTTCATGATTAATGAAAAATAAAAAAAAAATCTTTACAATAAATAATAGATTTTATGTCGCAAGTTCTCATCAATAATGTGTCCTCGGTAGTATAGTGGTAAGTATCCCCGCCTGTCACGCGGGAGACCGGGGTTCGATTCCCCGCCGGGGAGGCTAGTTTTTTGTTTTTAGAATCAGGTTACTTTTTCATACTGTTAATAGTTTGTAAGAAGAATCTTTATTCCTGAAATGTTATCTAACGAGCGAGTTTTCGTGATCACATAACTGTTGAAATCTACAACCGGAGTCGGGTTATATTGATTGTTTATCTCAAATATTATTGTATCGAACGAATCAACAAGCCGGCTGTCTCGCTCACAACTGCGAGCTTGAATATAATAACATATTTTGTTTATACCACGAACAAATCTGTTGTGTCGTGATATAACTAATAAAGAACTCGTCTGATTGATGGTGAGCGGGTTGGGAGCTCTGGGAAAACATATTTTATAACCTGTCGTAGTTGGTGACAAGCCTATATAATAAACTTGCGGGTTTTTTCATATATCGCCATTAGATTAAAAGAAACGGCGAGTGTAAGGTCCATACTATACGGTATGGGAGTTTTGGGAGTTAGGCTTTAGTAAGCTCGTGATGTCTATCATGGGATTCTATGTTTTCCATGTTGCCGTTTTGGCGGTGACTTTATTATGCGTGCTCAAGCACGGCTGCCTATCGATGAAGCAAAAGCGACAGATGTTTTATATGCCGAATACGCTGGATAGTCTGCGCGCGCAGATTCAGAGCGTGGAGCGGTCACTTTTGGAGTGCAGGCGCAGGATCGAATTACTGACAGGCAAGGCGCAGGTACAACATGCCAAGGCCAACGTTGGCTCCACAGGTGAGGTGTTTTCTATTTATAGACACAAACATGCGTGGGCGGGATTTAGAGCAGACGACTGCAAACCTGAGTTCTAGTCCAAGGTTCGTGGTCGTAGAACGTTTTGAGTCAACCGAGCACTGATGGCTACCTGACGACATTAGGGAAATTAAACGTGGCTGGGCATAGTGCTGACCACATTATCCTTTCACATGCCGAGGTGACTGTCCCATGGTCCGTTAGGTTCTAAAGGGTAGGTTTACTTTTGTTTTATAAACATACGTACAACTAATTTCTCCTAATTTCAAAATAAATAAAAAATTAAATTTAAAAAGTATACAGTTAGGTAAGGCTTGTTCATTGTTTGAATATTGAAGTTTAAAAAAACACAGTCCTCTTCGTAACCGCCCCCCCCCCACCCTCCCCCAACCCAAGGAGTGTGATGTCGTATGGACACTCATCAAAATACACATGGTCTAACATATTAATATAAAGGAAAAGTAATCAAAAATTGTTTTTTAAATAACATTTTTTTATTTATTTATTCTTTATTTTTAAAGGTATTGGGAACTGGGGTTGGATCGGTTTCATCGATGATCGAAGAAGAAAAAGATCTGTCAGAATTCGTCAGGTACCCTATTTCAACTACTACTGGAACGGCCAGTACTATCAGCTGCAGAACACGCTGAACACACTCAACTCAGAATACAGCCAGTGTAATGCCAACTTGCAGAAGACGCTCGCGACCCAACAGCAGATCAACGACAAGGAGCAGCTGGCCAAACAGCTGTTGCAAGAGATCGAAGTCGGCGCGACCAACCTGCGCAGCTGCGTCAACTCAGGGGGGCGGACGGATTTGGATCTTCAGAGCCTGACCAACTACATCAATAACGGCGGGTTTGTCCCCGTGGTGCCAGCACAGACTAGACCACAGGTGTACCAGGCCCCGCCCCCGGCGCCTCCCATTTGGTGGATGTACAGATTTGACGACAGAAGACGAGAAGTCGTGGCAAGTATCTCCCAAATGATCTGGTTCAAATCCTGATTGGCAGCAGTGGCGTAGCTAGGGAAGGGCGGGTGGGGCGACCGCCTCGGGTGCCGACCCTAATGGGGCGCTAAAATGGGTAAAAAAAATATTAAAGGCTCATTTTAAGATGGGTTAGAAATATACACAAAGTTAAGAAAGTAAACGGAGCGCAAAATGGATATTTTGCCACGACGCCGGAATGGGTCGCTACGCCTCTGCTTGGCAGTGGCATAGTTCGAGTGAGGCAAAGAGGGGAGGGGGGAAACCTGAGGTTTTACCGGGAGTCGGAAAATTAGAGAATCCTCCCGAATAGGAACATCAATATAAGATAGTTTCAATAGTCCACCGGCGGTACCGAAAGGTGTAGTTTGGGATCGCCCATAAAAGACACACTGACACATCGTCAAAACATTTTCTTGACCACCACCCCTTTCCCATCGCCTATTAGTGTGACGTCATTAATGGACAACTTCTAGGGTAAAAATACTGATGTTGTCGATCCGCTGAAATACATAACGAGAAAAACAACGCCATATTTACATGAATATAACCACTATTTTTGGCCATACTTGTGATTTAGATTCATTGAAAGGACAGTCTGAAAATTACATTTCAACCACCACGTAGCAACGGCAGAGGCGTAGCGAGGGTGGGGCGGGGGTGCAAACCGCACCGGGTGACACCATTTAGGGGGTGACACCAACGAAAAAATAGCAAAATAGATATAGAAAAAAGATCATTCCATTTAAATTAACCATTAAGTTGAATTATAATTTACGAGCAAAATTGATAAATCCCGACAAACGGGGGGGGGGGGGCGTAAACTTGCTACCTATAAACAATGCTACATCAAGCTGTATTAATAACCGACAATAAATAAACAGCGTTACTATTATTCGTGCAAAGTTTAGACCTATCAAAGGGGGAGGGGGTGATACTAACGTTCACATCTAGACTAGGTGCCGCCAGAGGCGTGGCGATGGGGGGCAGGGGGGAGACATATGTCCCTGGGCGCCGACCTTAAGGGGGCGCCAAAATGGGTTGGAAAAAGTAAAGTTTGATGGAGGGTGCAAATCGAAAGTTTGGGGGGGGGGGGGGAGGGGGTGCAAATCGAAAGTTTGAACCCGGGCGCCGGGAAGGGTCGCTACGCCTCTGGGGGTGTCGCACCGGGTGACGACCGACCTTAGAAACGCCACTGTAATACGGTAGTACGGATGTCACAGCTAGTCCACCCTTGAAAAAGAATGGTTAATTATGCCTATAGGACCGTCCGGGGGCGGGTGGTGGACATACACGTTTGATTTTTATAAATTTTTTCTATCGACCAATCCCGTATATTAATTTTTTTTTTATATTTACTTAATATTACAAAACGTCTAGATCTAGTTGCAGTGGACGTTTGTATTAAATAAATTATTAAATAAAACCAATCACATAACAATAAAATTTGTTTAAATAAGAGATAATTTTAAATTTAAATCAGATATCGATCTGCCAAGCAAATTGCCTAGATCTAGCTAAAATCTAATAGTAATAAATAATCTAACATATTTAAATCTACATTTTAGGCCTAGACTCTACCTAATCTACATAATTTTAAAAGTATTTTACTTTTGGTTTTGGCATTTAGATATTTAAAATGAGGTATCCTTTAAACGAAATAAAACATAGATTTATATCAAAATCATTTCGTTAATTTATGAATAGTCTAGAATTTTCATGTTTTTATTACTTGAAAAATCGAAACTAGAATTAAAGTAACGAGGGATCTAGATCTAGATGAAACCTTTTTTTTTTTTTTTTGATTAGCTGGTAGTTTTAAAAGTTGTTTCCCTTGGCTGAAATCTTTTGAAGCTCAAAATAAGGTGTAAATAATATGAAATATAATGGTCCGCTTTTTGTAATTTCATTCTAGATCTAGACCTAGCGGCAGAGAAACTAAGAATGTAGATCTTAAGTTCAAAATCTTTTTTTTATATAAAAAGATCTAGATCTACATCTAGAATCTATGTACATTGTATTATTTACAAAAAGCGAGACAAGGACAATTTTTAATCAAGGCTTCTTTAGATTTTCCGGTTGCTTCGTGGGCGCACTGGCCGTGATCGTATAGTGGTTAGTACTTCGCGTTGTGGCCGCGACAACCCAGGTTCGAATCCTGGTCACGGCATATCTGCTGTGCTGTCTCGCACTGCCAAGCCCATGTATTTTTTTTTTATTTTCTTTGTTTAGGTGCAATTGTATGTCATCTACTTTATTACTAGAATTAGTAGTGGAAAATATTAACTCTAAATTTTAATTTAGCTTACGTTAATTTTTCTTTCTTTTCATTTTCACAACTAGCCAGCAAATGTTGATTGGACTCAAGTGCTTGCTCAGAGGCAGCAATGGAAGACTTTGGTGCAAGAAGCTCTGGCAGCGTGTTGGACTGGAATTGGCCGTTTGCCAGATGGGTCATTCCCACAGACCACAACTCAGGTTGTGACCACCAGAACATCAACGCCTGCACCCCCACCCCCACCACCTCCCCCACCGCCCCCACCACCTCCCCCTCCTCCACCCAGTACAACAACAACAACACCTCGTCCTACAACCACCACACCCCGGCCAACCACAACAACAAGACCTACAACCACAACAACACCAACAACCACAACAAAACCAACCACAACAACTACCACCACACAGTCCACAACAACCACCATCAACTACACAACAACTGTGGTGTATTTCACGTCAACAACAGGACCAGGGTTAACAACCACTTTTTCTCCTCTATTCACCACCACACCATGCAAGGTCTAAACACCACTACACCATGTAAGGTCTGAACATCACTACTCTGTGTAACATCTAAGCACCCCCCACACTATGTAATGTCTAAACACCACCACACCATGTAAGGTCTAAGCTCTAAACATTACCACACCATGCAAGGTCTAAACACTACCACACCATGTGAGGTCTAATCACCACAGGATTTAAAATATTTCCTCTAATATTTCCTATGAACACCACAGTGACAATTGTAACACATCATCCAGGTTCAAATCACCAACACATTTTTGTTTATTCTCTTTCACTTTGTATAACTCTTTGCATAAGAAACTATAAAAATCTCTTAATTTAGAATAAGTCTAATAAAAAAGCTATATAAATGCCCCTATTTTAAATGTTTTTGGTATTTTCACAAGTTTATGTTGTCATCCTTAAATCTATTTAGTATATGGACAAATAAAAACTTCTTTATTTGACAATTATCAAAATTTTTGTTTTCTATTTCATACATTACAAATGCAAAAAGAAAGGTTTTCAACTATCGTCTTATTTCACTCAGTTACTACATTGTTTGCGTCTATTGTCATATAACAATGATAGCCAAACACCTAGACCTACCATTCTCATTTTCAATCGTTATATAATCAAGACAGCCAAAAACTCGACTTCTACCAATTAGTCCTGTGTTATATAACCAACAACCTCTTGGTAGACCATTGTTGTATAAAGTAAAACTACCCTTCTTGACCAATCAATGTGGCTGATGTGAGAGATCTCACAAGTTTCTGTGACCTGGAGCGTGTTCAGCTCCAAGCCAAACCGCCTTTATTTCCCTAACCAGAGGCAGATCACTCCAGCCCAGGATCCAAACTCAGGTTAGCAGTCGTGAACCATACTGGCCAACCATGCCATCCCATATTATTATAAAAACATGAGGGACAAAAACCTAGAACTAGATCATTGATAATTTCTTTCTGAGTAAAAAAAAAAACAATTAAAACCCAATGTATAATAGCAGATTTTTATTTGCATGATATAAACTTTACAATTTTTAATATTGTTTCCTCCTAAAGTACTTTATAATTAAAGTTAAACACAAATTAGTATTGATGATTTTTAACATGTTATATTGCAACAGCAAATGAGTAGTACAAGAGTTTATTTATACCCATAACAAAACTGCGTTGTAATTAATTTGAACCATATTCAAATAAACCACCAACTACACACTGCATCATAAGTGCAATTACACATACAATAAAAACATTTATAAAATATTAGGACTGCCAATAGAAAGAATTATACAATAGTAATATCACAGTATTTTCAATGCATTTCCAACAATTTATTCAGGTTCAATTTGAAAATGCATGCATTATTTGTTTCTTCTCACTAACAGAACACCAAGTTTAAAAAAAAAATGATAATAAAAATTCAAGTGTAAATGCTACCTGGATTAAATATTGAATTTAAATACTTGAAATTACCTAAAATAACAAATCACACAATTTGATCCAACCATTGACCTTTCAACTTTAACAAATGTAAAGCAAACTTGCCAACACTTTTCTCACATTCAGGAACTTAATTTAAGTCAGGCATGCAGTATGGTAGGACTGTGTAATGGATAAAACAGAAGAATTTTTATCTTCACCAGAAAAGATTGACTGACACAACAAAGGTTGGAATGGTGCTGGGGGTAAATGATTTAGACATGATACTGTATCATCATTTAACTTATATGTTGTCAAAAGTACTGAAACTGTTTAAAGACTGCCACCTTTAAGTTAAGTGAATTTGCATACTTGAATGTAATTTTAAGAATTGAAAACAATTCAATAAAGCAATATGTAATGTCTATGTAATGCCATATAACAGGATCATGAGTTTTGTAATATTTATACACAAGTCAACTCTCACAATTATACCCATGGTCTTTTTTTTATACAGTTCATGGATACTTCTGTCAAATTGTGCATATATGATACTTGTTAACTTTTATATACAAGTATATATTCACACAATTTTAAATAATTATCTGTCACTCACACCAGTATAGCCAGGCTATTACATACATACATTACGATCAGATACCATCCTTTACATATACACACATTATTCATGTAAAGCATGTCACTACATACGAGACATACTAGTAGAGATATGAATGTTTACAAACAAGCGTGCTTGCATTTATTGAAAAAACTATGACACAGGAAGTAAAACCATACAAATGTAAACACAGACAACTGATAATTATTTAGATTTACATGTGTAAAAAAAATACAAACATTTACATGCTAAGACACATACTAGCATTTACCTGTAAAACATGTTAAACAATATACAAAACAAGGTGACGACCTAACACTAAACTTTTTTGCCTATACATGAATGATAGGACAAAGTGCTGTAACATTTTTCTCAATGTACTGTATACAAAATTATTCCATTTTTAATTTCAAACTACATTTATATATCCATGTATACAAATCATTGTCTACAATTGTTCATCTATAATTACACTACAAAAAGTTCGTGGTTAAACATCACAACCCCTTTGGTAGACACCTTACTTACAGGTACATTCACTCATTCAAACATCTTTTTTGAACCTTCTCTCTTATTAATCTTCAAGCATGAGAAAAAGAAACATTAAATTCAATGCTGACTTGGAATGCAAAGAATAATCAAAATAAACCACTGGCCAGTAAAAATAGTCAATGAACACATGACACAAATTTCAAATGGAAGGCAAGAGTTCATGACCTCTATAGAACATAATTTTATTTTCAGAATGGACCTAAATTAAGAAAAATATTTCATACAAAATATCAGATTAACCAATAAGTCATACTTTAAAAAAAAAAACTCTTCCAAGTATTGCTTAGCAATAATGTTTCAAATTATAAAATGAGTGTGGAAGTATTGTTTCCAAATATATAAAGAGTTTAGTTACAGGTTCCAAACAAAAAAGTTTAGAAATAATGTTTCCAAATTTTTCAAAGAGTTCGGGAATAATGTTTTTAAAAAATATGATACTAAGAATCATCTGAATTTGAACAAGGCAAGAATTTGGTGGAGGGAACAAATGCAATATGGGGTTAGTTTTGTAGGGAACATGTACAGTGTGGGGAACATGTTATGTAGAGAAAGTGTGAAGCATGGGGAACATGTGTCATGTAGGGGAACATATGTGTGCAATAAGGGAACAAGTTTAATGATGGGGAACATATTGTGATGTAGGAAAAGTGTGAAGTATGGGGAATATGTCATGTAGGAAATGTTTGCAATAAGGGAACAAGTTTAATGTTGAGAACATATTGTGATGTAGGGAATTTGTTCAACAAGAGGAGCAAACCTTGAGGGGAACTGCTATGAAAGATTATTTTACAATCAATTCAACAGTTTAAAAAATTGCTTACACTGCTGAAATCTCAACTTCCAGACATGTAACAACAATAGACTAAATTTAAACAGCAGTTTGAAAATAAGGTTTGCTTTTAGATCTTTTCATTTTAAAAAGGGTAAAATGATTTCCAGTTAGCACCAAGATGAATGATATCAGAGCAAGATAGCATCTATTCTTATTTATTGTTACAATCACAAAGAAAAATAATATTTTAAAAAAAAAAACAAAGTTTGTACAGAAAGGAAACAAAACATTTCTTGTAAACAAGATGAAAAATGAAATTTTTGTTAAGGAAAAAATTTCCAATATTTTTCTAAAATACTAATGCATATGCAGTATTTGCATAATTTGTTACTGGTGGTAAAATTTTCCAATAATGTTCAACAACTACATTCTACAATCTAAGGCACACAGTGTTTGTCAACATTAAATCTCCAGATGGTTTAGGGAAAAACAACAATCCCAAGTCAGTTCAGTTACCTAAACAAAGTAAAAAACTAGAAGCAAAATAAAACAGTTACAGTAACACAAAAAATACAAAAAACTTTAAAGTCATCTTAAATATGAAGCAACTTGCATTTTTCACATTATAAGTTTTTGTTTGAATAATTTCTGTAGCAAAATGGGAACCAAAGTCTGCTAATGAATTACTTCAAGCATAGTGAACACAGTATTTATAATCACTTGAGTCTTCTAGTTATACTTTCCGTCATTTAGGGTGGAATATCCTGCATGTGACAAGTACTTATGTAATGACTTATGGACAAGAACAAATAAATGCAACGCTTGTGAAAGTTCTGATTGTATCTGTGATCCTCAATATGTACTTGAATTGCATGTTCAAACTTTGGGAAGTGACCTTGATATCGATGATCATTATTGTGAAGTTGAATGTTCAGAGTTGGTAAAGCCACCTTCGTATCAATGATCATCATTTGAAACTTTGAATATTTTGAGTTGGGAGAAAAGGCCTTTTCTGTTTCTGCCATTATCCCTAGATTGTGTAAATACCAGATCAATAACCATCAGAGCTAAACAGCTAAAATTAGCTGGTGTTGGTCAGTGACTCCACAAGAATTTGGGATGTCGCTGGAATCTCAAGGTTCTTGGTAGTGACCATCTGGAGCTTGCTGGTCAGGAAAGTTCCAGTCAATGACCATCTCATCTGACTAGTGTGAAGGCTGTTGGTCAGTGACCACTGCTAAAATCTCAAGGTTTAAAGACTGGTTAGATTGTCCTAGAGTCTATTTAGCATTAACCAGTACCCAGCATAATAATAGCAGACAATTTGCTCCACGAACCTAAACAGTGAAACACAACACCTTGAATGATGTGGTCACTTTGACCTCTCCCTGTGTACTTTAAGCACAATTTGGTCATAAAAGCTTTTTAAAAGTGCTTTAAGAATGAAGACCAAATCTATAAATAGCCATACAGATAAGAGAGAGAACGGCAATGTATGATGGATTCCCTTTCAGATGGAGAGATTTATTTTTAGCATCGACTACACTGGTCTGAGCTGTAGAGAAGTCTGAGGTCAATGAACTCTGGAACACTGTAGACCTGGAGGAATCCTGGAGACCTGCAGGATAAAATGTTTTCAAACACTGAATCAGCACATTTAGTCAGAGGTTTATTGCTCTTGGTCAATGTCATTTAGGTTATTAGAATCATCTTGGACCTTAATATCATTTTCAAAACTTAGCTATAAATTATTTCCATGAAAATTCATAATAAAAATACTTATTACATGACAAATTAGCTATGAATTATTTACATGATAGATTAATTATGAATAAATCTTTTAAACCCAAATTAGCTATGAATTAACTTTTAAGTCAATCAAAAATGTACAAGTTACACCTAATGCATGACAAATTTTAGTGTAGTGTCAGCAAGGTGTTCATTGGGTGTATCCAGCTATGACTCAAGTTAAGGGTAGTATGCCAAGGTCACAGAAACAGGTGAGCTCTATTTCACCTACCGAACCGCAATATTTTTTTAAAACTAATACATTTTAATGTAACAAACCAAATTAACATTCTGATAAATTTAAACAAGTATTAAGAAAGCTATTAGCAAATACAGACCTATTGTGTACTACTGACCATCAAATAGATCTGTTGTATACTACTGACCATGACATGGACCTAATGTGTACTACTGACCATGACATGGACCTAATGTTGTGTACTACTGACCATGACATAGACCTAATGTTGTGTACTACTGACCATGAAATGGACCTAATGTTGTGTACCACTGACCATGACATGGACCTAATCTTGTGTACTACTGACCATGACATGGACCTAATGTTGTGTACTACTGACCATGACATAGACCTAATGTTGTGTACTACTGACCATGACATAGACCTAATGTTGTGTACTACTGACCATGACATGGACCTAATGTGTACTCACCACTTGTGTCATAGCATGGGCCTATTGTGTCAGGTGTTGTGTAGTGTAGTACAGCAGGTAAACTCTTCACCTTGGGGCCATGAGAGAACACCTGCACAGTGTAGTGCTTGGATTGCTCTAGAAACGTCAGGCAGGCCTGGGAGTCATTCTGTGGAAAGTGTCAAAACAAACTATATCCCTATCTCTTGCCACTCTTCCTAGTAAGGTATACTAATATCTAACAGGTATAATTTTTCAAGTCATATACAAATATCCAGCTATGATACCTTTAATTATAACATAGTAGGCCTTAAGTTTACAAATATCAAACAAATATACTTTGCTTTTGCAGTAGAAAGAGTATGATACACAAATAAATAAATCAAGTTACAGTCTACCTAACAAATATGCTTTGTTGTTTAAGTACAATAGGGTATGGTAGACAAATACCTATCAAGTCCACTGTCCACTGTAGCTTAAGTAGAATGTAAATACAAGTTTACTTTAAAAGACCATAACGCACCCCAGGCAACTGGAGTTCATAAGGCTTTGAGTAGTAGACCACAGCAGACTGGCTGGTCTCTGGCACCGTGGACGTCTGACTCTGGCCCCACATCAGAGTGTAGTGCTGGACGTGAGCCCCTTCCTCCGCTGGAACCTGCCAGCTCAGCACAGCCTGACATATGCAGTTGGCTTTTTTAAACCTGATCTCCAGCTTAGACGGAGGCTGTATCGTTTTTACTACAATAGAAACACAACATTTAAGATAGTTTTTACTACAATAGAAACACAACATTTAAGATAGTTTTTACTACAATAGAAACACAACATTTAAGATAGTTTTTACTACAATAGAAACACAACATTTAAGATAGTTTTTACTACAATAGAAACACAACATTAAAGATAGTTTTTACTACAATAGAAACACAACATTTAAGATAGTTTTTACTACAATAGAAACACAACATTAAAGATAGTTTTTACTACAATAGAAACACAACATTTAAGATAGTTTTTACTACAATAGAAACACAACATTTAAGATAGTTTTTACTACAATAGAAACACAACATTTAAGATAGTTTTTACTACAATAGAAACACAACATTTAAGATAGTTTTTACTACAATAGAAACACAACATTAAAGATAGTTTTTACTACAATAGAAACACAACATTTAAGATAGTTTTTACTACAATAGAAACACAACATTAAAGATAGTTTTTACTACAATAGAAACACAACATTTAAGATAGTTTTTACTACAATAGAAACACAACATTTAAGATAGTTTTTACTACAATAGAAACACAACATTAAAGATCATTTTTACTACAGTAGAAACACAACATTAAAGATCGTTTTTACTACAATAGAAACACAACATTAAAGATCGTTTTTACTACAATAGAAACACAACATTTAAGATAATTTCAGTGATACAAATACCAACTATACCCTAATATTGTCAATTTTAAGTAAATATTTTACCTACTCTCAATAAAGCTATAAACCCGTAAGTCTCGAGTTCGAATCAAGGTTCAAGTCAGTAGACCGTCTCTGAGTCCACCCAACTCTGATGGGTACCTAACTCACGTTAGGGAAAGTAAAGGCGGCTGGGCATAGTGCTGACCACATTATCTCTTAATATGTCGAGGTCACAGAAACAAGTGAACTCTACTTCACTTGCCCTATGGACCATCAGGTTTGAAAAGGGAACTTTACTTTTTCTTTTACATTAAAGCTATTGTGCTCTGGCTATTTCAGTAAAATGTATGCCTTACCTTCAGCAAGACAATTTCTCTTTACATAAACCCCTATAGTCTCTGCACAGGGTGGTGTTTTGAAAAATGTCTTAACTCCCTTGTCTTCTCTACCCTGATAATTCACTGAATGAACTTTCAGCTCGTAAACACAATTAGAGATGAGATTGTAAAGTGTAAAATTTTGATTCTGAAACAAAGATTAATTAATCCTTTAAAGTACATTGCACTAAAACTTAAAATATAAAATAAAAAAATAAATAGCATTTCAAAGTATTAATCAGCTATTTATAAAACAAATTATATTGTTAACAGCTTCGAAATCTTATATTTAACTTTTCTTACAGAGTTTTTGAAAATAATTACTTTTTAATTTGAACTACATTTTCTTCTAATACCTTAAAACCCATACTAGATGTGGTTTATAGCTAATGATTATGGATAAAAAGTAATGCGTTTTAGAAACTGCTGACTCCTTTAAGCGACAAGCTACTTACATAAGTTGTTGCATCATTCTCTAATCTATCTCTAGTTTTTCTGTGTTCAGACTCCCCCTCACATAGGTGTAATCTCCAAAACAGCGTGAATTTATCAACATTCGCAGCTAAAATAATAGAAAATAAAAACTGCTTATGTCGACAGATTCTAGATTTTATACACAGGGGCTTTCTTCTTTATTTTTGATAATGTTTTCAATAAATACTGCTGTGGAGCTGAGTGAAAGAGCACTTGATTGTCAACAAGAAAGTCTTAGTTTATGGGCTCAGAGTCTATAAAGCATCCATTAGGTAGGCCTACTTGACCCAAATCAGGGACATAAAGGTGTCTCAGCTTAGTGCTGACTGCAGAGCCCCGTCATAATGGCAAGGTAAATGAAAGATGAACTATACATTTGCCCTATGAACTTTTCTACATGTTTGATTAAAAAAAAACTATTAAAAAACTATTAAATAAGGCTTTTGTTGTTACCAACATTTACAATGGTTTACAATAATACTAACGACAGGTACAATAGTTTACTCACCTGGATAAACAGACCACTTGACGTCTGTTGTAAGTTTGTTATTTCTGAATACAGCTTCACTAACAGTTACATTGAAAATGGTTGGCTCAGACTGTAAATCTACAACTGGGGTATAGCTGTCAACTGAAACATTTTAATCAATGGCATTAATTGCAGCTGCCAGTTCCTTGTCACTTCTACACAACTACTGTCAAGTATGAAAAAAATCATTTTGACGTAAACATATTTCTACTTGTCAGTCAAAAATTTCTCACTCTCAGTCAAATACATTTTTGTTTTAAGTCAAAAACATCTTGAACTTTGGCAAATGTATTTCTTTTAAGATATCTACACTTTTTTTAAACTTAAGGACCAAATCCAGAATTGTAATAATAATAACCTGGTCAACTCAAACAGAACAGCCCCACCCACCTAGACAAAAACCTCCATGTATTTATTAAATAAGATTTCAACAACAGCACAGAGACCAGACTTACCTGGTTCAGCTGGAATAGGACCAAGACAGGCATCAATGTAAGTCGAGGCAACTTTGCCTCTGAGAGTCCTCTCATGCCACTTTACAACAGCCCTGACCTAGGACAGATAAAATACTTTGTTGCAGCATGCAATGTTATAGCAATTAACGGAATATGTCAACGGCCAATTTTTGTTTTATTAGTAAGAAATTTCTTTTAATGAGGGGAAGATTAAGTCGGAAGAAGTTGACACCATATAACGAAAACAGGTATTGTTGAAAATTAAGCAGCCAATAATGGTAACATTCTCCTTTTTATTTCTTTTCAACATAAGACTTACTTTAAAATTTAGAATATATAATTAATAAATAACACTATTTATTACAAATATAAAAAGTTTGAGTTTTCTAACAAGTGTTACCTGCACAAAGTAAACTGTACAAGGATCAAGTCTAGAGATGGTATGACTGGTGCTGTCTGCGCCAATCTTCCTCTGATGCATGAACAATCGCACATACTTTGGACTAGCACGCGGAAGGCCTTCACTCCAAAATATCTGTCATTAAACGTACTCATACATTTAAACAATACAAAAATGTTGACAGGAACATACAGTTTTATTGTGGACAGGACTAGCTCTCTAATAGAGAGTAGTCTAAATAGTACATGTATAGTTCTTAGAGTAAATTATCAAACTTAAAGGGTTATCCATCATCAAATGAAGGGAGGACCCAGAGTGATATTAAAGCCACTTTCTTACCATGTAATGGTTGATGGGAAGCCCTAGGGTATACTCTGGATGGTCCCACTTCACTGTGATGTCCACCTTCTGTCCATGCTGCTTGCTTTTTGCAAGTTCCAAGTGTCGTGGGGCTGATGGGTCTTCGAGGCCTTTAGGTGTAAAAATTTAGAACATTATTTGGGACTGATGGGCCTTCAAGGCCTTAAGGTGTATAAATTTAGAGTTTTTTTCAACTTAACTAATACAAAATTATTTATTATAAATATAGCAATCACCCTTCTAAAACCAAACGTAATACTTATTTTAAAAAATGAAATGTTTATATAACAAAACTTACGCCTGACATAGTTAATAGACTTGATAAAGCCTCTAGAGCCGTGTGTATTGACTGAGGCTACAGTAAAGTTACACGAAGCTCCATACTCAATTTTTGTTGTCTTATCCAACTTAGCATGAGTGTCTGTAGCCTAGAATCATCAGACAGAAAATATTGTAACTCTTTAAAATGCTACTGTTCTAAGCAGGTTATTTACTCTTTTTTTTATTGTAAGAAAGGCGGAAGGCTAATTATCTTCTCAAAATTATTTAAAGACTTGTAATTGTAAGTCTTGTTGCTAAGTGCTATATTAGGAGGGGGGGGAGCTAAGAGACATAAGCTAGCTTGCTTGAAGAATGTTAATTTAAATAATTATTTTAGCTGAATGCAGAACTTTTTTTGTATCATTTTAGTGTGGGAGTCATGGCTTGTTATGAGGTGTACGATATAACATTGTAAGCATACACATTTTTAAACTAGCGTAAAGCCAATTTTAGAAGAAAAGTTAAAGCTTTATTATCTTTAAATAGTTAAAAGCCTTATTATGTTGAAAGATGTTTGGATACTTACAAAATAACGATCTGAATAATTAATGCTCGGACACCACCATCGAACTACATAGATGACAGGGGAGGGTACAGCTGGACTCAGTCCCTTTACCCACTCTATATGCAGTCCACCATTCTTCCTGCTATCAACAACAAGGTTTGTTGGTACTGGAGGTATAGCTAGAATCAAGAATTAAGTTACAATAAGCAGGAACTTTATTTACAAATAACTAAGATAAACTAATTTTCTTAAAACAATTCTGTTTCAGAACACAATAAATATATCACATAGAATAATGACAAATGTATATTTTAAACAAACATTTTTTTACAAATTAATAAATGAATACTTTTTAAAAATAAATAAATCATTTTTTAAATGGTGATACTTAATAGTTAATTAAGAAATTGAGGTTTCTACTTTTCAATTCTAATGTCAAACTATTAACAAAATAAATAAATTACGAAGAATTATGACAACTTTTAAACTATACATTTGAACCCTCCATACATTTATAGGTTCAACCCTACATATATTATAGGAGAAATATACATATATTTATAGGAAAAATAAAGTGTTGTTCAAGAAGCCCTCATACAGATAGGTAGGGAAAAGATGGTACTAAGGGAACCCTCCACACCCCCACCTTCCCTGTACGGTGTATTAACTCTCCATTATTATTGGTAAACAAAATCCACATTTAGAAGGGAAGTAAGTATTCTAATCAGCTTATCAGCTTAAGCATTTACCTTGATACTCCAAGGGCTGGTGGCATATCCTCCCACAGCTGTTGGGGCAACACTTCAGCATCCCATCACAATGTACGTCCCTGTCACACTCCTGGACACACGCTGTATCCAACCCTGTCATATTTTTGGGGCTTGGACAACTGCCATATTTGGACTGTAAAGTTTTGGCAATGAACTCACAGCTGTTGTTACATGCCTGCTGATGTGTGACTTTCCGTCTAATTCGTGGAATCTAGAAAATGAGTGCAATAAATGTTTTTATTAACTTGTGAAACAATGAATATGACTTTGTACTGGGGTAGAATTTACGTAACTATTTTCATGAATTTCAACTGAAGATAACTTGTTGCCCGGAATAGCAATTTACTTAATAAATAAAACTCACAGTAAAACCAGCCATTTAAAATAATCTTTACTGCTGTACAAGTACTGATAAAAACTTAAAATTACTAAACTAAGACTTACACTGCAGTCTTGTAGGCAGTCATTGTGGTTCTCATAGTCACTGATTGGTCTTTCACAGGCATAAAGGCACTGCACATGCAGAAAAGAATATAAAATTTAGCTATTGTTAAATGTTAAAATTTTATTCATATATTCTTTGAGTATTTATCTAAAAACATTTTTTTTTTAAATTTGTTTTTAAAGCAAACAGAAAAGATACTTTAAAGAAAGGGAATTTTTTTATTAAGCCTAAAACAAGGTAACATTTTTTATTTAACAGTAAAGTTGTGAGCTTAATCTGGGCTAAGCATCATGATCATTTGAGCCAATCTTTTTTTCTGACTTAACCAGAAAATGAGTAGACCAGTAGTTCAGACCTACCCATTTGCAAACTCTATGTTTTTCACACACCTTGATACTTTTGAAGGAGGACAATGCACTGTCTGAGGTCTGATGACAAATAAAATACAACTGGTCAAAATTAGATCCTCAACTTAAAAGTACAAACAGGCTGATAGAAATTAAAAAAAAAACAATTTTATAAAAAAACTGTAAAGAACAAATTTAAAAAATACAATAGGGCAAAAAATGTTCATTTTCCAAGAATAGAATGACATTTATCTCACTTATTAGGAGGAGCTTAACATTTCTAATACTGCCTAAGCTGGAGGAAAAACAACAAACTGTGTATAGCTAAAACTAATCAGTCTTAATTTTTAAAGCCACAAACCACATGTGTTACATACATCTATAGTTTAGCTTATTTTCTCTTTCTTCTGTGAATATATCATACTGTTATCATTATAAAGAATATAAAAAGACAATCTAAATTTTTATATTACACAGTAATTTCACCAGTATTCAACTAATAGAATATTATCATAGCCAAGTGATAACTCTGAGGGAAAATGTGTATATTGAAAGCTAGCCAAGGTTTTTTTGGATTGTTTTCAATGAGTGAATTTCAACTTTTTTATCAACTTGAGGGACACTACTGACTATAATTGGGTTAAAACCAACAATCTTAAATCACTTCAAACCTCTTCACTTGATAAGAAGGATTTTTTAACATACAATCTGCCACTTTTTAGACTAGATGTGCTTAAATATTTCCATAAAATTCTGCTGTTTGGAGAATATGTTGAGTCAATGAATTTACATTTTTATTTATAAAACCTATTTGTAAAATGTTATCAATACCAGACATAATTTCCCTTTTCTTTCTAAACCCAAAACTATGAAAAGTTAAGCTTAAGGGGTGATAACTAGGTTTAGAGCCAGGGTTAACCAGACTAATTTAAAAGTCATGCATATTGAGTTATCTGTTGCTGCTTCCTAATATATAAAAGCCCATGTGCGCACTTCTCTCTCTCTCTCCCTCATCAATATTTTTAGGCTATGTGATCACTATGCATATCTCCATATATGGAGAACATAAAGATACTGAATTGTTGAAAATAATAGGTTGGATGTTTTAAATGTATAAACTAAATTTTACTTAAAGAAGGAAAATAAAAATAAAGGCATATTCGAATGTAGAAACACATTTTTTATTATGCAACTGGAAAAGTGTTTATTGTTGTGACAAAAATGTGAAAAACAATGCTGTCACAAGTTTAAACTACAAAAAGTACACAAAACTAATGGCAACATCTTCCAATTTTAGAATATGAAGAAATTAACTATTTCATTCATATTTGATTTAGATCTATATATCTACTTATCAAGACAAGACGTATGCTATAAAAGGTATACAATATTCTCAGCCAAAAGTAATACAAATTAATTTAAAAACAACATAAATACCACTGAACAGCCGGATTTTTAATGGAATCATTTAAGTCTCTTAACTTAATCAGTGTGTGTATTTAATATGAGGTTGTGTTGACTAATAATTTATATATTATTGTTTTTCTAATAGGTATTTGTAGCCTATGTTATTTTATGGGATGGATTTTTAGCTATTTAGTTATTTCTTTTCTGTGTCACTAATATCATTCAATGTGTAATAAAGCATCTTGCATTTTGACCAATAACTATTTTGTAAAATATTTTTCTCAAACAAGTATAACATTAAAATATATAGGCCTATAATTCATGCGCAACGATGTGTAGTGTTCTCATAAACTCTAGATTACTACAAACAAAATGTATCATAATATTTTCCTGTTTTTGCCCAAGACAAATGAGGGAGATGAAGTAAAGTTCATCTGTATCAATGACCTTTAAGGAATAAATAGTGTGGTCAGCACTATGCTCAATAACCTAATGGCCCTAACATGAGTCAAGTAGATCTAGTTCAAGTACCCATCGAAGCTGGGTGGACAGGAACTTCCTACAAATCTTAGGCTATGTTGCAGACTATTTATTACAATTACGATTTAGGCCTACTAATACTACATAGATCTAGATCTAGCAGATTAGATCTTCTTACTCTTGCCTTACAGTCAATTGGAATTTGGTAATATATCGTTTTAGGTACGTAAAATCGCCCGCGACTTGTAATGTTAAAAACAGGTGACTCCTTAAATTTTAATAGTTATTTCACATTTTGAGGAGGACTTATGTTTTGAAAAATACAAAAATGTTTCCTTGTTTCATTTATGTACCTGTTTTTAAACAATTGAATTAAAAAAGTTTTCAGTAATAACTAATAACTGAAGACTAGCAAGGTTTTCCTCAGATGCAACCATGCTTATTTACTATAGCAGACATCTTGTTTAAGTTTTATTTAGTTAAACTTATACGCTATAGGGGGAGATTCAGGGGAAGCTACTCTATTTTACAAATGGCTGCTGTCAAATCTTGCTCGCAAACGCTGCTGTTTAAAGTTAATTTGTGGCCTAAATTGATATATTTAGCCTTTGATTTTGGTTTATTATTCAGTTATCTAGATCTCTATAATATTTGACACAAATATTTCACAATATACTTCTATTAAATATTAAAGCCTTGACAATGATCAATGAGGTAATTTTTTCGTACATTACTATAATACTACCCGCTGCCGATTTTACGTACCTAAGGCGATAGATTACAGAATTTATAGTAGATCTATGGTATTTTATATAACTTATATCATATATTTACTAGATCTAGCTAGATCCTCTAGTCTAGATTCTGGAATGTCATTATTTTTTGTCATTCATTGTTACAACAGAAATAATATTATTATTAAATTATTAATAATTTAAGCCTAAGCATGATAAAAAGGGCATTAATTTAAAGGCCTAGATCTAGATCTAATCTAGATTTTCTAGATCTAGATCTAGATCTACTACGATAACTTTAACTATCATAGTACGCACCACATTAGTTCCATTTTTAGAATTTGATCTAAGAGGGCCCTTTAGCTTCAAACAAAAAGAAAAGCATTGCCCTCGAAGAATATCTGCGTTGTTCGTGCTTCCCATGTGAAATTGCGCGACACATAGGATGAACAAGAAAAGCCATCTTCCAATGTCCCTCATCCCGACATGAGAGCAGTTTGTTAATCCAGCTCCTCTCGTTCCACCACACTAGATCTAGACTAGTTGGTTTTTTGTTTTACTGACACCTGTTGACAATCATTTCAATAGAACCCTTCCATCAAAAAGTGTGTTTTGCTTCGTCACTGGATTGGTTGCCCATGTCGTGTTTTCCATGTAACTAGAAACTCCGTTTTTCTAAAAATAGATGCGCTTGGATTGGTTCGTGTGTGGCAGTGACTTCAGGTCTAGTCTAGACTCTAGACATTCCAACTTTTGTCGTTGTGAATGAAGCATAAGATCCTCGATACAAAAATAACTGTAATAAGCTGCCTCTAATTATAATCAGTACGTTTTTTTTATATTGTCACGTGATATCACTTCCTAGAAAAAAATACCAACAATTAAATTAATGTAACTGAGTAGGCCAGTTGTCGGCATCTAACGCCCCAGAATTTGATATTGAATGAAAATAATGCTGCTCTTTTTATAAAATCAGGAATTAATTCTTAAACACCTGAGCCGGAATATAGATCTAACTTACGACAGGTATACTAGATCTGTACAGGTCTAGAGAAAAAAACTCGAGGCAACAAGTAAGGAAACAAGTTTCGTGGGGAAAATGTTTCCATATATGTAATTAACTTGTTGCATTTTTTTAGACAAGTAGTGTCAAGTAGTATGGTAGCCCTACGTGTCGTATGTGTAAAGGCGGTTTTACAATAAAATCATATTGAATAAACTGTTGTCTCATGTGCTTTTAACACTTTTATCCTTAAACTGTAAAACTGTGTCTTCCATGTCAAAGACCAAAGCCGCATGATATGCAGTCAGGGTTTCTTTCAGACATTTTCATTTTTCTTCGGGGGAGGGGGACACTTTGAAATTTTCTGGGGCGCAATTAAAATTTCGGGGGTTGGGAGGCGAACAATAGTTAAATGTATATTTTCTATATAAATTGTAGAGTTGTTGTTTTTTTCTATTCGTCCTGGTGTGCTCCTTTACCCCGAAGAGGTGCATGAAAGAAACTCTGTATTCAGTCCACGTGTTGCAGGTTTGGGAGGGGTCTGCGTCTCGTGGTAATATTCATAGGCGTCGCATCTTTAAGTCGCTACAGCATGCGGCTTTGCAACCGTCATGTGCAGTCAGCCTGACGGGGGATGGGGGGGGGGGGGGGGGTAAAACTGTCACAGGTACATAAAAGTCGACAAATATACCAAGTCTACTACCCCTCCCCATTTAGTCCCTAAAGGACGACCATGGCGAGTTGTCAAAAACTTCCATTGCGTTTAATGACGCCCGCGTTTCGGTTCGAATCAATGAAAAAACGTTATCAATTCATAAACGGTTTTCACCAGGAAAATGTTGAATGGTATAGAACACTCCCCTTTAAAAAATGGTTCCGGTCTGGTTTCAGCTAATGTAGCAGGTACGACCCAACTAAACACGACGACTGTTACAGGCAAAACACACACACACACACACACACACCTCTATTGAAAGTCAGTGCTGTCAGTTTTTAGAAAGGTTCAGAGTTTTAGTTACAAAAAAATTACTGCATTGAAACTTTAATTTGAATTTCTAAGCGGCTACAACCCGCCAAACCGGCAACACGCAACTCACTACCTGTCAAGAACATTGCATCATAGTTATTTCTGACACGCTTGCCACCACGTGTCTTGATTTAATTTCAACGAAACTAGATCTAGAATCTAGATCTAAAGAAATAGGCCATGTAATCAGGCAAAGCTATTTTTAAAATTCGTTTTTATCAGTAGCTTTTTTTTTAATTAAGAAAAGGTATTATAAAAAAATATTTCCGATGTGAAATTTCTTAAGCAGAGCCTACATGCAGGGGCGTAGCGAGGGGGGGGGTGCGGGGGGTGCGGACCGAACCGGGTGACACCATTTAGGGGGGTGACACCAAGGCAAAAAATAGCAAAATATATAGAGAAAGACTCGAGGGGGGGTGCAAATCGAAAGTTTGAGGGGGGGGGTGCAAATCGACCTCGCTACGCCATTGCCTACATGATACATTTAGAAAACCTGAATACTTTAGTTGGGAAAGCCCCTAATAAAATGCGAGATTAGTAATCGTGATGAGATCATTTAGATTTTGGTAAACGGAACCTGACTGATAGTACATTTCTAATTTTAAGCTGATTTCATTAGTGTAACAATTTTTTGTTAGAAAATTTATCTCTATCTTCCTACACTCCCCATCAAACTTTTTAAATGGGGATGAGAGGTTACACCTAAAACCTAATGGAGCCAATGGGCTTAGTTGACAGTGATTCTTATAGAATTTTAAACAGGATTTCTTCTAAGTTATTTTGCTCGGGGTGTGTGGGAGGAGGTGGCACTTGAAACTTAATGGAGGGGCGGGGTGGACTTCTTCTTCTTCGTTCTTAATTTTTAGTGTTGGACGGGATAGAGCCTTATCTGCCAAATGGTTTTAACTCGAGACTTTTTGTTTTTAATTTATCAACCATGAGCTTTCGCCGACTCGACCACGCCTCCATCACAATTAACGTGTCAACCTTTTTCTTTTTCGATTTGCTTCCAACTCTATACCTATTGACTTACTTTGACTTAGTCCTCTTCGCTCCTTATGGAGCATAGGGCCTCCACCATTTCCTTCCATTTCTTCATATCCTCGGCTATTAATTTTGACATCTCCCAAGACATCCCTGTTTGCTTCAGTTCTTCAAGAAGACTCCGCCTCCAGGTCTGTCTTGGGCGCCCTCTCTTCCGCTTTCCCTGGGGGTTCCACTCAAGCGCTCGGCGTGTAACATTTGGCGTGTAACCTTTCGCAGTGTGTGACCCACCCAGCGCCACTTCCTCCTTCTTATTTGCACACCTTTAGGCTCCTGCCTAGCTTTCCTCCATAGTTCCAAGTTCGGCACTTTGTCCTGCCATCTCAGTTTCTGTATCTGTCTAAGGCATCTATTCATGAAGGTCTGTATCTTTGCTGTGCTTGCCTTGGAGACTCTCCATGTCTCTGGGGTCATCCATAAATGACGTCACACTCGTAGGGGGGAGGGGGGTCCGTAATTTTGTGACGATGTGTGATGAGGGGGAGGGGGGGGGTCAGATGTTGCGACGTCACATTTTTGCATTATAAAAAAGCAATGTTAGAAAACGAATTTTAGACGTTATTTCGCGTTTTAGATAACTGTTTTAATAAATTGTAATAGTTTAGACAAGATTTTGGAAAAATATCAATGTTTTAAAAAAATTCAACTGCAATTTTGAGGGGGGTTGTAGGTTGAGGTGTGACGTCATTTTAGGGGGGGGTCTGGCTTTTTGTGACGAAGTGTGACGGAGGGGAGGGGGGGAGGTAAAAATCGTCCAAAAAAGCGTGACGTCATTTATGGATGACCCCTCTGCTCCATACAGCAGAACTGCCTTGACATTAGAGTTAAATATCCTATACCTATATACAGTGGCGTAGCGAGGTCAGGTGTCACCCGGTGCGGCACTTAATGGTGTCACCCCCCCCCCCCCAGAGGCGTAGCGACCATTACCGGGGACAAATTTTCGATTTGCACCCCCCCCCCCCCTCAAGTTTACGATTTGCACCCCCCCCCCCCCCCTCAAACTTTCGATTTGCACCCCCCCTTCAAGTTTTTCTCTATATATTCTGCTATTTTTTGCCTTGGTGTCACCCCCTAAATGGTGTCACCCGGTGCGGTCCGCACCCCCCGCCCCCCCCCCCTCGCTACGCCCCTGCCTATATATTACCTTAATCCTAACCTTAAGATAAAGACGAAAAACCTAAGAATTCACCTCACCCTAAAAGTAACCTAAAACCAAACCCAACTCTTGACATTGATTTAAGCCTAACCCTAATCCTAACCATAGCCTTAACCCTAACCCTAGCCCTGATTCTAGCCCTAGCTCTAGCCCTAGACCTAGCCCAAATTCAAACCCTAGCTGAACCTTAAGCTATGACCGGAGGGGGGGGGGAATGTCCAACTGGGGGGGGGGGGGTAATTGACAGGGGTAATTACTCCGGGGGGTAATGACGGGGGAAACGTCCGGGGGTAATTGACGGGGGGGGGGGGGGGGGGGGGGGTAATGCCCTGTTCCCCCCTCTCCATTACTTTCCAATACCGGTGCCTACGACAACTTATCACCTAAATAAAAAGCTTACGATCGATATAAGTAATTATTTCGGTGGGCACTCCCAGCAAACCCGATAACCAGACATCAGACATTCCCAACAGCGAGGGAAACAAAACTGTCTAGACGAACTAATGGGAAGCCTTAATCTTGTAGGAGGGTTTCTTTCTGGCTAGCTCAGCCGGCCATGCATACATACGTGGTATTTAAAATGATCTTTCTAAAATTCAAGGAAAATCCAAATACTTCAGGAGTTATGGTGATAGTTTAGGGGGAGGTGGCAGTGGAGTAGTGTTGAAGGTTGGGCTGGGGTGGTGACAGAGGTAGCGATTTTTTTTATCAGTGACTGATCGGTGTGTTTGTCAAATTGGCCAGGCGACGCCCTCAAATATTAAGTGCTTCACGATAATCCCATAAATATAAGTGCTTCGCGATAATCCCATAAATATAAGTGCTTCACGATAATCCCATAAATATAAGTGCTTCACGATAATCCCGTAAATATAAGTGCTTCACGATAATCCCGTAAATATAAGTACTTTACGATAATCCCGTATATATATAAGTGCTTCACGATCATCCCGTAAATATAAGTGCTTCACGATAATCCCTTTAAAATATAAGTGCTTCACGATAATCCCGTAAATATAAGTGCTTCACGATCATCCCATAAATATTAAGTGCTTCACGATAATCCCGTAAATATTAAGTGCTTCACGATCATCCCATAAATATTAAGTGCTTCACGATTATCCCATAAATATTAAGTGCTTCACGATCATCCCACGCCGAATTAAATCGCGCCACACCTTAACTATACCCTGACTCATAGGACTAAAGACATACCCGGCTCGGTCCTCCCATTGTTTTTACGGTCCTCCCATTGGTTTGACGGTCCTCCCATTGGTTTTACAGTCCTCCCATTGTTTTAATGATCCTCCTATTATTTTTCGCTCCCGCCTCCATTTTTCTTTCACGTGCTGTTAAAAAAGCTTAACTAGGTAGACCTACCTTGCTTTTTGATTAACAAT